GCAGAAAAAAACTCAACTTTTACCGTTACTCAACTTTTGCCAGCAGACGCCACACAAAGGAACAAAAGATACCCAACTTCTACCAACAGACCGTGCTAAACTTCTACCAGCAGACAATACTCTACTTCTACCAGAAGACAATAACTTAACTTCCATTCAAAGACGGTATCCTACTTTCTTAACATTTTGACAGATCTTGTTTCATTTTAATTTACACAATTCAAATCTTTAGGTTCAGATAGGTCCTAAATGGCTTCTAGTCATACTTAATTGATGAGGTGAAAATACATAAACTTGAGCATGTCACTTAATTATGAAAATGAAGGATGTTTAAAAGTTCAACATTGGACAATGTGACTTGATTTATTAATTAAGATCTTAATAGTTTTTGAACACATTAATTTATCAACTCTTATACTACATGGACTGCTCTGAGCCCTTGTTGATAAGTTGTACGCAGATTATGTTTCAAGAATTTGGATGGCAATATATCACACATAATGGTTCTTTCTCTAATAGGCTTTGTCCTATTTTTGTATGACGAATTATGACTCTTTTAAAATGAATATAAAAGATATGTGGATAATGAAAGCAATTCAAAAAGGCAGAAGAGGAAATCATAAATTGTTAATATATCAAGATTTGAGGTCAAAAAGTAAGCATTTGCCCCTAGTGCATGCAGCAATATTTAATTAAGATATCTTGTCTATTGATAGATTCCTACCCTGACCTTTTATTTGAATAACAATAGATTTAACCACAAACATTGACATGTGCACTTTTGTTAACAAACATTCTGTGGTGAAATTCTTATTATATATACTTAGAATTCCACAGGTCAGGGATTTATGCATTTTAAAAGTACAGCTTGTATACCATGCAGTTTTGACCAGACGCTGTACTTTTGGCTGCTAAATTCCCAAAGCCCCTGGCATTAATAATGAACAATTTTAAATTCAAAGCATGATAAGTCCATTAAACAAAAATATATTATGGCACAAAGCTAGACAAAACTTCCTGATAACAAATCTCCATTTTAAAGGTCACTTGACTCATTTACTAATGTCTCACTCCCTTGTTGTATTTGTGTCAGTATATCAAAGGCTGGTCTTGTCTGAATAATTACTAGAAAATAAGTAATACAGCTGCCTTCACAGTGCACATGAGGCTAACGCGATATTAACAACTATTTGGTCCAGTCCAGTCCCGATGGTGGTCTTAATTAAGGAACTTTTACTGTACTTTTATGCCAAGGTGTCTATACTGTGTCTATTTCAGTGTCAAGAAAAAAAATAACTTGATTAAAGGGACTCCACTGAGATTTTTTTTAATATGGCGGGATTGAAAATATTTTTCAGAATTTGTACTAATTGATGTAGGTGTGTGCAAATTTTTTCAGCTCATTCACTCACCTCATTTTCCGGGAATAATCATTTTTATTGTGAAACATGGACCAAAAATGAGAAGCATATGTAATGCTTTTCACTCAAATCCCGGTAATAATTGCAAAAAAAAACAATTTTCCATTTAATTCATAGTATAAAATCTTTGTTATGCTTCACATAGTTTTTCGTTTTAAGTGCTTCACGTACTGTTTGTAACATTTTCATATTTTATGTTTTAGATCGTTGAACCTCAGTTGAATTTCTTTAAGAAATATTAAACGGTTTGAAAATCAAATTCAGCATGGTTACAGAGTTAAATTAAGAATGTTTGCACTAAGATATGATGAAAACTGTACATATTTTAAACATGTCTTCACAAAAGATGAAATTTCCTATTTGTATCATTTTGCATAGAAAAGTAATTTGGTGTATGCAATTGACTTTAATTAATTTTCATAGTCACAAACTGTATAATTTTTGCACACCTGGTCTTAAAACCAACAAACAAAACGTGTGATCTCCATGCAAACTATTGATGTTTCGATGTAAAAGGACTGAGTCATTTACAGTTAATGTTTAACATTAATAGCAATGTATTTTGCATAACAAACAGGTCTCTACCTAAGCACATTGATACCTAAATGAACAAACAGAACTAAAAGTATCAAAATGTGTCCAAGTCCCGTTATAGCCTAAGGCTAAAAGAATAAGTATTTTTCTTGCCAGTTCAAGTTTACCGCTTTAAACTCCAATAGGGAGAGAATTAAATAAGAAATCCATAGGTTGCTGGTTTGAGCCTTGGGCATGGCATAATTTCTCCATGACAAATGATCTCGAACATCAAGTCTAAAAGCCATTTGTCTCTTATCGCTCATTTAGAAATCATGTTGGAATAGGATTTGGTCACTTGCATAGATTTTGGTAATGACTGGTAAGTTATCCAGGAAAGCTGACAAGGTGGGTCAATCACTAAGATATAATCAAAAACATGTTTAAATTGGCTAAGAAAACCAAAACAAACAAATCTTGAAAGTACACTGGGTCTGTTGTAAAGAACTAGTTTAGCATTATCAAGCCAAATTTGTGTAATGAATCTGAGCTGTTTTGAATGAGTAACTGTCTGTTGTAAATTAATCAAAATGCTATAATTATGGAAGGGAAACAGTATTGAGTACAGTCAGACTGCATAAGTGTTAACACTGGCCTTGGTGTTCAGACTGCATGGGTTTTCAGCCTGCCTGGGTGTTCAGACTGCATGGGTTTTAAGCCTGCCTGGGTGTTCACACTGGCCTGGGTTTTCAGCCTGCCTGGATTCATTCAGCCTGCCTGGGGGTTCACACTGGCCTGGATGTTCAGACTGCATGGGTGTTCAGACTGACCTGGGTATTCAGACTGGCCTGGGTGTTCAGATTGACTGGAGGTACAGACTGCATGGGTGTTCAGATTGATTGGGAGTACAGACTGGCAAGGGTGTTCAGACTAGCATGGCTCTGTACCAGTGACATGTGTAGGTCATTACTCAGTTATCACAAAAGGCATTCAAAGGCTACAATGTTAAGGCATGTAGCACAAATGGTAGTGAAACAGTTTTAGGAGAGTGAGAATTTGTACATGACTGCTAGATTTACTTCCCTTACATTATTCATATATCCCATGTTAGAAACTTTTTTAAAATCAGAAATCAAAACCATAAATAAATATTCGTCTACTTGTTCCTTTACTCAAAAAATATATATCTTTTTTCAACAACAACAGCAACAGAAAAGAGATTGTATTTTGAACAATCTAAGTAGGTCTGTATCAAGAAGCACATAGGTAACATTTCTCATTACAGATTAATTAAACTTCAGACAAATTTATTACATTCTAGCATGCTCCCCTACAAAATCCATGTATCTGTTTACCATAGTATAACACAAACCATTATTCTTACATGCTCAAGGACCATTTGGTTATCTTATGTTTTATTTACAATCAGGATAAATACAATATTAATGCATTGTGTAAAATTCCATGTATTTTTCTGTTTACTGGTTGTGGACCACCAAAACCGGACAACCACCAAACCCGGACGGCCCCGAAAATGCTTAATTTAGTATTTTCTTTGTTCAGTGGTTGTCAGTCACTTTTTTATCAACAATAAGTGCATGTTTCTTTTAAAATTAAGTAAATAAATTTATTTCAACCTCCGTAAATGGTAATATTTAAATGTCTATTTCAAGAATCTTGACGTTGAAATTCGGGGGTCAAGAAAGCATTGCCTGACCTCATAAAACCAGCTATTATCATTTGGAGATTGAATAATAGAATATCCAAAACTTCAGCATTTGTTGCTGACATATTATATATCATGTTACAAATCAAAAATCAAAACACCCAAGCTTTTATCTGAATTAAATCGCATCATGAACATATCTGTCCGGACATATGTGTAAAACAATGTATTTTCTGTTTAAAGTTAAGTATTTTCTGTTTAAAGTTAAGTGGTAGCAGGATTTTTGATTACTTCACAAAAGAATGAGTGAAACATTATGCTGATTTTGCTGATACGCATGATTAATCTTCCTGGTAAACTGACCTTGTTAAAATTTCTACCTGATTTTTAATTCATTTTGATAAGAAAACTTTCACGTATTCAGAAAAACTTCAATTTTCACGTGAAAACTTAATGTCACATGAAAACTCACATTTTCACATTAACACTCACATTTTCACATGAAAATTTTCAATGAGAGGAAACTTTCATTTTCACAGAAAACTTTCAGTTTAACATTTCAACTTTGATTTTCACATGAAAACTTTTGTATTCAAGGGAGCCTTTCATTTTCACATTATAAAAGGAAAACATCATTTTCATAGGAAAACTCATTGTAAGGGGAAAATGTTTTAACAGGAAAACTTGCATTTTGTTTAGGTTGAAAACAGACACATAACCCTTCGCCCAGAGGTAGTTATTGTCCCCATTCCAGAGATTTTCTAAGATTACATATGTTTAAATAATATTAATTTTTATTATAATTTAATAATTATATATGTTCCAATGTTAGTTTAATAATGTGATGTATATTCTTATATTTATTTATTTATATATAAATATATTTTATAATATTATTATTGACGCTAAACCGTCATATGAAATCGCCGAATACAGGCGCTAGCCGTCCTGAGTGAAATAAAAATTAATTTTGTTTTAGAATAATAAAGTAAATAATTATGTAAGTTGATTCATAAGAACTTCAGAAACTGTAAAAGAGAATAAGACTCGAAGTTTTCCGGCACTAAAAGACAAAAGACCTTTCCTATAGTAAGAAATAATCTCCTCTCTTAAGACATAAACAGTGGAATGGGTGGTCATTGCTACGCACTTATTGATATGTTAACATCTCTCCCCACTTGAAAAATATTTATATTTCAAACAAAAGTTAAACATTTTTCATACATCCAGTAGGCCTTTCACTATTATATAATGTTCTGTGTTCAGCATACAGAGCCCCAGAAAGTCACATAATGTGTTACAACAATACAACAACAATGAGCAAAATGTTCAATATATTGTCAAAAGGATTATTAATTATTATTGTCTACTTCTACAGACACTACATCTACAAACCCTACCTTTCATGCTGTGCTGGGGGTCTACAAATGCCATAGTTATCTCTAGCTGGGGAGTCAGCAGACGCCAATATTTGATGTAATATTCCACGATCTGAAAATATGGACTGAAAATATGTATTTCTGAAAATACATTACTAGTAATTAACCATTACCACTGCCACCAACCATTATATCATATTAGCAAGACCAGACTGCAAACTCTGTGTTCCAGTTTCAAAACACACAAATTCAGCAAGTTAAGGCTTAATACATAATTCAGATGTGTAAATTAGTTATTTCAACTTGCCATTAGCCATGGAATCCTGAAAGTTATTTTGACCCGTATAGACTAAGTTTTGCCAATTACAAGGCCAAATCCCAATGATTTTAACAAAATTTGACCCTCCAATTAAAATCCTGAGGGTCAAATCAGGCCTTTAGGAAATTTAAAGGGTCAGAGTCATTTCAAGGGTCAAATGGAAACCCTGACTGTCTTGCTAATCAAAAATTTCTCAGTTTTAAATTTCATTTTCATTCAGTTCTTTATTTCATTCTTGTTTTAAGAAAAAATTAAGAAAGCAATTTACATTAAAAAGTGTTGTTATTTTGCTTTTTATATTACCTAATTTCTCCTTTACTGGTGACCTTGATCTAGGTTTTGGAGATCTTGCTTTTGGTGACCTTGCCTTTGGTGACCTTGCCTTTGGCGACCTTGCTTTTGGTGACCTTGCCCTTCCAACCCTATATTCTATATCCGATGTATCATAGATGGTAGGTCTTGGTGCCCTTGCTCTAGGTGCAGGAGTATCCAAAGGTGAGGCTGACTCTTCAAGGTCATGGGCACTGTGTTTTGAATAATCTCCAACATTTGGTGGTTGCCTGGTAACAGTTGTCTTGGAGAAAGCCTTATTAGGTGCAGATGAGAAACGAGACTCAGGACTGTATGACCTTGGCTGATATGGTCTACCATTTGTTTCCCTCGTCATGGAAAGCAGTTTTGCCTAAAACAGATACATAGTATGTGAAGAAAAATATATCTTTATTATTTAATTAGATTATATTTTATTAAGTAAAAGTGCAAAACAAATGTACTTTAAATAAATACTTAACTAAATAGGCTAACCACAGTGATTATAATGATATACAACATGAAATATGTATGATTTAAGCTTATAATCATATATTCAATAACTTACAGAATGATTAATAGGAAAAAAAACTTCTTATAGAATAGTGTATTATTATCATCCACTAAAATGAAAACCATAAATATATTCATATGAATCATATGCACGTTTTTACAACATTAAAGGAACTCCCCTGAGGTCCAAAAGTCTAAAAACCTAAAATTTTAAATTCTAACATACATCATCATCAACTTGGGCATTTAAAACAGAAAAACATGCAAAAGATAATAAGAAGTACTTTCAGAATTAAATCTCAAATCAATTTTTGTAACATTTGAGCCTGATTTGATTTAATGTTTCAAAGCTATTTTCAATTTGAAGGTCATTTTGCACTACTCTGGGAAAAGAGAGTAAGCATACGTTATAATATTTTACACTCAAGTTATTGGTTCAGACCTACAACAAAAGTAAACGAATCCCGAAAAAATATTTCCAGTCCTGTAAGGATCTATATCAAACAAGAGCAATCAGGGACCTCATGATAGCCAATTGCATTGACGGATGAAATTGATCCCTATATGTTGCCACTACTTGCCACTACTTAATAGGGGAAACACAAAAACCTCAGTGGAGTCACTTAAACATGCAAAAACATTCGAATATGTTTTGTTCACTAGGCAAAAAAATAAAAAATAATTAAGAATAAAGCTGAATGATGTCATGTATGGTGTACCTGCATGGCCATTTGTTGTTCTTGCAATCTCTCCATATACTCTATTCTTTTGTCAGTCATATCAGCTATTTGTTTCTCCAGTTGACGTACACGATCCTGATCTGTCTGAGACATCGTTGCTTTCTGTGTTGATCCGCCACTCTGTAACTCATTTATCCGAGCCAACACTTCAGCCATCTTTAATTCCATATCTTGCTGGGCCTGAAATAAATAAACAAATACATATATCTATTAAAAGGTAAAACATTTAAATTTGGTTTGTCATAAAGCGACATACAAGGTTTATGGTTAAAGGGAGACATTAGGTGCCTATGTCTGTGATTATTTTAAGCAGAAAATGACCTAGGTTGATATCTTGATAGCTTCCTTACATAAAGATTTTTATAGCCTCCATACATAAAGATTCTTGTAGCTTCCATACATAAAGATTTTCATAGCTTCCTTCAGAAAGATTTTGGAGTCCGTAAAAGTATTTGAACACGCAAAGGCAGTGAGTCAGCTACCTAAACTGCTCAATCAAAGAGTCTGAGTTAATTTGATTTTGTGTCAATGATTTCTTAGACTGTGTAAGTTCATAATTTGAGTACACATATATCAAAAAATGAACAAATTTTCAAAGGGGAAAATTTACAACAACAAACAAAGCCAGTAAGTAAGAAACGTTTTTCCTTTACAAAATAAATGTAAGCCTTAAAAATTAATCAATAAGTAGGAAACATTTTTCCTTAGTTCAAATAATAACGTAGTAATATAAATAATTATTTTTTTTTTCTAAGTCCAAATAATAACTCATACCAAGTTCAATAAGTAATTCAATAAATTACCTTATGTTACTTTAAGATTTTTTTAAAAACACTGTAATTTCCTTATAAAATTACATTGCAGAGGACAAAAGCATCATTTTAAATTGTGCAGAGGAGTCCCTTAAAAGCATCGCAGACGTAATATAAGTTACAAAACCTCGGAGATAAATGACATTTTGAAGCTTTTAGAGCAAGTGTATACATTTCAGATACACTCTAGAAGGTTTGCAGACACATAAATAACAAAGAATATACACTAACAAGGAAGAATAAAATTTTAATTTGATAGCATCGGTTCTCTCTCATTTTCGAAAATTGGCAATCAGCCAAAGAAGTAAAAAAAAAATCATTCCCAGCTGCAGCATAATTGCTTTGACATTTTAAACTGAATGTAATTATTGTTTAACAATTGCTTAACTAACAGTTGTTATTTGAGTAATAGTTTTATTGTCTTCAATATTTGTTGTTGTTGCTGCCTAGTTTAAACTCTATTCAAATTTTGAAAGAGTGCTGGAATAATAAGTTATCAGCTGCACAGACCCATTTTGTACAATCTGAGCAGGCTAAACATTTCACTATAAGCTGCTCAAGCTTTTAATTCAAATATTGTTAGGTATAAATTAGAACTATATCTACACAATTCACCAGAATATGGGAAAAAAACATGTTAGAATAAAGCACACCAATCATTAAGTATGACAAATATATGACCATTCGTAAAAATGTTATAATATTTCAATTTTGATACAGAACTTTATAGTATATTGAAAATAATGGAAATTTGTCTTCCTGGAACTTTAATATATTATAAACATGATAAATGGAAAATGGCAGTCTGAGAACATGATAATATGGGAAAATGGCAGTTCTGAAACATTATATTACTTGAAAATGGTAGTCCTTGAAATTATCAAGATAGATTAGGAAAATGGCAAAACAATCCACTTAGGACAAAATTATTTAGGAAAATGGCAGTCAAGATCACACTTCCAACTTAAAACTCAATTCCAAATGGCTTCCTTTACCTTTATAAACTAGAGACACTACTTTTCCTGAATTACATTACTGCAGATTTCAGGAAGCATGCTTATGATTTCAACAAAATGCACTAGACATCCCCAAAACTAAACTAATCAAAGCAATTTTGCAAAATGACAAGAAGGGACATACTGAAGTGTAAAAATCATTTACATGGAACCTTTAATCAGACATCGAAATTATTATGCAAAGTGAGGTATGCTTAATTAAACATATTACCAGTTTTCATGAATATTCCTTAGACTACTAAACCTACAGCAAAGATAACCATAATAAATCATTGATGTTTATTGTTTTCAAAGTTGTTTAGGACATCCTGCTAGTGCATGTCATAATGACTTTCTATTTTTAACGAGAGCAGTGCAAATTTTAGCAAGAAATAGCATATAAATATTTATAAGTTTCTGTCAATCTGTCAATGTAACTGGATATTGCGACATAAACCATTAAAATTTTACAACATCATCTGTTAATGATGTTTCCCCAACAGACTAAAAAAATTCCTGAGACGATAATAGAATAAAATTAAAATCTAATGAAATATATATTTATTCGGTTTACTGGTGCGTTTAGAATTTAAAATTACGTATGACGGATACTGTATATCAGAGAAGACGGTATGGTACAGGTCTTATTGTATTTGCATAAAGTATGGCAGTGCATTTGTAATTATACAATAAGGAATACAGTCACAAAATCAATAGACAGCTGTGAAATTATATTAAAATTAATGACATAGCAATCCTGAAACATAATTAGTTTCCTTCATTGAAGCCACAATCTGGAAGATGCATTTGCATGCAAATACATAACCATTGTAGATAAATGATTTAAGTGTATAATTAAAACCACTTAAAACAAGTTCCGCTCTCTACATAACAGAATAATATCACTGCCATTAGGTTTTAATATTTCCCATTCAGATTCTATATTAATGCTGCTACTGACAAAATTGTGCCTGTCCACGTTTTTTACTGTGGAAGATGTGGGTATGCCTTTTAGACATAAGGCACTGAAGTAGAACCATTGACTGTGTAAGGCTTGCTTCATAAGAAATTATCAACTTCCTGTCAGGATTCAAACCTTAGTGAGGGGCAAAAGATAAGTAAATTAAACCACTCAGCAAGGGGCTCCTTAATCAGGATCATACCTTTAAGAATGGTTGAGTAGCAGCAACAGCAGCACTGGCAGCTGCAGCAGCTGTAAGAACTTGATCATTGGCCTGCCCTAGCTGAGGCTGCTGGGATTTCAGCTCTCCTGTACTGGAGGTAGTACTACCCTTACTGTCATGGCCAACTATTCTAGGCTGTACAACGCGTCTGATTGGTCCACCTTGCCTGAAAATATTGTTACAGATAATGATTATAAGGCAAACATAGAATTTATACCTGAAAATTCTAAAAAAAATGTAAATTTCTTATTTATTTGGACACTTTTTACATTTGTCAATATAAGGGATAAGCTGAAAAGAACATTTATGCATTAACCAGGAGGATTTATTTTATAGCATATAGGTAAAAAAGCTAAAAGCTTTTAAAGATTAAAAAACATTAAGAATTTCATAAGAAATCAAAATATTACAATCAAGGAAAAAGGGATGTAAATTGTAAAACCCAAATATTACATGTATCAGGAAAAAAGTTCTTTCATGACACATATCTTTTTCCTCTTTACTGGTTAAAACTAAAAAGCTGTTTGTTATTTCAAGTCTGTTGTCTTCTTGAAAAAGGGGGACAACTTACCTGTGCAATTCAGTATAGTTATTTGCTTTTGATAATTGCATTCTTTTATGTAACGTTTGTTCTGCTATTAATTCACTAAAATTTCATAATTTCAAAATGTAAATAACATATGATTTTTTTTGTAAATGAAATTTTAGACAAATCTACTTAACTAATGACTTATAAATGTCAAATACTGTTTCTATCTGCTTCACTGCTGTCAGAAAATGGCATGTGAACCTAGTTGTTATTTCATACAAAATATGGCACCTGAGTAGCACCGATTGAATTGAATTGATATTCACTTCTTAATATTTCTTTTATAAAAGCAGTAAAGAAACATAAAGATTTAATCTAATACTAAAAATAGTCTATAACTGGTGAGATATGAAAGGTTCATAGTAGAAACCTAAAGAACAAGGTAAATATGTATTGTCATGTACAGATTTATCATATCTTAAATTTTACATATTTTTCACTGGCTTTGCACACAATGCAATTTCACAGAAAAAAGTAACTGGATTTGCACAGTCCACACTGAAAATGCTATGATAAACAAAATATTGTCAAACATGTAGAAAGTAACTAAAAACTATGCTGAGTAATGTTAAGAGATACATGTACAACAGAGATCGGATTCAATATAACTCTTTATGAACATTATAATAACGATTGTTGTTTTTTTATTGTTGTTGGTAAAATATGTGTGTTCAGTAAAATATCCAGTTTTAACAAAAGGTCAACAGAGGTATGTGATGATACAATATTGCATTGATTTCCTGTTTACTTTATTTAATGCTGGTAACTAAAAGCAAAGTCTTAAGTATTTTTTCAAAATTTTGTAATTTTGTGACTTAAATAACAAACTCCAACCCATATTTTGTTTAATACGCTCACACAATAAACTTAAAACAGTAGAGACCTACACAATCAAAAGTTTAAAAGTTATTGTTCTAAAAAAAAGTTTGGAGATAAAAACACAAATCTTTTTACATCAGCCATTATTTTTTTTCGATAAGAATTTTTAATAGCATGTAATTTAAATGAAATAATTTGTCAAATACATGATAAAAAACATCTAAAACTGCATTATACATGTTATTATACAGCCAGTGCTATATATTATATGAATATAAAAATACCTAAAGTTAACATACTTTATTGCACCATTCATTGTAACTTGGGCCCCCCTCGCCTGCAAGAAATAGAGGTAACTTTGAGACTTTTTTTTCTGAGGAAAAGCAGGGACTTTGACTTAGATCATTAAAAGCCAAGTGAAAGACCCTACATTGCAGAGAAAAAACAGTTAGAACCTCACTAAAAGTTGGAACAATTACCCACTAGTTTAGTGTGAAAATAAAACTGCTTTTTATGACTGAACCCAGCTTTCAGTCATATGGAATGTAAAAAATTTGTCTCATTTTCCCCGCTATCCAAGAGGGGAGGGGAGGGGGACTGGGGGTTACAACTGACTGGTGCAGTTTATGGACTATGTACATGACATCTATGTGTACTTTATATAGCCTATATATATATAAATGAGAAAATTCATGACTATAACAGAATAGTGTATAAGAAGACGCTATTTACATTCTACCTAAATGTGTATATAAAATTATAAAGTAATTACTATCTATCAATTAATCATTAAAATATATAACATATACATATATATATATATATATATATATTATCAAAATATAACTGTTTATACTGGGAAAAAAACTGAAAAATCTCGACATTGTAACCATAAAAAAAAAGATTTTTTTTTATCCTTAAAAAAAGAAATATTCTAATGGAGAGATAATATCTGTATAAAATTTGTATTAAAAATTTTGAAGATCACTGATTTATTTTAAGTGTACCTCTATATATGTAATATACATGTTATTGCATAAGAGAGTAACCAAAATACATGTATCTAATTTTAAAACATAATTTCATGAAATTCATCGCCTTGAGACTTTTGAAATGAAAGAGCAATATCAGTAAAGAGCCTGTTCATTGGTCAATTTCAAATCAGAAACAACCAATGAGACTCTCTCTTTTAGTGTTGTTTACGTGCCATCAATAAAGAGCCAGGCCAGCCTGCACATCCATGCAGTCTGCCTAGCTTCTTCTGGCTATTCAAATTCAAAATTTCAATACTGAAACCCCTTTCACTTACAAGGGACTGTCCCAAATTCAAAAAGGGCCAAGTCCATTACATAAATTCAGGGGGGTAAGGGGGGCTAATACTATGCTATTTTTGGAAACAGAAAGTAGGAAGTTAAAAATATTGTAAGACTTTTAACATAATATGTCTTGGGTATGTACACACCAAAAACCAAAGATTTGATTTTGAAATTCTGTTCTCTGGGAGTAAAACAGAGCTATACAGTTTTATTTATGGAACTAATTCTAATAGAAACAAAATACACCATAAATTTGCTTTCATTTTCACAATAAACAAGTATTTTTGTTATCATGGCCTAAGACATAATATAATGGGACAATTAACTTTAAACTAGATAGGTGGACTCACGTTGGTATCCAAATGATAGCGGATTTAAGATTTAAAAAAATACATGTAAATAAGTGATTTTTGTACATTGTATATAATACAGGAGCATTTTTATGATGTATTTTGTTATAATTTTTTGCTCTTGTTTTAATAAAATAACTAAAATATTTAATGTTAATCTTGTATAATTTGTAGTACTATAGCTGTGTTAGTGGTAACTGGTATCACCTTATTGCCTCTGGCCCAAAACTTGGCATACTAAACATAACAACAATATGGTTATAATATACTGAAAACATTTATCATTAACTAAATTATCAATGCAGAACAGTTGAAAAGCTATATAAGTAAAACAACATCACAATGGTGGAAAATCTAGACTAAGAATTCAAGAAAATGTGTATACCATAATTGGAGATTCAGCAGTTTTTTTCCACGGTCAATTTTAGTTTCATAAAATATTGGTCAATTTACAGGAAGTAAAATATTGGTCAATTTTAGTGAAATATTGGTCAATTTTAGACAGGTAAACAATTTGTCAATTTCAGTGAAACAAATCATTGGTCAATTTTAGTGAGGTAAAATATTGTTCATTTAATTAAATCAAACATTAAAGTATTTCACTGAAGTAAAATATTATTAGTACAACAGACAATCGACTTTGTATCCATATACATGTATAATATATAAGCAAAATATCCTTGAATATGTAAATTCAAACTGAACAATTTCAATCTTTTCAATCCAGAAACTTTAACTGTAATACACCTTTGGCACCAGTATACATGGCGCCAGGTTTAACCTTCACATTCAAGCAGTGCAGTCTACCTTGACAAGTTTGATCATTAACTTACAAACCTTATTAATTTTCATGTGTGACATCAGTGCAATACATTTTACAAACAAATATTTCAGACTTTTATTAGTCTAATACCTCTGCAAAATAACATTTTATCAGCTGAAAGGTCAATGTGCATCAAAACCCATTAGTTAAGTGCAAAGAAAAACCATAAACCATAGACTGTTATAATAAAAAATTTAATTATTGCTAAGCTCATATAATTTTCATGTTAATTTCCAAGAAAAAAAATCATATATTTTTCAGACAAACTTGAGTTCAAAACCATAATGTTGATAATTTTATTACTTAAAATGTAATTGGACTAATAAAACATAATAATTTGATTATGAATTTTATTTCCTAATGTCTATTACAAGCACCAGGATTGGATAAAGCTTTAAGCAAAAACATTAATGTCAATATATCCATATTATCCTTAGAAATTGAAATAAAATCCTATTCCCCACCCCCTCCCCCCCCCCCCCCCCCAAAAAAAAAATTTCCTTCATAAAAACTCATGTGGTTTTTAATTTGATTATGGATTTTATGTATAACGTCTATTTTTCAATGGTAGAACTTTATAAAAAGAACTTTACTAAAAACTCAATCAATCACAAAACTAATCTTAGCATGCAAAATGGCTCTTATATCATGAAATATTTCTTTAAATTCATACAAAGGCTTTTAATTATTATCTAGCCACAGCAACAATATTAAAACCACATGAACAATAGCAAAAATCACTCAAATGCAGTGAAATTTAAAATATGATCAATACCTTCTTGCAAACGTTTCTTTGGCCATTTTCTGTTTATCTGTAAGTTTAAAATCGGATATATGTATATCTTCATCTTTCGGTTTATCCGGCGCCTCGTGTCCGTTCACTGGCGCCCCCTGTTGGAGACCGTGGCCTGATGTTTGCTGTAATAAATGTAATGACATGTGTAATTATTTCAGATTGTAACAATAATTAGGTTACGTCTGCTATCACATTATCTCCTTAACCCTGACCATGCTAAATTTCTTACATGGACAATAACCATTCACCATTTTAAGGTAAAATTTCTATTTAAGACCTGATGTGATAGCATGGATCAAAGGTTAACAAATAATATGAACAATAATGTTAATTTTGATATGAGCTGATTTTGAAATGTGGGTATTTATTTAAATAATAAAGAATAAAAATGTTTGGCACAGTAAAACCATGCACCTATTTGACTATTTAATACTTCAAATTTAACAAAATTATTCAAGTTATGAGATTTTTTGTTTTGTATTTGGTTACATGTAGTTACATCAAGTTAAATCAATATTTTAAGAGATTTTGTTGTGAAAAAATGAAAAACAATTATTTTTTACTATTTTTCCCAACAATTTTTTTTGGGGCAAAAATTAAAATTTTTTTTCAAGTTTTACATTTTAAAAAGGTATTACTTTGGCCAGGTTTCAAAAAAAAGGCTTTTCCTTTTACACTGACAAAAAAATTTAAACAGTTAGTTATTTTTTACTTAAAAATCTATTTCATTCAAAATTTAAAATAAAATATTAAAAATTTAAAATATGGGCAGGTTTATTTTAGAAAACCTTAAAATTAGTGGGAAAGAGGTCGAGTTTAAAGAAGTTGTTTCAGATCATCATCCTAAATTTTGGGGAGCCCGGAAACAGGCTGGGGGAAAACCCACTTTTGCTGTCGTCTGCAAAAAAAAGGAAAATTTTTTTTCCTAAAATGTTTTCAAAAACAAAAAAATTTTTATGAAATATTAATTTTTTAAAGAACTTTTTTTAAAAAGTGAATTAAAGCAAATGCATGCAAATGTATTCAAAAAACTATGCTAAATGAAAAAAAATCAATAGATGACCAATTGAATAAAATAACGATAAACATTTTACTGGCAGGGGAAAATGAGAGGATAGTGTCTTTATCTACCTTATACTCTTTAACTTTTTACCTCATATAGACATGTTTTGACGGCTTTTCACCCACCCACCCCTTTTTTTAAGGTCTCACATAGTGAAAAAAATTCCATATGTAGGCACCAAACATCGTTTTTCATTGTTCAAAAAAAGTGATCACTTTTTTGGTGCCATCCCCTATCAAAAAGGTACATCAAGGGGATGCCAGAGGGGGGATGTGCCCCCTTCTGTTTGGGGGATTTGAAGGGGAGCAGCAGCCCCCCTTGTCACCAAAAAACTTTTGGACTAAAAATGGCCTCAGGTCGAAGGTAACATATAACTAACGCTGGAAAGTCTTTGACTATCTCAATCCATTGAGAATTTGCAGCACTTTGAAATCAGTTTTGATGAAAAAAAAAATTCAAAATAGTGATTTTTGGCAATTCTGAGACGTCCCTCCATAGAAATAGTAACCAGAAATTTAAGATTGAGCATGTTGTTACAAAGGCTATGGTCCAGTCAACATTTGTGCCAAATTTGATCAGTATTGAAGCATTTTTTATAGTTTCATAATAGTTTGAACTTGTAACAAGAGGCTTTTCAGTGAAAACGGCCATTTTTGCAATATGCTTATGCAGTAAAAGGTTTATAACATCTTGCATATACATGTATGTAAAGGTTCATTTATATATTATTCTTGTTAACAATAAACTGTTGTCTTCAGATACAATGTAGTTTATTAATAAGAAATTTGAAATACTTTTCCAATATATTGAAAGGATTGAATTTAAGAATGGAAGCTAATAGAGCGAATAGAAAATTTTGTATGTATAACAATCAAACTCCAAAAAAGGCCTCAGTTCCGTACTTCTTTCATTAGAATCATTACACACTATTCGAGAATGATAACTTAGACTTGTTGTATGTATTTATCTTAGTAACACATTACCTAAGGTTTTTGCTTTTCCTTCTCCAAGCGGCCCTTTATCATCACAAAGTTTAAATCCAACGTTGTGATAGCTCTCTACAGGTGGCGCTGCTTTTGTTACGATATCGCTGACACTGGATGCCGGCGACAATGAATTCTTTGCTGACACGGTGACGATTCTTTCACGTACTGTTACAATTTCTGGTTGACTGCTACTCCTACTTGAATCTTGTGCTAATTATCAATATACCAACACATTAATATGTATTATATACATATACATACATGTATAATGCATGACAACTAAGAGGTACTTCACAACATCATACATGTGCTTAAATCGTATAACTAAATTAATATCTACATGTATACAATGAGCAAAATTTTAGGTTTAAAAGAAAATAATTATGTAAATAAAATGTTCAATAGTGAGAAGAAACCAGTTTTGCTACTGAGATCTTAAAGAACAATTAAAGTATCATTTTCATTAAAATTTAAATTTTTAAAATGTATTTTAACATAAAATATTGGAAAGTAAAAAAAGAAAGTAACTTAATTTTTTTAGGTAACTTATGGTTCTTAACTGACATTCCCTACCTACTTTCCAAAAAGGAGGGCATGAAATTATATACATATATATAATAAAAATTATTAATCAATTACAACCAGCCCTAGTCATACATATTGAAAATAAGTTATAGTCAAAAAATACCATGAGCTGTGATGATTTCCACACTATCTTCAAGATCCTGCAAAAGATTTTTCCTTTCTGGTAAACCTGTACTTTTTCCAGGGTCATCAATCCTGGCCTGTGATTTCTGTGGGGTATGCCTCTCAACAAAATACTTTGGTGTACTTCTAAACTGCATGTTTGAATCACGAGCATCTTTTGCAGCATTTACTTTGTTTGATGCTTCATCTGCACCACTGTCAACACTTTTAGAGCTGCCTGAACTTGACTGAGATTTTTTATCAAATTTATTATCCCTGAGAATATGGCCATTAGTTCTGGGTTTTGTTTTAGTAACCATGTTAACATCTTCGTATTCCTTTTCTGCCGATTTTCTTACTTTTTCCACTTTAAACTGATCTTTAGTATCGGCTCCAAGTGGAAAAGGCCGCTCTACAGGAAATTTATCCCCATTAGAGTCATTAGAACTTGTAACTACTTCTTTTTCTTTTCCCTGAGTAAGTCCAGCATTATTGTTAGCATTAGATTTTAAAGTCTGTCTGCCGTTCAACCCTAGCAAGGCTGACGGCACTTTGCTATCACTTGAAGCTGACGATCTTGGACTTCCTTCCTCAAATTTCGGTTTGATTTCTCTTAAATGCTTTCTAGATATTTTCACTTTTTGCGGTCCTGAAGAATTGAAGTTTTCAACACCCAATGAAGTTTTTGAACACTTAGAGGAGGATCCGCTAGAACTTCCATTGTTACCGTTCTTTCCTTCAGCAAGAATGCTATGTTCACTTTTATCTAGTGTTGACTTAATGAGAACATCACTTGCAGTAGTGCTGACGTCAGAGGTTTGCTCCTGTAGACTGCCATCTGTAGGAGAGGTCAAAGGTTTTCCTCGGGATTTATCCTCGCTTGCAGTATGTGTTTTACTGATAATTCCACTGTCATGACTTGTATCATGAGTAGGCTGTGAACATAAGATAAAAATAAAATACCATGACTAACAAGAGCTGTCACAGGAGACAGCGAAGCTCGACTAACAAAATACTGGACGCAGTAAGGAGGACAATACTATGAAAGAAAAATCAATTATGTATAATTATGTATTAAGTGACAGTAAAAAAATTTCATTTGTTAACATAAATTCCAAGATCAAGGGGAATAATTCTAAAAATAGTCACGCTAGAGTTATGAACTTTTGTCACAAACACATGTGTGTTATGATAAGAAATATATATTTGGAAGTTTGAAGTAGATACCTTAAAAGGTAAAGAAGTTTCTTAAAGAAAATCCTAAGTTCAAAGAGAGATAAATCTGTAAATATTGCTTCAAGAGTTATGAACATTGTCACATAAAATGTAATTGATGATAAGGAATAAGTATTTGAAGTTTGAGGTAGATACCTTTAAAACCTGAAAAAGTTATAGTAAAAAATAACATTTTTCCAGTGAAAAAATCTAAAGTTTATAGGGAGATAATTCGCTACAGTTACGAAACCTTGTCACATAAGATGTGGATGATGATAAGGTACATATATTTGAAGTATGAAGTTGATCCCTTTAGAAATAAATAAGTAACAGTAAAAAATAATATTTTTCAAGGGGAGATAAATTTGAAAAATATTGGTGCAAGTTATGAACAAGGGGAGATGATAAACATATTTTGAAGTAAAATATTTTAGAAATAAATAAGACATTTAAAATAATATTTTTTAAGAAAATTTCTAAGTGTAACATAAGATTAGGTCACATATGATGATAAGGTACATATATTTCAAGTATGAAGGTTTGATCCCTTTAGAAATAAAATAAGTAAACAGTTAAAAAATTTAGTATTTTTTAAGGAAAACTCTAAGTTCAAGGGGTAGATAAATCTGAATAGTATTGGTGCTAGAGTTATGAACCTTGTCACATAAGATGTGGTTGATGATAAGGAACATATATTTGAAGTTTGAAGTTGATACCTTAAGAAATGACAAAGTTATAATGAAAAATATTTTACTGCACCAAAACTTTAATCTGAAATCTGGACGCGGACGCGAGTAGGACAGCTCTCCATATACTTCGTATAGTCGAGCTAAAAATGGTAAATGTTATCCATAAACATGTTTTTATCATTCATTAAAATCAATTGTTCCCATCTCATGTCTTATACTTTTATGTTACATAAAATTATACTGTGCTGTAAATCTTAAATTCTTGCTGCCATGTTTCAAATTGTCTAGAACAAGTCAATTGTACATGTAGGCTATTGTAAGATGATCTAACAAAACCATCAAATGCTGAAAATATATAATTGCTATATCATAACAAAACAAGAGCACCGCTAGGCGGAGCATTATATGCCCGAAAGTACCTTTTCTTTTAGTGAGGAAGACATGGGAATTAAATACAGTATTACCTCCTTCAAAAAGCAATCCTCCTTTATAGCTGAAGAACATTCATGTATATATACAGTTGCTGTTTTCAAAGCACCACCATCAAGTTGTTATCTTGTAAGTAAAAATGCTACAACGGATGGACGAAAAGACGTCAGGGGTATAAAGCTGTTAATCCTATAAAATTTTACAGCTGTAGGTTGATTAATACTTGAGTTATTGAGCGAAAACTGTTTCCAGTTTAAAGGTGATAGTAACCTTGATCTTTGACCTTGTGACCCCAAAATCAATAGGGGTCTTCTACCCAATATGGACAATCATCCTATGAAGTTTGAATACTGTGGGCCAAATGGAACTTAAGTTATGCTCCGGAAACCATTTTCAGTATTAAGCTAATAGTGACCTTGACCTTTGACCTTGTGACCCCAAAATCAATAGGGGTCTTCTACCCAATATGGACAATCATCCTATGAAGTTTGAATACTGTGGGTCAAATGGAACTTAAGTTATGCTCCGGAAACCATTTTCAGTATTTAGCTAATAGTGACCTTGACCTTTGACCTTGTGACCCTAAAATCAATAGGGGTCTTCTACCCAATATGGACAATCATCCTATGAAGTTTGAATACTGTGGGCCAAATGGAACTTAAGTTATGGTCCAGAAACCATTTTCAGTATTAAGCTAATATTGACCTTGACCTTTGACCTTGTGACCCCTAAATCAATAGAAGTCTTCTACCCAATATGGGCAACTATCCTATGAAGTTTGAATACTGTGGGCCAAATGGAACTTAAGTTATGGTCCAGAAACCATTTTCAGTATTAAGCTAATATTGACCTTGACCTTTGACCTTGTGACCCCAAAATCAATAGGGGTCTTCTACTTAATATGGACAATCATCCTATAAAGTTTGAATACTGTGGGTCACATGGAACTTAAGTTATGCTCCGGAAACCAAACTGCTAACGGACGGACGGACGGAAGTTCTCACAGGACAGTAATTATGTGGCTACTCTATTGTTCTCTCTATTGTTCTTTTTAGCCACGCAAAAGAAAATAACCACATAAAAGCATTACGGAATGAATGACATCAAAGAGAACCTATTGTCCCTCTAGCCACAAAATTACTCTCCTGTGAGTGCGGACGTACAGACGTACGGACGGACGGACGGACGGACAGATGGACGCCAGGGGGTATAACATAATATGCCCGAAAGAATTTCGGGCATATAAAAATGAAAATGTTATGTACTTTTGCTAAATAAACTAAAATAAAATTCAATAAAAATTAACACCATACAGTAAAGTTTTCAACTTACCTGAGATACTTTAGGGTCACCGACAGATCTTCCACTTTGCTGTGACCTACCACTATGTTCAGACAGCCTACTCTGATGGCTTGACATAGATCCCCTACTCTGTGCAGACTTCATAGATCTGTCACTGTCCAATCGTCCTGTGTTGTCGCCTTGGTGTTGCTTATCAGAGGACCGTACAGAGCGATCACTAATCAGCTGACTGTGTGCTGATTTTCCTGACCGATCAGTTCCAGGATTACTTCCATTTGATCTCTCTGAGTGATCACTACGAATTGACTGGCCAAGAGCGTCATTACGCTGCGATTTCTTAGACCCCTGGCTACTCCCCGACTGTGCCGATTTATTCAAGGCTTTAACAGCTGCATCAGTAATTGTCAGCAGCTCTAACATTCCTCCGGACCCACCCCCTGAACTCTTACTGTCCATAGAGGTGTTCCCTATAAACATATTACAAAGTTTTTTACATTTAAGAAAAAGTTATCTAAATTTATCATTACAAATATAAATACAATATCTAGAAATCTCAATGATTTTATTCTAGACAAGCTGATGCTGATCATTTTTCTGGAACATTTTCAAGGAATTTTCAAATAACCAAGCAAGTAAAAAAAAAGTAAAAAAAGGTTAAGGTGCATCATTTATAAGAAATCACTTTTTTAATTAGTCAATTTCTAAACTGAATTCTCATTCAACATTTTCATTCAAAAACAAAACAAAATTACTGGAAAAATACATAGTAGCAAATAACTGACAATGGGTAACATGATAATATATAAAAATTTTTTAAAATTTTTAAAAAAAAATTAAAAATTTTAGAAAAAAAAAACATAAAAAATTGGTTTTTTAATGAAAAATAAAAATTTAAAAAAAACTTCCAAAAAAAAAAAAAAAGTTTTAAAACCAACGGGGTTGGTTAAAAAGGTTTAAAAATTTTTTTTGATTTAAAAAATTTTGATAAAAAAAAATTTTTAAAAATACCTTTTGAAAAAACTAAACTTTGATCATTCTTTATAAAATTAGTTTAAATAATGTTATTTTTTTTTACATTTTTGGTTTTAAATTTGTTTTTTTTGTTAATTTTTGGTATGCAGAGATACTATGTTTAAATTTCAAAAAAATAAAGGGGGTTCATTTTTACCACTTAATTTTTAAACTATAACTTTGAAAGTGTTATTAAGTGGAAAGTTGATTTTATAGAATACCCTCCTACATGTATAATCATCAGAATACGGTTACCGCTCCTATAATCAACGAGTTACATTGAAAATGGGGGCGCCCAACTTATTATGACACTGGGAATTTCAGTGATACATGTGTAGGTATAAAAATCTACATATTTTTCTACCTTTTTTATTTGATTTTCTTTTAAATATACACATGAAGTCTAGAGCCGGGAAACGCAAAGCCGGGGCCCACTTCGCGATCATGGACTTTGACCTCCCCGTATAATTCTAAATATGTTGTCTAAATGCGAGCTCAAAGCAAATTTACCACACAATAGCTTAGAACCTTCACACATCTTTGAAATTTGAAAGGGGCAAAAATATTTTCCCTAATTCAAGGGGTTAGGGGTGCAAAGAAGCATTTAAACGGGGAAATACCCAAAAAAAATAGAAATTTTCCCCAAATATAGAAAATTTATTTTTTTTTGTAAAAAATTAGTAAAATGAGGAAAAAAATAATTTTATAAAAAAATTTTGATTCCCCTGTTTTTTTCATTCATTTTAAAATGGACAGTTAAGATTTTAAAAATAAATTTACATTTGCTTATTATTTATAAGTTTAAAATTTTAAAAAAGGAAAAAATTTGTTTTTTCTCACTTACATTTTAAATCAAATTTTTTAAATTTCAAAAATTAAAGGAAGTCAGTTTTAAAAAAAAAGTTTAATGGACAAACTTAGGGTTCAAAAACAATGATAAAAAATTTTTTGGGGTATGTTTCATTAAAATTCAGTAAAGGATATTTATTCATGTTAAAACAACTTTTTAAAAGTGAAAAAATTTATTTTAATAAAATGGGCCTGCTCGCTAAGCAAGCTTTACGGAAACGTACCTGCTAAGTGATGGTTTTGAAAACTTTCGTCCAAAGTACCGAATTGGACACATCTTAACTTTTTGAATTACAAGATAACGATAAAAGCCGATGTACTCTGATTGAAAACCGAAGCGTAGACTGGTGTCCTGCGCACTTATACGCGGAAAGTCAGAGGGTTGTAGCGCTCTTAGATAACATGTATGACGCGTATCAATTCAAATGAAATCAAATTAAAACTAAATGAACATTTCAAAAAAATATATATCCTAGACCTAATGAGCTGTGAAAAAATCCTTAGTTAACTGGGCGCCGCCATTTTGAAATCCTTTTGAGCTAAATATAGATATCAGAGCGCTTTTAATGAGCGTCTACTTAATTCAGACTGTTGCTAGCAGACACATTCTAAGTAACACTTCCGGTGGAAGAATGATGTACAAAATCAGAAAATAAACCTGCATTTCATTAACAAGAATTATAGCAACGACTATAAATATAAAAAAGATACTTTAACATATCCTTTTTGATTAATTAGCACATTAAAAATAACGTAAAAACAACATTTGTGATTAGAGATTAACAAAAATGGCGGACGGGATTTTCCAAACGCCGACGCATGCGCAGTGGTCCCCCTTTACATTCGGAGATTTGAGGAATATTCCGAGCGCTCCGATGATAGGTTGAACACCACCAATTTATTCGTTTTGTTTATGGTACAAAATACCTGCAAGAAAGATCTGGTGTACATTTACACTAAACATGTTATGCTAAAATCATAATTCATAAGAGCTTTCCGCGCCATAGGCAGCATCTAATTTCATATTATAGGAACCATAATAGAAAGGAAGAACCAGAATAAACGGAAGCAGTGTATAAAATACCGAATGACAATTTTAAAACGGAAAATGTAAAATGAAAATGAACGATTATTTTAAACTAGTTTACGGTAAAAGAAAATCAAGCTTGCTTTGAGGCTTTGCCTTTTTCATATTATGAATTAGGCAAAGCCTCAAAGGGAGCACATTGACAGAAATTATAGTACATATATATACTTAAAATTCATTGGTGGCTACACATTTTATGTTTTCAATACACTAAGTACTGCACACTTTCGTCCCCACTCTACACAACCACACACTCTAATATGAAATAATGCAAAGCCTATGAATGGTTAAGTCAAAATAATCATTCATTTGTATATTACATTTTCAGTTTAAAAGTGCCATTCGTTTTTTCGAAAAGTTGTGATTAATCAATTACCCATAATTTGCAGTACTTCTGTCGGAAGCTTTGAAAGCCTTAACTATCTAGCAGGTACACCGGTTACTGTAAAGCTCACTTTTGTGCCCTTAAGGCCTGCTCTTTGAGCTCACTATTATGATAAAAGTTATTGAGAGTTGACCATGGCGAAGGTAGGATCACTTTTCAGGGGCGTCCATGGTCAAATGGTCCAAACCACTTAATCCTCACCGCTGAAGGTTCAAATTTTCTTTATGACTTTTGATTCTTTTATGTGAGGAAGCTATCCATAACCCGACAGAACATCATGACCATGTGTGCCTGAAATAATACACTGAGGGACACCTGTTTTTAACATTCAAGCCCCCATTTTTAACATAAATTTATATAATTCTTCTTTCATCCTCTTTTAAAACAACACTTTAATTTCCTCTTAATTTAACATGCATAAATGTCTACATCCCTGCAAAAGGTTTGACATTAAAGGAAGACAGATAGTAGATAGTTCTAAGTCTTCCTCCGTCAGTAAAGGTATACTTTACATTACAGCATAAAATCTGCTAATTTCCAGCTTTTGCCCATGTTATAACCGAACCAGAACCATGTGTTAACACAGTCACACGCTCTTGTTATAGCCTATGCGCAATACATACAGGGCCCAGTAAGCAAACAAAAAAAATGATGATTTGGCCTGTTGGCCAAAGAGCCATGCACTCTTGTTATATTGAAATTATTGATCGAGGACCTCAATCGCATAACAGCGAGCAGCATTCAAGTAACTATGCCGGAAATTTGGCATATAGACATGGCTGTCGCCCTTTTTAAGAAGGAATGGACAGTTGTCAATGTAAACAAATATCAGTCATTCAGTTTAACCCTCCGATTAACTTACAAAACAAGATCACACAAAATGAATATGAGAAAATGTTGTTTTATTGATGTTTATATTGATAAATGCCCTTTATATTTCTTTAAAAGAATAATGTTTAGTGCCTGATTTTTTTTAGCTCACCTGTCACAAAGTGACAGGGTGAGCTTTTGTGATCGCTTTTCGTCCGGCGTCCGTCCTTTTACTTTAAATGACATCTCCTCATAAATCACTAAGCCAATTTCATCCAAACTTCACAGGAATGTTCCTTTGGTGGTCACCTTTAAAAATCGTTCAAAGAATTTAATTTCATGTAGAACTGGTTGCCATGGCAACCGAAAGAAAAAAACTTTAAATATCTTCTTTTAAAAAACCATAAGAGCTAGAGCTAAGATATTTGGCATGAAACATTTTCTAGTGAGTGTCTACCAAGTTTGTTCAAATAAAAGCCCTGGGGTCAAAATTGGCCCCGCCCGGGGGGGGGGGTCATTGATTTTCCCTATATGCATATAGTAAAAACTTAAAAAATCTTCTTTTAAAGAACCCAAAGAGCTAGAGCTAAGATATTTAGCATGAAACATGTTCTAATGGGTGTCTACCAAGTTTGTTCAAATAAAAGCCCTGGGGTCAAAATTGGCCCCGCCCCGGGGGGTCATTGATTTTCCCTATATGCATATAGTAAAAACTTAAAAAATCTTCTTTTAAAGAACTCAAAGAGCTATGGCTAAGATATTTAGCATGAAACATGTTCTAATAAGTGTCTACCAAGTTTGTTCAAATAAAAGCCCTGGGGTCAAAATTGGCCCCGCCCCGGGGGGCCATTGATTTTCCCTATATGCATATAGTAAAAACTTAAAAAATCTTCTTTTAAAGAACCAAAAGAGTTAGAGCTAAGATATTTAGCATGAAAAATGTTCTAATAAGTGTCTACCAAGTTTGTTCAAATAAAAGCCCTGGGGTCAAAATTGGCCCCGCCCGGGGGGTCATTGATTTTCCCTATATGCATATAGTAAAAACTTAAAAAATCTTCTTTTAAAGAACTCAAAGAGCTATGGCTAAGATATTTAGCATCAAACATGTTCTAATAGGTGTCTACCAAGTTTGTTCAAATAAAAGCCCTGGGGTCAAAATTGGCACCGCCCCGGGGGTCATTGATTTTCCTTATATGTGTATAGCAAAAACTTAAAAAATCTTCTTTGAAAAAACCCAAATAGCTAGAGTTAAGATATTAAGCATGAAACATCTTTTAGTGAGTGTCTACAAAGTTTGTTCAAATAAAAGACCTGGGGTCAAAATTGGCCCCGCCCCGGGGGTCATTGATTTTCTTTATATGTGTATAGCAAAAACTTAAAATCTTCTTTGAAAAAACCCAAATAGCTAGAGTTTAGATATAAAGCATGAAACATCTTCTAGTAAGTATCTACAAAGTTTGTTCAAATAAAAGCCCTGGGGTCAAAACTGGCCCGGCCCCAGGGGTGTCATTGTTTTTAACTATATGTGTATAGTAAAAACTTTAAAAAAATCTTCTTTGAAAAAGCCCAATGAGCTAGAGCTTAGATGTTTAGCATGAAACATCTTCTTATGGGTGTCAACCAAGTTTTTGCAAATAATAGCCCTTGGGTTAAATTGGCCCTGCAACGTTGGGGGGGGGGGGGGTTGGGGGGCCTATATACAGGTGAGCGACCTCAGGGCCATCATGGCCCTCTTGTTTATAAACTTGTGTGTTGAAAAAAAAAACGTTTCTGATGTCACTGATCTTTTTTCTACTGTCAATCTGAAATCATTCTAGGTATTTCTGAGTGTCATGTTTTGACTTGGGTAAAGTAATAATGTTTTTTCTTGAGTTAATAAATCTCTAATGTTAAATCAATTAAAATTTGAAATTTCATTCGGTTCTGAGCATTTGTATTTCCCAAGTTGTTGGCCCTGAAAAATAAAATGCATACGTAAAACATGTAGAATTGGTTAAAAACCATCCAAGCACAAGGATTTAATGTATGTGTTTTGTATTCAATGTACATTATGAATCTGTTTTAAAATTTTATGCTATAATAGCGTCAACTTACGTTTATTTCGTGTTATAAAGTCAGCAGAGTCCACGGAACCGTTCGAGAGCTAGTGTTCCTCAGGACTCTGCAGACGTTATAACAGGGACAAACATGTGTTAACCCAATAGTATCACCCATGTGAAAGAACTTGTAGGAACGAAAAAATATTGACAAGACCCTGAAAATTGAACATGTTAGTAAAAGTTGTTGGATAAAGATTTTTAGGCGTTAAGAACTTGTTGAAAGATTTTACAAAACACACACAAGAAAAAGAGAAAAATATACAATAAACTGCACTCATTCTGTGCTGACAATGTTAAAAAGGTTAGTGAACATTGTATATGTCTGTTAAAAGAATGACTAGGTTTAAATGTATTGTAAAAATTCCTTGCTAATATACAGAATATGAAGAGAAAATATCAACAAATGAATCCCTGATATCAGGTTAACGCCATATTAACTTATTTCAAATATTTGGATTTTGCAGGATGGCAACATTACAACAAGGTATGGCAACACCTCAACAGATTGAAGAAAGCATGAAGCCAGTATGTTATTTTTATAATAAATCAGTTCTTGAATTAATAATTAACTTTTGGCATCCATGGCTAAGTGGTTAATGATGTTGACTTCAAATCACTTTCCTCTCACCACCTTTGTATCCCCAAGGTCTGTGGATTCTTTCATGTGAGAAAGTTATCCAGTTAGGAATGTTGGTGGTTCCACTCGAGGGCCTGTTTCTGCCTGAAATAATGCATAGAGGGGCAGTCTGGCAACTGAGGTCTTCCTCCGCCAGTAAAGCTGGAAAGTCACCATATGACCTGTTCAGAGTTAGTGTGATTTAAAACCCAACAACAATTACTTACTTCTGTGGTAATTATCTAAGGCTTTTTATTGTTGAAGAGCTTTGGAAGAGAGATGGTATAGGTTTTCCCTTGTCTGCCCATCCATCATGCTGTTGGTCTGTAGACTGTAGACAAAATAGTGGAATGTTGAAGCATCCATGACCTATGGAAACATTTTTTTTTAACCTTTTATCAAATTAGTATTTTTCTTATGACAATGATTCTTTTTATGATCCTCATTTTTTCTCCATGATATAATATTTCAAAATTGATATACAAAAATGTATTTTTATGTTGCAAAATTGATATACAAAAATGTATTTTTATGTTGCTTTTATTTTTCAGTTCAGGGAATTCCTCACACAGTATAATAGGATAACAGAAAAATGCTTCAATGACTGTATTTCAGACTTTACCACCAAAAATATTTTAAATTCTGAGGTAAGATTTTATGTCTTTGTAATCTAGAGATGAATAGATATACGAGGGCTGATTGATAAATTGGCGGGCGCGGGATTGTATTATTTTGTATAATTGATATTTATTCAGCAATATGGAAATGTAATTGCAAACTTTTTGGTTTACCTCTATTCGAGTTTTCATGTAATTCAATAAAGTAATTAGATTTTTAGAGGATAATTCGGCAAATTTATCAATCAGCCCTCGTATGATATGAAGTTTGCAGCTTTATCTTTAGGGGACAACTGATGAATTGCTGGTAAAAAATGTAGGATCAGGACATGGGTTGGTGAAATGTAAATCTGTCTTCTCTTGGATGGGATTTTATTTTGCTGATTCAGAAATTATGTTGGGTTAGTAGCTGATCATTGGTGGTGTAATTAGTAATTACTGGTTAGTTATCCAGGAAAGTCAGTTAGATGTGGTGTAATTAGTAATTACTGGTTAGTTATCCAGGAAAGCCAGTTAGATGGATTGACCACCGAGTTATGACCAAATAATGTGTTAAAATCAGGTTTTGAAAAAAAAACAAAAACAAAAAAATATACAATGCTTTCAAAAATCAAGAAAAATACATTTATTTTGAATGAGGATTAGAAATGCAGCAGAGTTTCTGTTTTAAAAAAGTGAGGAATTTAAGGCCTTGTTAAATATTAATATAAATGATAAGAAATCAAACAAGATGTTCATGCTGTATTATTATATTTAACATCTGTTTAAAGTATAGAGTTAAAGATGTTTTTATCATCATAATTCTATTATAATTATTTTTGTCGTCTTTCAGAATTCTTGTTCATTAAACTGTTTAGAGAAGACATTAAAAACCACACAAAGGATATCTGAAAGATTTCAGGAACATCAAATGTTAAACGTGGACGATCCAACTGCGGCTGCCATGCAAACAATGGGGAAATGATGAATTTAACAATAGTATAGGATATTTAAGATAAATGATAAATTGTTGCATAGAGATGAGCTGGTGTGACTTAGTAAATGAGGCAACACTACAAAAAGATTGTGGTAATCTCTCAAACTTGCATAGATTGCTTCATTACACAGTATAAAATATGCTGTGTAAGCAGTTTCATACATGGAATCTGACACATAATTTAACATTAAATATATATATACACATTTGTATTCATTTGGATACATGAATGGAATGTTATAGAAGAAAGGATGTTATAACATATTTGTATCATGGCTGTGACAGTCATAGTGTGCTTATTCTATTAAAATGATTATATAATTATGTTTAAGTATGTAGATTTAAAACATTTTTCACAGTCTCAATGGTAAGTAAATGCATGGAGACTGCACTAAAATGTTGCATTGTGAAACTTTCTCGAACTTGGAAAAACATATAAGAAATATGAAATGTATTTAGAAATAAGAAAGATGCAGGGATTTACAGTGTAGAATTTTATACATGGTTTTTAAACACATCTAATATAAATCAATATGGCAAAAGTTGTTTAATATAAATATTTAATAAACATTATTTTAGCACTCTTTTGTTGACATTACTGTAGATCTTAAGACGAATTGTGGGAGTATTTTTCTTATTTTTTAGTGACTAGTTATTTTCTGACAAATATTGAGTGACTGTAGTTGGTTTTTTTTTACATAAATATTGAGATCAAAGCATACTTTTTAAAAAGCTCATAAATCCAAAAGCTTGAAAAATCTTGAATAGACTGTGTAATTTTTTCTCATATGTCACCAGAGTGTGTTCTGTAAGATAACATGTTTTTGATGATATTATTATTAAAAGTATGAAATATCAATTTCTTCCTTGATCTTTAAATACCTACTATACAATGTATTACACATAATATTATGCAGTTTGTTAGTTTGAAGTATTATCATTTTATGAACTTGGACTATTTGCATGCTACTTCAAACCACTTGCCCCTCACCGCTGTGGGTTCGAATTCCGACAGGGACTTTGGATTCTTTCATGTGAGAAAGCTATCCAGCTAGCTGGTTCTACTCAGGTGCCCTTTCATGCCTGAAATAATGCAAGGAAGGGCACCTGAGGTCTTCCTCCACCAGTAAAGCTGGAACGTCGCCAAATGACCTATACTGTGTCGGTGTGACGTAAAATCCAATCAAAAAAAATATTTGCATGCTTTCATGTCAGCTGATTTTTGGTGCAGTGTTACAAGTCTCTTTACTGCCAGATTTCCTCAAAATTGAACAGTTCTATAAATGGAAGCTGGCCAAGTCCATTGAAGAAATTTAACAGAAGAGTTAAACCTTTATGAGCACAGGAACTCGACATAGTACGATATGATGATAAACCTAATGCTAAATAATCTTATTTGTATTTATTTATTGTTGCCCATCTGGATGTATATTAATCATTTACAAACCGGTGGAAAATGCATAAATACTAAAGATGCTTCAGTTCTAGAAGCAAACCTGGTTCTTTTGTGTGTCTGGCGTAAACAAATTCGACCACGGTCATATTCTAATTACTAATACTAGTAATATACATTGTACTATATTATTACGATCGGTTCGATTAGGACAACCAGAGAGCAAATCGCTAACTTTCTGTGCATGTAAAGAAGCAAGTTTAAAGTGAAAATGTTATGCATATTTAACACAAATATGCATACATGTATACAGGTACATTTTTGTATATAATTGTCAGGGGCGTAACTGAGCTATTTTGATAAGTACTCCTTAACTAAGGGGGTTCGGGGGCATGCTCCCCAAAGAAAAGTTTTGAACAGAAAGAGAAAGCGCTATCCTGGCATTTTGTGACTATCTAGAGGTTATATTGACAACATATTGGTGATGATTTCAAACTCTTTATTAATTCTAAAATATGTAAAATGAACAAGTACGTTACATATTCCATAAAACCGTGTTTTTTTTTAAAATTTATAATCGAATTTTTTGGCATTAAAGTTATTTTGCGACCTCCAAACTGATGTTATAGCAACAAATCTTCCGTATTCAGTAAATTTTAAATTAAAAAAAAAACAACGACCTCTATACGTCTGTTTCGTTGGAATGCCAACTTGTCTACTCGGCATTTACTACCCTATATTTATGAGGCCTAGACCAGACATACGCTCAGTCTCCAACGTGCGTACTTCAGACGTTTTAGTTTAGTTGTTGCCGTTGACAATGACATGACCATTAAAACCGTCAAAAATGCCTCATGTTTGGGCACAGAGCCTTGTTGGACCGTATTTGGTACAAAAACGAATATGGTACAAATGTACCATATTCTGTCGAATATGGTACAATGGTACAAATGTACCATATTCGGACCGAATATGGTACAATTTTCGACCGAATATGGTACAAACATTGTACCATATTCGGTTGGAATAAGTTTTTCTATGCTCGCCAAAACGTATTTGGTACATACCAAAAAAACTCATAAAATGAAAATGGCCTACGTATATGGTACATAAATTATGTATTTCTTAATAAATGAAATAGTCTGCCGATGTGTAAACTTTTTTTCAAACTCAAATACATTGTATTAACCTAATATTGGAAGTGACAAAAGTATCATCATCATCATCATCATCATCGTCGTCGTCGTCGTCGTCGTCGTCGTCGTAACTAGCAGTAACAGAAACAGCTAACCTAACCACACTTTACATGGATTTTGCTGGTTGTGTAACTGTTTCGCCGGCTAGCTCAGTCGGTTGCGCGTCAGATTGGCACGCAGGCGGCCTGGGTTCGATTCCCGGGCGGGCCAGATACTTTCGTGGAGATTGGTCACGAAATGATTTCTACGGCCATTCTTCCCCTACCGCTGTTTCAAATAGGGCAGTTGTCAATTACTGGCGAATGTATCTGCTTAGTACTGGTTTACTAAGTACTAGTACTCTAAAGACTAGAGACGTGCTTGCTCCAGATAACTCTGTAAAAGTTTGAGGATTATCGCATTTTGGTTATGTTCATAGAGTGTGAACTTGTAAGGGTAAAGGTAGGCGAGCAAATCCATGAAGCGCGCCAGCGCTTCTTGGAAAATTTGATCGTTTAATACCCCTCGGTATTAATGCTTATATTTTAATACATTTTAATAAGAATTGGTAGGTTTTGTCCAGATATGATTGCTTTAAGCAAACGTCGTTGCGGGAATGTCGACGTCGCATTCGATTGGTCGAATGACGTCGCGTCAGCCATATTAATGATTTCGTGCATTGTTTGGGTCAATCTAAAACTTCTGACAAGAAGATATTGCATGAGAAAATCCGAAAAATAAACAAGAAATTGGGCCGAAAAAATAACTAACGAAATTCATATTTCATGCATTTGCAGTTGTTTTACGATAGAATTTCTTCGATATAATTCAATATCCTTTGGTCAGTAGTTTTAGATTGACCCAAACAATTCACAAGATCATTAATAGCAATTTTCAAATTTTTAAAACTTTTTTTTTCGAAAGTGTATTTTCACCAAAATCCGATTTAAGAGATTTTGAGCTCTTTTAAATGAATATATCTCTCCAAAAATAAGGATGTTTGACTGGCTGCTTTAGACAGGTGTGACTGTATTCCTAAACATTAGGCGAAAAGAAAAACGTTGATGCAAATTGTAGTTATGATAATGATGATGACGATGATGATGATGACGATGATGAGTGTGTACCATATTCGGAACGAATGTGGTACATTTTTCATCCGAATATGGTACAAGTTTGTACCATATTTGGTCAGGCATTTTACCCCAAAACTGCAGATACGTATATGGTACAATTGACAGCTGTACCATATTCGGCCGAATATGGTACAAATTTGTACCATATTCGTTTTTGTACCAAATACGAGGTATGTTCAAAAAGTTCGTGGATTTTTGCTGTCATTTTTTACTTGGTTCATAAAAACACCCTTATGGATATGAATCGAAAGAGTGTCTTTATTTTCAAAAGTAAGATTTACTTTTTATTGTTAACTTTTATTTCTTTACGAGTTATGTGCACTTAAATAACCATGGCAACGCAACATCGGCGCCCGCCGAAATTTTTATATAATGTTTAATTATAAACAAATGTTGAAACGAATTAAATGATTGTTTTATAAAGTTAAATACAAGTAATCATCTATTAATATTTAAATGACATAAATCTGACTTTTGGCGTCGTTTGGACGTTGAATAGCTGAACAAACAAGTTTTGAGCAGCAGTAGACAGACGGGTAAGTTGGGAAGTATAAACCCCGTTTAAAAACTAGAAATTCGCTCTTTCGGAAATTTTTACCAATAAATGTGGTATACTCCTTTTATATTTTTATAAAGGTGATTAAATTAACGAAAAACAATGAGTTGTCGAGCAAGTCTCTTGGTTTCAGGTCGCGCAAGCGATTCAAATACGGCAAATACATGCTCACAGAGAGAAAGGGCGACGAATAATTTTAGCGGAAAATTGTTGGGACGTTTGTAAACGTCAATTGCAAAAGATCTATAGAAGTTCAGGCATTATGACGGTTTTGCGAGATGTCCGACATGTTTAATTTCTGCATCGGGTCTATGCATTCAATTCTGACAAAACAATTTAATTTAATTAAAATAATATTTTATTTCATTCATCAGGATATATGCGTATTTACAATAAATACTTTTATTATATACTTATAAATGAAATATTGAGAAATATTGATGAAATAAAATGCATATTTTCATTTTCCGTATTTTCACTGTAAAAATTTATTTTTTCACTGCAGTGAAACATATTTTCTGTATTTTCACTGGTGTGTTGCCGGACTACTTTCTTTTAAATTCTGCCAGTACACAAAATTTCAGGGAAAGTCTTTCAAATTTTAATGTCAAAAAAGGAGAAAAATGTATATAATAAACAGAAAATTCAAGTTCTTTCTATAAATACATGATTTATTTTCATCTTGTGGCATGAAAATTACCATATTTCACTCGTGGCTACCGCCACTCTTGAAATATTTATTTTCATACCACTCGATGAAAATAAATCCTGTATTTATAGAAAAACTTGAATATCCTCTATGTAGTTATTATTTGTATTTCCTGTATTTACCCTGGTCCGTTTGATAATTAATGCTAGCCGGTGTTCAGCAGATTAAATACCGCATAGAATAATTGTCAGTTGATAAAATATTTTCTTTATCATCGATAATCATATTGTTTAAAGATCGGACGAGGGCGGTTTCAAATTGATACTATCAATCAACAATTGAATTAACTTAAATAACACTGTCCGTTTAGTGTCTAAATTACTCAAAAATCCCGATAAAGAGCGGAAAGTATGCGGTTATCGGACCTTTATACGGAGCATGGAGCGAATAGATGACCACTTTATATCTCGGGTCATCATCGTAAACAGAAAAATGGTTATGGTATATGATCCGCAGATATTGAACACTAAAAAGAGTACTTTCAGAAACAATGACGCTGGTAAAATGTTTCATTTATATTGCGACGTCACGAACGTTATTTTGTTTTTCATCATCAGCGTGCGCCGGATTGTGCACCCCTTGTGATTTGTAACTGTCATAGAATTGTTATTTGTAAACATATTGTATTGATTTTTTCACTGTTTATTAAGGACATATTTTCATATATGTCTCTTGTAAAATCATATACGCAAATTAAAAGATGTGAACAGTAGAGCCGCAGTCCACGAACTTTTTGAACAGCCCTCGTACGGTCCGACAGAGCCTTGCTTCCTTAAGAAAAGATGGGCCGCTGGGTCCGCGTTAGTCCATCACATAAGCCACAGCTAACACTGAGACTCGGACAAAGATGGGTTTATTCACATTTAAGATTGCGTTAAATGGAAGGTACAATGCCCCAATGCTCTCTCAGGAAAGAATGTATACCCGAATATGTGAGGCTATGAATATCACACACTGTCTTCGACTTCTACAATATTTAGCCTATAGAATTTAAGAAGAAAGTCCAAAATACAGATAAATACAACACTGAAATAAAGTTTTGAAAAAGTACCATTTTATTGTGGGTGTTTTTTTTCCACGGAAATTAACAGTTATAAATTTGAAAAATGAAATAAAACAAGAAAAATAACAATTCAAAAAATTTACAAATAACAATCAATGAAAATCAAATCGAGCTACAAAATAATTCTCCTCCTGTTCCATTATCAGCTGTATTGCGTCGTCCGTTTCTTTTCCTAGTCGTTTCATAAACTTCCAAAAGTCAGGCTCTTCTTCCTGAAAAGATATCAAAAATAAACATCACTATGTTTTGTTATTCCTTTGTGAAGGCTTTAATTAAATTTAAGAAGAAAAATATTTTGTTTGCTTTTTTAAAATAACGAGAATAGTGATTGTGTGTGTATTTTTCGTCGTTTTATCAGCGCTTTTAACGTTCTCTTTATCATTTTGATATATCAAAGCGGTACATGTGTGTTTATTTGTTTAGTTGCTTTTTAATTGCACAATAACAATCATATTGTTCTAATATATTGGACGGTTACTGTCAAAATATAAAAGAGCATATATTAAAAGTATAAGATCATATGATATAGTAACGTTCAAAAAACTTAAAAAAAAAACAATTATTTTGAGTATCTTTATTGCTATTAACTTAAAATACGTGTTTTATTCTATCTTAATTACCTCTTCGTACACACATCCTTCAGTATTAAACTCTTCGTCCACATGTCCTTCGGTACCGTTGTTTAATTCATTCCATAAAGCATCACTTTGAGCAATCGTCTCTGCCTCTCTTTGTACTCGTTCATGTTCTTCGCTTCCCGCCGCCAGTTTTTCTTGTTTCTGCTGATCTTTATAATTTAAATGGGCCTGCTGCACTAATCGATGCCATACAGTTGATGAACTGTTTTGTGATGGAAAGTTGTTGTTTTGAGGGGGTTGTGTGTACGAAGTCCTCGTAGAAAATGTTGGCATCGCCTCGTACCATATACCTCCGTACTTAAATAATTTCTGCAAATAAACAAAATGTTCGATTTACGGCGTTGATGTTTATAAAAAGACTTTCTATTTTTAGTTTAAAATTAATGCATTATTATAATCTATCAAAACTAAAATACCACGCCATACAAAATGTCTTCAAATAACATTTTGTCGCAACAGAAGGTCATTTTGTCTGTCCCACAAAATTGTAAACACTTGATTTCATGATAAAAAAAACGTAAACACCTTATATTAAAACATATGCTTGCATTTTAATAAAAATAAAATACGTTGATACATTGTATATTATTAACAATTTCGTAAAAACACACTTAAATATTTGTGCCCTAAATTAATAATAATAATAACTAAAACCGCCGACTTTTCAATGTTTCGGAGGAATTCTGTATTTAAAATGCAGTTTATTTGAAAACGAATTTAACTTCATCGATTTATGTTTCTTTATCCACAATTTTCTTATATTAAACCAATATATTTTCAAGAAAGAATAAAAGGCCTGAAAAGGAAGATTATTTCATTTTTATTATTCTAGCTCTATCACAATTTCACAATTATACAGATAAAAACAAAACTTACCCTATCGTGGATTGTTGTTTGTATCACTGGTCCACGATCACGCACGTATCCCATAGATGTAAATACATTTCTCTGGTCAAATATTGTGAACATTTTATTCCGTGTTGTACAAAGATTCGATATAAACTGCAACTAAGACAACGATGTCATAATGAAACGTCTTATTTGACGTCAACAATTAGGTTACGTCATAAAATATTACGTCATATACTTTAAAATAATGTATTGTTAAATATTTTGTAAAAATATCTCTTAAAATATTATAAGCAAAATATTTTGTAATTAATCCATTTTAAGCTGGACATTTTCGAAGAGTCATGTCGGCGTTGCCGTCTGCAAACTTTAACCTGGATCATAACATTTTAAGTTCTTGGTGTACTCTCTTCACACTTGGCTGGACAAGACCTTCAAGGAGACCAGTACCCTTTAATTCAAATGTCTTAATTTTGCTTGATTCTAAGCTCGCTTTTTTTCGAAAACAAGAGATTATTGTAACAAATTCATGGGTTGTTTGTCGTTGGGCCGTTTTGGGTTATTAAATTTTTAAGGGTTGCCTGACATTATTTGTCTTCAACATAATTTTGGCCATTTACCAAACCCTTTGGTACAATACCTTTAATTAGACCAGACTAAAATTGACCTTCATTCATAAATGGCCTAAACCTTCAAGGCCAAATGTCTAAATTTTGCTTGATTTTTGAAATTAGTGGCCATTACAGTGCGAATGCTCTTTTAAAATTTATTTACTTATCAATTTTGATCAATATAGATGTATATAAATTTGTATATGTATACGCATCTTTCAATGATTTATGAACTGACTGGTTGTTATTCCGTTTCAGTAAGTCTTATAATATATCTATATGTATATGAGTTTAACTGTTACAGTAACATTAATGCGAAAATGTTCTTGCTCTTAGAAAGCATAACAGACGAGTTAAATAAGTAATACCAGTACATTAGATAGTTATCTTGCAAATATGGGGAAGTGTTACGTTGGCACAGATGTGACAATTTTACGTTTTTATCTATCTCGTGCGCAGGAGAAAATTAAGTGGTGCGCACGAGATACTATGCCGAACGCACGAGTAACTAAGTCCTTGCCCGAGTTACTCATTCGTGTGCGCACGAGATAATTAAGTGGTGCACACGAGATAATTTATCGTGCGCAGGAGTTACTAAGTCATGCACAAAAATTTTATTAGATGTCATCTACTGATCAGGTGTAATGTCCATACAAGTTATATGGACCACGGCGTATTCCTTTCAAAGTTATTCATCAAACAAGGATTTTACATCAAGTGTCATGGTTACCTTGACCTTTGACCTTATGACCTCAAACACCAATATAGGTTATTTATGGGACATGGTTAATGTCCCTACCAAATAAAAAAAACATGGCTTATTCCTTCCTAAGTTATTCATCAGACAAGGATTTTACATGAAGTGTCATGATTACCTTGACCTTTGACCTTATGACCTCAAGTAATCTTCGGGCCATGGGCAATGTCCATAACAAATAAGATAAACCGAGGCTTATTCCTTCTGAAATTATCGTATAGTGAAGGTGAGAAGACCGTTAGTACGTTTATACTGATCAACTCTATCAAAGGATAGTCCCCACAAATGACTATAACTTATTCAAAATTAATGTCTCATTTATGGGCCGTGGACTGTTACCCAAAGGCATATATCAAGTTTAAAATGAATACCTTGGAATTGGTAAAATAGATCAGCCTGACTCTTGGTAAGATAGACCAGTCTGAATCTGTCCTAAAGCTACCCAGCGGTTATTCCTTTGTAGAACCATTGCGTACAACGAAGTTGTAAGGGTGGTATACTGGAATCAGCTTGTCAGGACGTCTCCCCGTCCGTCCGTCGGTTTTTCCTTGTCCGCCCAATTACTTGAGATTCCTTTGGCCCACAGTCTTCATATTTGGCATGAAGGTTAGTCATGATTAGAAGATGACCCTCTTTATTTTGGGGTCACTGGGTCATAGGTCAAGGTCACAGGGGCCTTGACTTTAAAAAGCTTGTCCGCCCAATAACTTGAGATTCCTTTGGGCCAGAGTCTTCATATTTGGCTTGGATGTTAGTCATGATTAGTAGATGACCTCTATTGATTTTGAGGTCACTGGGTCAAAGGTCAAGGTCACAGGGGCCTTGACTATAAAAACCTTGTCCGCCCAATAACTTGAGATTCCTTTGACCCACAGTCTTTATATTTGGCATGGAGGTTAGTCCTGATTAGTAGACGACCCCTATTGATTTTGATGTCACAGGGTCAAAGGTCAAAGTCACAGGGGCCTTGACTAAAAAAACCTTGTCCGCCCAATAACTCGAGATTCCTTTGACCCATACTCTTTATATTTGGCATGGAGGTTAGTCATGATTAGTAAATGACCTCTATTGATTTTGGGGTCACTGGGTCAAAGGTCACAGGGGCCTTGACTTTAAAAAGCTTGTCCACCAAATAACTTGAGATTCCTTTGACCCACAGTCTTCATATTTGGCTTTGAGATTAGTCATGATTAGTAGATGACTACTTTTGATTTTGAGGTCACTGGGTCAAAGGTCAAGGTCACAGGGGCCTTGACTTTAAAAAGCTTGTCCACCAAATAACTTGAGATTCCTTTGACCCACAGTGTCCATATTCGGCATGGAGGTTAGTCGTGATTAGTAGATGACCCCTATTGATTTTGAGGTCACTGGGTCAAAGGTCAAGGTCACAGGAGCCTTGACTTAAAAAAGCTTCTGACAAAGTGGTAAGCGGGGGTATTCACGCCATGACAGTGGCAGTTCTAGTTTAGCAAGTTTTTAGTAGTTTTTTTTTCAAATTAAGCACCTTTTATAGAGGAAAATTGTGGGACTACATGCAATTTCCATGGGAGCTTTTACGATTGCGTTAAATGCAAGATACAATGTCCCAATGCTCTCTCAGGAAAGAATGTATACCTAAATATGTGAGGCTATGAATAGTGCACACTGTCTTCGACTTCTACAATATTAAGCCTATAGAATATAAGAATAAATTCAAAATACAGATAAATACAACACTGGAATAAAGTTTTAAAAAAGTACTATTTTATTGTTGGTGTTTTTTTTTCACGGAAATTAACAATTATAACTTTAAAAAATAAAATAAAACAAGAAAAATAACAATTCAAAAAATTTACAAATAACAATCAATGAAAATCAAATCGAGCTACAAAATAATTCTCCTCCTGTTCCATTATCAGCTGTATTGCGTCGTCCGTTTCTTTTCCTAGTCGTTTCATGAACTCCCAAAATTCAGACTCTTCTTCCTGAAAAGATATCAAAAATAAACATCACTATGTTTTGTTATTCCTTTGTGAAGGCTTTAATTAAATTTAAGAAGAAAAATATTTTGTCTTGCTTTTTTAAAATAACGAGAATAGTGATTGTGTGTGTATTTTTCGTCGTTTTATCAGCGCTTTTAACGTTCTCTTTATCATTTTGATATATCAAAGCGGTACATGTGTGTTTATTTGTTTAGCTGCTTATTAATTGCACAATACCAATCATAATGTTCTAATATATTGGACGGTGAATGTCAAAATATAAAAGAGCATATATTAAAAGTATATATAAGATCATATGATATAGTAGCGTTCAAAAAACTTGAAAAACATTAATTTTGAGTATCTTTATTGCTATTTACTTAAAATACGTGTTTTATTCTATCTTAATTACCTCTTCGTACACACATCCTTCAGTCCACATATCCTTCGGTACCGTTGTTCAATTCATTCCATAAAGCATCACTTTCAGCAATCGTCTCTGCCTCTCTTTGTACTCGTTCATGTTCTTCGCTCTCCGCCGCAAGTTTTTCTTGTTTCTGCTGATCTTTAAAATCTAAATGGGCCTTGCCATACAGTTGATGGATTGTTTTGTGATGGAAAGTTGTTGTTTTGAGGGGGTTGTGTGTACGAAGTCCTCGTAGAAAATGTTGGCATCGCCTCTTACCATATACCTCCATACTTAAATAATTTCTGCAAATAAATAGAGGATATTCAAGTTTTTTCTATAAATACATGATTTATTTTCATCGAGTGGTATGAAAATAAATATTTCATGAGTGGCGGTAGCCACGAGTGAAATATGGTAATTTTCATGCCACAAGATGAAAATAAATCATGTATTTATAGAAAAAACTTGAATTTTCTGTTTATTATATACATTTTTCTCTTTTTTGCGATAAAATTTAAAAGACTTTCCCTTAAATTTTGTGTACTGGCAGAATTTAAAAGAAAGTAGTCCGGCAAGACACCAGTGAAAATACGGAAAATATGTTTCACTGCAGTGAAAAATAAATTTTTACAGTGAAAATACGGAAAATGAAAATACGCATTTTATTTCATCAATATTTCTCAATATTTCATTTAGAAGTATATAATAAACAAAATGTACGATTTACGGCGTTGATGTCTATAAACAGATATCATAAGCCTATTTATTTTTAGTTTAAAATTAATGCATTATTATAATCTATCAAAACTAATATAGCACGCCATATAAAATGTCTTTAAATAACATTTTGTCGCAACAGAAGGTCATTTTGTCTGTCCCACCAAATTGTTAACACTTGATTTCATGATAAAAAAATAAAGAAAGCCCAACACGGCAATATTAAAAATGTTGCAGGCTCGGTTTGATTTAGCCTGTTCATTGACGGTACTGGAAAGTGCAAGTTACCGTCCACGCCCCCTAGCACCGGCTTAAGCAGAATTCAACATTTAAAGATGAAATAGTAAAATTTTGAATTTAGAAACATCCACAGATGTGTTCAGGCCAAGACAAGTGTAAAAAAAAATATCCGTTTCTCATAAAAATTGCTGGATGCTTTTACGAACCATTTTAATCAAATTTAAACCGTCACTTCACAACTTCACACCAGCTCTATTTTACATGATTCGGAAATCCCATGTGTCCTTTAACAATGTATAACAATTGACCTAAACACCTTATATTAAAACATATGCTTGCATTTTAATAAAAATAAAAAACGTTGATACATTGTATATTTTTAACAATTTCGTAAAAACACTCTTAAATATTTATGTCCTAAATTAATAATAATAAAAACTAAAACCGCCGACTTTTCAATGTTTCGGTGGAATTCTGTATTTAAAATGCAGTTTATTTGAAAACGAATTTAACAACACCGATTTACAGTATGTTTCTTTATCCACAATTTTCTTTTATTAAACCAAAGCTTAGCTAAAGCCTATGTATTTTTTAGAAAGAAATAAACCTTAAAAAAATATTTTATTTTTTTATTATTCTAGCTCTATCATTATGTCACAATTATTTTGATTAAAACAACAACAACAACAACAACAACAGAACTTACCCTATCGTGGATTGTTGTTTGTATCACTGGTCCACGATCACGCACGTATCCCATAGATGTAAATATATTTCTCTGGTCAAATATTGTGAACATTTTTATTCCGTGTTGTACAAAGATTTGATATTTACTAGCAACTACGACAATTAAGTTACGTCATAAAATATTACGTCATATACTTTACTTGATTGTTATGATTTTTTTTCATTATTTATATGTCCTCTACTATGTAGTAATATATTATACAATGTATTAGTTGTAAAATATGACCATAGTTTATTTGACTCATAATTTGGTTAATCCTATAATCTGGAATCCCTTTTCATATTACACTACGTTTCGTCTTATGAACCATAAACCAGACTAGGCTATTTACCCTGTGGATTATTATTGCCAGATAAAAAATCAAGTCTTTTACCATGCAACCAGACTAATTATGCTTCAATTTTCGAATATTTTCGGGCCATGATCTTCCAGAACTTTACCTGCCGTACGTATTGATCAGAGTATGAAAATATACAAATTAAGTAAGACATGGTATAGACAGAACGGACAGCAGTTTTCAAAAAATGCTTGCTGCAACATCATGTGTTCCAGCAACAGACAATGATTGTTCAAAACACGCCGGAAGAGTCAAACTCTCCAATTTACTCGTTTAGTATTGAAAAAAGAGGAAAAAGAGAAAAAAAAAGAAAAATGCCGCTGATTGTCTGCTGTATTTTTTATAATGTCCACGTACGTAAAAAAAAAGTAAAATTGTCTTTTAAATCGGGAAACATTTTACCAGAAACAGTTGATCTTTTTATAGAGAAGATAAAGTCTATCCTGTTTTATAAATTCAATTATTATGATATCACTGATAGTGATTCTGTTTGTCAAAGTCATTTGTTATACATTGTTAAATGATACATGGGGTTTCAGAATCATGGAATCATGTAAATTAGAGCTGGTGAGAAGAACTTTGTGAAGTGACGGTTTAAATATGATTAAAATGGTTCGTAAAAGCATCCAGCAATTTTTATGAGAAACGGATATTTGTTTTACATTTGTCTTGGCCCGCAAAATACTAAGTTAGACCTACATTGTTCATATGTTACTCTGTTAATGGTCATTATATAAATATTTCACGGTAAGGCAAATTTTGATCAGATCAATTCAAGGAATTCCGTGATACATATTTAATGACGAATCTTGACACAATTACAGTCCACGCGGTACATAATTGTTGCAAACGGTATTGACATCTGACGATGTTGTCATGTGCCTTATATTGCCTTCAAGTTATTGCTCTGGCCAATCAGCAACTAAATGGGACTGGTGGGTAGTTATTGACATGCTCATAATAAAGGCATATATCACTTATATAATACTCTAACAAAAGGAAACTGAAGTCTGGCTGCCAGATTTTGATTATCGCTAGGTGACTTAAGTTGCCGTTAAGTCACTTTAAAACCTATTGAACTGGTTATTTTTACAATGAAATCGCAACCATGTTAAGTACTTAGCCGGATCTAATCAATGAATAAGTCACGGCAGTCTTCGGAAAAAAGGAATCAGTCTTTCCCGTTGGTATACATTTTTTATAGTTTTATATACACGGCTGCTGTCATATCATGAAGAAATCTTACCTTTTTCTCTAAAATATAATGCTTGCTGTATTATAAATTCGTTATAAAGATTGTTGACAGGTTATATGGCCGTATATAAACGGCTGTTTGCAATATAACCCTCGCCTAGCGGCTCGGGTTATATTTACAAGCAGCCATATAGGGCCATATAACCTGTCAACAATCTTATAACTAATAAGTTATAACATATTATATGTAGCGTTGAGCTGTGATGCTGCCTTCGGCTAGTAACAACATTTCCGACACATTAACAGTGCCTGTGCAACACATACTCCAGGATGGTTTGAATCTTTCAGAATTATAATATCCAAATCTTCTACAAGCTAACTACTGCGTATCATTATTTTTTGAAATATATCTAATACATGTAGTATGATTCTTTTGTCAAACTAACTAAACTAAGTTTCTAAATTGGATTTTTGTCTCAATGTGATTTTATGTAAATTTTCGCGGTTGCAGACATATCTCATCGTGAAACAATTCAAAATTCTTATCTTAATGACTCTATTTATGTTACAATTTGTATTTGGGTATTATTATAAACATGGGAGTCAGATTTTTATCCAATGACCTGAAAAAATTAAGGGGTGTCATCTACTGATCAGGTGCATTGTCCATACAGGTTTTATAAACCATGGCTTATTCCTTCTCCAGTTATTTATCAGGCAAGGATTTTACATGAAGTGTCATGGTTCCCTTGACCGTATGACCTGAAATATAAATATAGGTTATCTACAGGTAAGGCCCCCGCGATTACACGTTTGAACGGATTCGTTTCGATTTTCATTCATAAACGTTTACGATATTTTTTACCGTTTAATCGAAATGACCATGTTGTCTTACAAAATTTATTAACCATTGCCTGTGATCATGGATTTTATCAATTCTAGTGGTTTATTCCAAAGTAAAAAATTAAAAAAAAAATGGGTGTTTACAACCCTCCACACAGCATTACCGTGCAAAATTGCCCGTGACATAATACATTTTTGGTAAAAATTGGGGATAAAATGCAGAACATGTGTGCTGACTTAATCGTGATGAGAACTGCACATTCTTTATGTGTACATTTATCAAAAATAGAAAGTAAAATATGATTTGGCGACTCAAATACATGGTGTGTATAGTACATAGAGGTACCACCGTTTAAACGGTATCGGTTCGGTTCTTGGCTATCGTGTAAACGTTTACAAAAAATTGTAAACGTGGGAGCCTTATCTACAGGCCATGGACAATGTCCCTACCAAATAAAATAAACCAGGGTTTATTCCTTCTGAAGTTATCGTATAGATAACTAAATCTTTAGTCAGTAATTTTATTAAGTTAAAAAAATGTATATATAGTGATGTATATTGTATATTATGTATATATAGTGTATATATGTAATTTTATTGGTTAATTTTATCGTGCGTAACTCATGGCCACGACATAGTATCTCGTGCGCACCACTTTATTATCTCGTGAGCACGACTTAGTAACTGGTGGTAACGACCTAGTATCTCATGCGCACGAGATAGATAAAAACACGCACATCATGTCACCTTTTTGCCGCCCTACATTTGTCATAAGAATAGTGAAATAAGAAAGGGGCTAGACAAATATTAAAACATTGTAGCTGTACTAAATGTAAGCTACAAAAGAAGCAAATGGTGTTTGGATAGTACAATGACGAAACAATGTAGCATTATTATGGTCAATAACTAACGTTTTAGAAACTGTTAAAAGACACCAAAAATAAAATGTTTCCGAGCAGGGCCTTTCAAATATTTCCGAGGGTTATATGTTGGGTGGTTCCAATATTCCTACTTGAATAATGTTGAATCACCCTAAGGATATGTTGCCTGCTTTTTAAATTTGTCTTTTGACGTCTTATCTGTGATATGCAGGCTTCATAACCTCTGATCCCCTTTCAAAATTCCATTTTAATTAGTTCCGCCCATTGTTTTCTCGTTTAGGGCACACGCTTTTTATTACTTGGGGACCATACGCCGCTTTTCATGGAATGGCACGGAAGTGTCACATTGAAGGTTCCATGATAACCGCCGTATGAACGCATCTGCGGATGTTTCTAAATTCAAAATTTTACTATTTCATGTTTAAATGTTGAATTCTGCTTAAGCCGGTGCTAGGGGGCGTGGACGGTAACTTGCACTTTCCAGTACCGTCCATGAACAGGCTCAATCAAACCGAGCCTGCAACATTTTCAATTTTGTCGTGTTGGGCTTTCTTTAGGGATTCTGTATTTATCTATTAAATGAGAACGCTGTACGGTTCGTCACGAGTTACCGGTTACCGGATCACGTTTATCAGGTTTTATACACAATGTTGTGTGATGAAAAAGGGAGATAACTTCCATTTTTGTTTACATCTCAGCTGATCATGTGACACGAAAACCTGGGGAAGCAGGAATTTAATTCTTTTGCAAAACTGATTTCAGCTGAACAAAACACGCCATGGCTAGAACAAGCTTTGTTTTTATAATAAGTAAGAGTACTGTCTCGTTTTGTGTTGAAGGATTTAGTTGACATCTTTCTGATTTATCGCAATTTATGGAATATGTGGTAACTACTTGTGTACTGTACTGTATGAAACTTTAAAGTATCATGTTCTTTATTTTGTCCTACATTTTAATTGGGACTCCAAAAATAATTTATTTGAAACAAATGTTTGAAGTTGAATCTGAAATGACCCATATATGGCATTTTCAGATAATATACATGTATGATTTCATTTTTTATTTTTTTTATATATTTTTTTTTTTTACTTATGCCAGGGTCTCGAAATACCCTATCTGTGTACATGTATTCTTACTATTGTGTTTGAAGTTCTTATCCGAAGACTGCCGGATAGGGCCGATAACTCATAAGTTGCGATTGTCTATTTGAAAGACCCTGTTCAAGCATTTTAATTAATAGACTTTCAACTGCAAAAAAAATTATTTGAAATTGGTTATTTTATTTGGGACTCAATTAAAATGTAGGACAAAATAAAGAACACGATACAAGTTTCACGCAAATCTGTAAGGATCACTCTTATGGCCATCATGTGCTGCCTATCAAGTGCTAGGTACAAGGACATTAAATCTATATGTGTATTTTCTTCCTTGGTCTGCCTATCATACATCCACAGACTTTAATTGTCCATGTTACATCTCATCATGGTGGTCATAAGAGAGACCCATATTAATACAGTGTTAATTGATAATGTGGTGACTTCTAAATGTACATATTTACTTAAAGCAATTTTAAACATACTTTTTATCTTTGGGTCAAAATATGGTTTACTAAGGGCAATCAAAGTACTGTAATGCAGATTAGCTTGCTATCATTCACTTAAATTCCCCATATAACATATTTATAAATATAAAGCTAGGGTGTTGCACTTGTTTACTAGATTATATATTTCTGTGAACTTTTAAAAATGAAAAGAATTTTAGAAAGGACATTAAAAGGACTTTAAAAGAGACATTAAATGTTGCATCTTAACTTTAAAGAGAACATGTCCATCAAAGTTTCGCTTAGTTATCAAAGACAATAACATTTGGATGAATCTGCACAATGTAATTGTTTATACGTGGTGCTGCATATGCAAATAAGCACATGTTAGGATAACTGTGCAGTACTTATTTTGAAAATTTCCCTGAAAAAAATGATTGGTTTTGTCCAGAATAAAAGATGTACAAGTCCATTTAAGATATTTAGGGAAGAGTCAAGTTGTTTCGTCATCCTTGGTAAGCTGCTTGTTAGGAGTGTATGAATTAATAATGCATCTAAGATCAATTCACTACTACAGCTCACAGTATACATGTATAAATATTATATCTTTTGATTTTATCAAACATTCATGATCATCTGAACAGTTGAAATATTATGAGTAGCTGACAATAAACTTCAAACAAAACTATTTAATAAAATCGAATTTAATATTTAATAAAATAGAAATTAAGAAACATGTATTAAACATGCTAGTATATATTCTTTTTTCAGGTATAGTGTTGATGTCAACCACCTGCAGCATTGTCAGTGGTTATTTACTAAACTCAAACTTCAGTAATACAGTGTTTGACTATGACAAAATCAAGAAAGAAGTTGCAAGCTATAAAGGTAAAATATAGATTTTTTTTCAAGCAGGGCCCTTCATCAATGTCTTTTTATGTGTCCAGAAAAATTTCAGACATATAAAATGATGCCCTTGTTGTCCATTTGTCTGTCCATCTCTAAGCAATTTCTTGTTTGCTCTGTATCTCTTGAACAGATAGAAGGAAATTGAAATTATTTGGAAGTTATGTTAACCATAATGAGAAAATGTACAGAAAGCAAATTTGATTTGGAGAAGGGAATAAACTGTTTAAGGGAACTAACTGCTTAAAATGCAAACTTACATTTAAGTGTCATATATACATGTACATTCACACTCAAGTTGAAACTGTGAATGAATAATAGGAATAACAATTTTTAAAGTTCTAACAATTACTAACAGAGAAAGAGAAATGTCTTTATATTTTGCCAAGTTATACATAATTTCTGTGTAGGTAATGCCTTAGGCTAAGTTAAATCACTTAATTTGATTTATAGATAGCAATACCAATTGTCAGTAATTAAGGTCTGTGGCAGTAAATTTAAAATTATTAGAACAATTTTTATTTTTTCATGAAAATTTACAAATATTTAGAGGCATCCTCTAGGTGTGAATTAAAACAGATCAAAATTAAGAACATTATTTAGGCTGGGACATAATACAGTAAACTCTGCTTAAAATGCTATTCAGGGGACCGCCAAAGTTATAGTGTTATATCTGGATTTCATTACATGTATATCGAGAGCTAACCAATTTGAAAACAAGAGTCGGGACCATGGCAACCACATCATTATAAACGGTATATTTTATTACAAGCAATACCAATATAAGTCAAGTTTACTGTATATTTTTATTTTAATTTTTGTGTGTGTTATTTTTAGATGTTGCCAATCAAATTATAAATCTCTCAGTGTATGGTGCAGCGCAAAATCAGTCTTACAATAGATTAGCAGCTCTTGCAGACAAGTTTGGGCCAAGACTTGCCGGCTCACAGACCCTTGAAGATGCCATTGGTTTGTATATACTGTATTGATTTATTTCTTGAGTAGTTTCTATATTCTTTGGGGAGGTGAACTTTCTCTGCGACAATTAATCTTGGATATCAAGTCTTATGATCATTTGTGTATCTCGAGTGATTCAGAAAGCATTGTGAGATTAGTAGTCAGAAAACTGGTTTGATTGATCTCCCTGCCAAGATATGACTAAAAAATAAAATCTGTTAAAATTCACATTTAAAAACAGACAAACAAGCAAACAAATTTGTATGAAAATGATAAAACAGGTTTATAAGTTTAAAGAGTAGTTGTAGATATATATTATATGCAATTTCTTTTATTGGCATAATATATGCACCTTGTGATGGATATTCGAAGTGGCAATTTGTGCTGATATTGTGTTTTTATGAATAAAATTTGCATACTGTAAGAATTTTATGTTGTTAATGCTGTTTATATTGCTGTGACATGAATGGTATTTTATATTACAGACTACATGTTAGACCAGTTGAAGGCAGATGCTCTAGAAAACGTTCATGGTGAAGAAGCCGTGGTAGGTTTAAATATGTAAAACTCTCTTAAACATGCTATTACATGTATTTCATTAATATCATACATACAAATACTGTGAGTTTCTTTTTGAAACTTATATCAGTTGGCACAGATCCAGGAATTTTTCTAGAGGGGTCACACAATTTTAACAGTGGATACTGTAATGCATATTCCAGAGTGGGTTACTAGTTTTCCTGGAGTTGTCTTGAGTTATCTCATTTGCATGATATTGCACACAAAAAAAAAAGTTATTATTATGACCTTGATGTGTTATTATATTTTGGGCATAATAGCTGGATTTTAGGGAGATCATGACCCCCTACCCACCAACCTCTGGATCCATGCATGTATTTGGAATATTAACTAACATTTTTGTAGTTCAGGAACCAATTTTCAAACAACATGTATATGAAATGACAAATAATGTAAGGTTCTATATATGTTTTGACTAGATACCTCATTGGGTAAGAGGAGAGGAGTCGGCTACCATGTTAAAGCCTAGACTACACAAGCTGCCCATGTTGGGGCTCGGATACAGTATTGGTACAGGGCCACAGGGGATTACAGCTGAGGTCATTGTTGTTAGGTCATTTGATGAATTGAAGGCCAGAAGATCTGAGGTACTGTTTATTAAAGCTTGTATTCTGTATATGATGAGGAATTATTCTAAGATCTTTAAACTTTGGTTAGCTGACATTACTTAAGATTACAGGAACAGAATAAATTTTAGCTTGACTTTATAAAATGCAGCTTTGCTGACCCTCTCATCCAGAGATGTTTCTATTGACTAAAAACACTTTGTTACAGTTTTGCATGCTGTTATTTGTCTTATTGATTACTAAAGGTATTCATTTGAAATTTCAAACATGTCTTTGAAGTTATAAATTATAGGTCTTGTAACTCTAGAATGGATTGTTACTGAGTTACTGCTCCTTTTGAGCATTGGCTATTCCCGGTTAAAGTTTTGCATGTAGCTTTAAAGTGTATAAAGCTTTATATCTGATGCAAACATTTATGTTTGAATTTTAAAGATGTATACTTCCAAAATGCTTGTATGCAATAAATATGGTAATTTACTGCCTTAAAAGCGAATGGTGCATGCACAAAATCATGGCTAAATGTAAAAACCCTACTTAAAATAGCAAAATAATATTTTGTTCCTTTTTATGTACATTATTCATGTGTATTAAATAACAGAGACAATTTATGTAACAACATTTTTGGGAATCAACCATATAATAATGGAACCAATATAATTTTACTGTTGATAAATTCTATTAAAATATTTCAAGAGATATAGATTTATACCCTTTAATCTACAGTGCTTAAAACTGTTGATGTCCCTGATACAAGTTGGTGAAAATTCTATAATTGATTATTGGTACTTATTTGTATATGTATGAGCAAAGATAATAAGCTGTAAAATTCTTACACGATGAAGTATGGATAAGTGGATAAAAAGATTCCACTTAGATAAGCCGTAAATTTATTACATTTTTATGATTATATTAGGTTTTATTTGATAGAATTAGTTTAAATGTGTAAAACTGCTAATTTTCTAGTGATGGTTGATATAATTTATATATATTCAGGTGCCAGGAAAGATTGTGGTGTATAACAACAAATACATAAGTTACGGTGTATCCGTGGCATACCGCGCTCAAGGAGCAGCAAAAGCGGCAGAACTGGGGGCTGTCGCATCCTTGATCCGTAGTGTTACACCTCTATCTGTAGACAGTCCACATACAGGCATGCAGGTAAAGTAAAATATTCGCCATAGACTTCGAAAAATCTGGTAATGTCAATGCACTCAATGTCTGATTAGCACTTAAATACAGCATGGAACACGCAAGGTTAGCCAAAATAATCTTTCCTATTTTAGCGCCATATGACCAAAACTGTGTTGATGCACCTTAAAACCAAACACACAAAAAAACAACAGTAATGCTGCAACATCCCCATTTGACTATAAACCAATAAAAATATTTGATATTTCTGTAACGGAAAGTTTTAACTTCAAGATACATATTGTTTATAACTGATTAATGTATTATTATTTGCCTATAAAGGACTACCAGAATGGTGTAAAGAAGATACCTACTGCCTGTATTACTGTAGAAGATGCTGAAATGATGTGGAGAATGGCTCAGAGAGGTAACTTCACAAAGTATATTTTATCTCCCCCTTCCTCATTATGCCTTTTGGAGTAGAAAAACAATTTTTACCCTTTACCTGTTCAATTCTTTATAAAATGGACTTGGCCAATTTTCATTTTGGAACTGTCCATTATCAATTTTGGGGATATCGAGAAGAAATGTTGAAGTTAGTCAAACTACAGTGTAGGGCCTGGTCAGATTGCATGGATGTGCAGGTTGGCCTAGTTTTAAACTGTTGGTTGAAGCTAATCACTTTCATATCCAGCAGGGAAAGGGTTAAAAGAATTTTAGGGTAAAAAGGAGTGTATTGTCTGTTTTTTTGGTTACATAACTAAATATGTCTTCTTTTTTAAAAATTGGATTGTATTTAAATATTTACATTGAACTTTATTTTATATACAGTGAGTCTTCAAACGATGTTGGTTTCTTTCAGATTGCAAGTGTTGTGTGGCAAAATAATCTACTGTTTTTATATGTTTTTAGTAACAGTACCTTAATGATTCTATAAGAAATCAATCTATTTTACTGCCAAAATTAATGACATTATTACTTACATTGATTTTCTGTAAAAATCTTAGTTTAAAAGATTTTTTTGATATTCTCCATTAAAATTAGGTGAGAAGATTGAAGTATTTTTGAACATGTCTGCGTATAATTACCCACCAACAAGATCACGAAATACTGTAGCTGAAATAAAAGGAAGTACTTATCCAGAACAGGTAAGATATTGGCCAGATGGTGACTTTGTTTATGGATCCCATTATAAGAAGAGAGTTAGAGATTCTGCCACCATTTCACCTTACAATTAAAGGGACTCAGCTGAGGTTTTTTTGACATGACGAGACTGGAAATATTTTTTCGAACTAATGTTCTATTTCATATAGGTCAAGACCAATAACTTATGTGCACAATTTCAGATCATTCGCTCACTCCATTTTCCATTAATTATTATTATAATTATTCTAATTGTAAAAATTACCCAAAATTTTAATGCTTTTCACTCAAATCAAGCTAAAATAGCACAAAAATATGATTGTTAATTTATTTCTGAGTATATTCTTAATTATCTTTTGCATATCTTCTGGTTTTCAGTACCCTATAATTGTGTCTGAAATTATAATGTTTTAGACTTTTGGACCTCAGTGGAGTTCCTTTAAGAAATAAAGAAGCATAGACCGAGTTATCATTTACAAATTAATATATCATACTTATATTTGCTCCTGCTTAGCACAGTAATGAGAGTATCAGTTTAGGAAGCCAGGGGCAATTTTGTTTGATCCTTGGGTATGATGTAATTTCTCTGTGACAATTGAACTCGGATATTGACTGTCGTGTAATGGTCTATCACTGATGATTGAGAAATCTTAATCAAGTAGGATGAATAAGTTGGTCGCTTGCTGAGAAATTGGTTACACACAAACAAACAATAATTTACCTGTGGAAGAATATAAATGCTCCAGACACATGGTGTCTCTATTTAACTGAAAAACTGATAAAAGGCTTAAATTCATACAAATGTACAAGCAGACTTTAAGATTTATGATATAAATAGACAATAGTGATTAGTTGCAAGATAAATATTATTTAAAAGTATGATTTTCATAATGTATGGCAGGTTGTTCTTGTCAGTGGACATCTTGACAGTTGGGATGTTGGTCAAGGTGCTATGGACGATGGGGGCGGAGCATTTATTTCATGGCAGGCCCTTTCATTGGTCAGACAGCTTGGACTGAGACCTAAGCGAACTCTGAGAATGGTCTTGTGGACAGCTGAGGTGAGTGCAGTGTTCTGTACTCTGTGTCTTTAATATTTAGTATTTTATTTCAAATCTTATCTGATTTCACATTGTTATATGGCTTGTTATATGGCTTCCTAACGTATTCTTTCTTAAACTTGAAAATTGATTTTAATCATGAAAACATACAACTTTCATGTTTTACCTTTCAGGAATTTGGTGGTGTTGGAGCACAGTCTTATTATGATCAACATAAGGTATACTTAACCCTCTAAATTTGTATGTTAACATGGTTCTGTTTTGCTTTGAAAATTAAACCATCCATTATTAATATGAAATAATAATAATAATAATAATAAAGACTTTATTTAAAGAAAGAAGTTTAGTATCAAAATGTTACACTTTGCAGCCACAGTAAAGAAATTGGCCAGACTGCACATTGATCCACAAATATTCTCACTGGTCTCACCTGCAAAAATATCCAGGTTTGTCTCTCTTGCACAAATATTCAGACTTGTCTCTCCTGTACAAATATTCAGACTTGTCACAACTGCAAAAATATTCAGACTGATCTCATCTGCACATATATTCAGACTTGTCTCATCTGCACAAATATTCAGGCATTCTCACATGCACAGATATTTAGACTTGCCTCACCTGCACAGATATTCAGATTGGTCTCACCTGCACAAATATTCAGGCTAGATTCAACTGCACAAATATTATTCATACGGCACTTCTTGTTTCACCTGCACAAATATTCATACTTGTGGCACCTGCACAAATATTCAGGCTTGTCTCACCTTCACAAATATTCAGGCTCGTCTCACCTGCACAAATATTCAGGCTTGTCTCACCTTGTTGTCACCTGCACAAATATTCAGGCTTGTCTCACCTTCACAAATATTCAGGCTCGTCTCGGCTGCACCAATACATGAAATATTCATACTATAGACTTGTCACACCTGCACAAATAATCAGATTGTTTTCACCTGCACAAATATTAACTCTTGTCACACCTGCACAAATATTAAAGCTCATCTCACCTGCACAGATATTCAGGCTTGTCTCACTTGCACAAATATTCATACTTGTCTCACCTGCACAAATATTCATACTTGTCTCACCTGCACAGATATTTAGGCTGGTCTCACCTGCAAAGATATTTAGGCTGGTCTTACATGCACAAATATTCAAGCTTGTCTCACCTGCATAAAATATCCAGACTGATCTCACCTGCACAAATATTAAGGATGGTCTCACATGGCTTGTCTCACCTTCACAAATATTCAGGCTGGTCTCACCTGCTGGTCACACCTGTACAAATATTCAGGCGGGTCCCACCTGCTGGTCGCACCTACACAAGTATTCAGGTTTGTTTCACATGCATAAAATATACAGGCTTGCCTCGCCTGGCATGTCCCACCTTCACAAATATTTAGGCTTGTCCTACCTGCGAGAATATTTAGGCTTGCCTCAGCAGCACAGATATTCAGGCTGATCTAACTTGCTTAAATACTCAGGTTTGTCAGATTCTGAATTAGTTGTATTGATAAGATATTGCCATTATAATCAGTTAAGAATGGTTTTGTGAGGGTCAGGGCCTTGAATTAGTTAAAACTTATTTTCACTTTAATCTTCAGGCATGCCTCATTTAGATGGCTAGCTTTTCATTTTAAATCCCTCTAAATTTCAAGTACATTGTATATTTTAAGTCTTCCTCTAAATAAAAACTGACAACTTACTTAAGTTACCTGCTCAAATATTCAGTCTAGTCTCATCTGCCTAAAAAATTTGGCTGTTGTGATGTTCTAGAAAGGTTAAATCATGTTGTGAAATCTTTCTTTTGGAAGAATTTTTACTGTTGTTATAAAGTAGGTATTGCTGTAGAGATGGTCATTCTGCAGAGGTCACACTGTATATGTCATGTACATGTAGGTATAACATTAACAAATGTTATCTTCCATGGGGAAATTTTTATTTGGGTTATACAATTTTATGTTTCAGTTGGATGTCAACAATTATGATTTAGTTATGGAATCTGATATTGGTACATTTACACCTACAGGGATAGATTTTACTGGTATGTTAAAATTCAATGAAAAAATGCTTGGCAATTTAAATGTTTGTGTTTTATTTCTAATGCTGTTCTTTTTCCAATAGTCAAGATGCACTTCTTTCATCCTACTGAATTTATGTAATGAACTTTTATAAATATGAATAAATTTTAAATGATGAATTGTAAGTTAAGGAATATGATAAGAAAATACTGAAATTGGTCTTTCAATTTTCAAGACCGATCCTACATTTTCAAGAACTTATCTTCCATTTTCCAAGCTTGGTCTTCTACTTTCCAAGCCTTGTCACACAATTTGTAAGACAAAAATTACCGTTTTCAATAATGGTGTTTCCATTTTCCAAGAATGGTCATCCATTTTTGGAGTCAAGTTGAACAATATACAAGACAGAAATTGCAAGACTGGTCTTTCCATTTTCCAAGCCTGGTCATGCAATTTATGAGACTGATATTTTATTTTCCAACACTTATCTTACATTTTGGTCTACAATATTTTGGAGACTGGTCTTACATTTCTCAAGAATGGTCTTACATTTTTCAAGACTGATCAAAACTGTATATTTAATACCACTATTACCAATATTAAAATGTAACATTTACTTCCATAGGTAGTGCTAATGCCAATAAAGTTATGACAGAAGTTTTGAAGCTGCTGGCACCTATAAATGCCTCAATATTAGATGGTGGTGGTGAAGGCACAGATATATCTCCATGGATGAATGCTGGGGTGCCGGGTGCGAGTCTCAAAAATGAAAATGATAAATATTTTTATTTTCATCATACAAATGGTAAGGGTTACGTAATTTTTTAACTATTTTTACATAATAGGCAATGCTGTCTTTTATTATATACAGATTACAATTATAGATCATTGATATGAATCATCAGGATGGTCTCTTGGCTGTATACTAGTACCACAATCGGTTTTACAACACAAACTGATTTGACTGGTTTCTTAAATCTTGATAATCATTCATAACATGCATAGTTTAAAAAGTAATATTTCTTATAATGACAAGTATTTACACTGCGAGGTTTACATTATAACAGGTGACACCATGACTGTGCAAGACCCAGTACAGATGAACCTGTGTGCGGCAGTTTGGGCGGTCACAGCGTACGTCGTAGCCGACCTGGATGATATGTTACCACGAGATAAAAATGTACATATAAGTCTCTCACAGCATTGAATAGTGCCTTTATACCTTTATATGTTTAGTAATATTAAATTTATATATGAACTGGAAAATTCAATCATTTTACATTTTATAAAATTGATAACTGCTATAATGTTAAAGACAACAGTTGTAGATTGTTTAAGAATTATGGAAGTTAAAGATTTTAACATAAATGATATATAGACAAATGAAAATGTGTTTTATTCTGAAAAACCTATCATATCTTTTTACATAGAACATTCCAAAATTAGGATAAATGGTAAATATAATTCTGTTTTACTTGATTATGAAAATTAATGTTTTTTAACATATCAGCTTTTTTATTTTGAGAATTTTGTATTTTTTCATAGCATTGCTATTTTGTTAATGAGAAATGTGTTGGAATTTGATTGGACTTTTAAAAATTTCATCATATATGAACATGATGGCATAAATTATCTAAACAATATAATCAGAATTATAACTTTTAACCTCCTGGGCCGTGGGGAGGTGATAAGATTTCAATGCAGTCTTACCAGCCTCTTTATTTCTTCTTGATATTCCCAAAATTGATAATAGACAGCTAAAAATGGAAGCTGCACATATCTATAAAGAATTCAGGTTAAACTAGAGCAGAGTTGATTAATTCCAATTTACACTAGTGTATTATTGTCATATTTCTTTTTAAGAGTATTTTTGTCATTTTTTTAGGGGAATTATTGTCACGTTTTTTAGGAGTATCATTGTCATATTAATTACATAGTATTAATTTATTTTTTTTGCTAGTCGCATTTGCATGACAATTTTTGCTACATAACTACAGGTTCTAACCCTTATTACCAGCATTCTTAATGAATTTGGTTTAAACATATTTAGTTTAAACAATATTTTATTAATAATCCACACATTTACATAATAAATTACATAAAATAAAATTTACGGATTGAGTAGGAAGCTTGTAAAGCTTTTTTGAAAACTCTCTCCGTTAAACATATTTATTTAAGCTTGATTGTGAAACAAGCTTTTGCTATATACATGTACTTATATTAATCACTTAAAGTGACATTTTTTGAGTATGCTTCCTGGAACCAACCAGTACTGGTATCATATGAAGAAACATGGTTGTGACCTGATTTGGGCTGAAACCCATGAGTTGAGAGGCAGACACCTTAACCACTAGGCCACTGCTCCCCTTGTATTGTTTCATGAAGTGTTTAATTATGGTTTATGTATTTTTTTCGATTATTTTAGTGTACATTTTATCATATGAATTACTTGAAATGCTGACAAAGAAATTGATTTGAATTTCATTTTAATAAGAGATAAAAAGACTGAGTAATGATATAAAAGATAATCAAACAAAGTATAGTATGTTTTAATGTAATAATGTAATGTTTATCATTTTCACGTACTTTTTGCAATTGTTTTCTTATATTATGTGTTTTATGTGTGTTATAAATATTTTGGACATAGCATATAGGAGAAATTTGGTGCTGTGTGCAGGGGTGTGACAGGGAATGGGGATGTATTGGTATTGCATCCTGTCAGGGACCTATTTACATGTATACAGATCTTGATTCTTTCAGGGAATTAGGATTTATTTGATAAAAGAAACTTTAGTTTAAATGTTTACACAGAAGATGCTATATATACTGTATTCAACACTACTATCACATCATCTAAATACATTGGCCATAGCTTAAAGGTCAAGGTCTTTCCTGGGTATCACTTAGGCCTAATGGTTTCTCATGCATCATAATTGACTAATTACCTTCGTCTTAAGGTAATCCGTGAGGGAGCTTACGATAGGGTCGATGGTTCTACTCCGTGTCCAGTCGTGTCTGCATTACGCACAAAATATTGCCATATACAGTAACCTTTACAGTGTCGGTGGGATTGAAAATCAAACAAAAGTAATGAAACAAACACAGAGTTGTTCTTTATATTAAGGTATATTATTTATGTAACTTTACCTGACTATATTCGTTTAATGGACATTTCCTGATTGTCCTGCCTGACATTTGGTTCTTACCATACTGTAGATTGAAAGAACATAAGCAGACGACCGTAGAGTCTAGTCTGACTTCATGGTAAACTAATACATTGTAGTTTTCATTGTACATGTACATTGTAATATATTAAAGTGACAATTAATAAATATACTGAGTATATTAACCTGAAGAAAAAAAACAGCTGATCAAATATTTCTTGTTTTTGTTTTATACAGAAAAATATTCAGTGTTGCTTTATTTTAATAAAGAGAACTTTCTATTACTTTGTTGACTCTTTTTTTTTTGGTATATGCCCGCCCGATTATAGCTCAACAGGAAAAGCGTCGTATTATTAATCCAGGGTAGCTGGTTCGATCCTCGCACGAGACGTAATTTCTCTGTGACTATTAATTTCTGGCGGCTATTTGTCTCACGTGCAGCTGATTTGGAAATTATTTGAGATTTTAGCAGCCGGTCACTAGCGGTGCAGCTGATTTAGGAAAGCCGTGGTTAGGTTGAGACAGGCCGAGGTATGACCAAAAACGTGTTATAATCGGCGTAAGTTTTTTTTCAGAAGACATCTAGCTTTTACCATTTTTTAAAACGATTTTACAATAATGATTAGAAGCTGGGTTAATATTGAGCAGACGACAATAAAGAGACTGGTTTCCGTACGTTTAAAATTTATGGTACATGGTATTGTCATATTGATCAAAATGTATTCAATTGTAAATAAAACAGCTGACCAAATATTTTATTTTGATTTTAAACAGAAAATCAAGGAGTTCTATATATAACAATAAAAGTCTCTGAGAACATATTTAGTTTTTCACTGCCCATTAATTTATATTACTACCCATATTTACTAAGATTTTCCAAGTGCTAGAATCACTGACATTTTGCTCATTAAGTCAATACAGTAACGTAAAATATTATTGCCATTTAATGCGAATTTATATGGCCGAGTGATTGGATTGAAATCGTAGACTCCAATCCACTTGCCCCTCACCGCTATGGGTTCAAATCCCGGCATGACATACAGGAACTACAACCTTTTTCACGTGAGGAAGACGTCCATATAGCCTATGGAACGTCTGTGTTTTATTAAGTGCAGTTTATAAATTCTATGTATAAAACACATTTTTCCGGCGCCTAACGTCCCCTTCTAATTGGTCCGATTTCGTTGCAGAATAGCTCAAGAAATTTAAATTTGGAGGCTCTTGTTTACAGCAATATCCAGCACAAGGTGCAGACCCATGAAACAACGCCTCTAGATGTTAGCATGTCATAGACATTGCACAGAGCGGCAGTTTGTTTCGTTAGCACATAAACTATTAATTTTCGTGAAAGTAACATCCAGGGTAATTCGTTAGCTACGTCGTATTGGTCCAATTCCAATGTAGTTTGGGTAATGCAGTAGCTTACATGCTTTGAAAGGCATATAGGGCAAATCAGATGTACAATCTACGTATTTTCTGCACAGACACACCATATCCCCATCGTCGGATACCCACGGCCGAACCATTATCATTCTTCATTGCATGTTATGTGACATGTTTATCAATCGTGGGTATCCGACGATGCATATCCCGGACATTGGCCCGATTTCGTTGAGGTATGGCTCATGCAACAGCTTTAGGGGAACCATTTACGGCAATAAAAGATATACAGCGCTTTCAATATTAAGAAACATGGACTCCGTCACGTTTCCATTCATTGGTCCGACTTCGATGTGGTTTGACTCACGCAATATAGCCCACGTACACTATTCCATTTTCAAACAGATAGGGCAATCAATATAGGATATTGAATGAGTGTATTTAGATTTAATTTATTGAACGAGTTGAATAAAAGCATATTTTAAGCTCGCCAAAGGCTGGCATAATATAATTATTTCAGTTAATTAATTCAGTACTTAACAAGCAAATTCGTTGAATTTATATCCCCCGCTGAGTAGTGGTTATTACTTACACAACAACTGGAGACATAATTAAGGCTTTATTTATGTAAATTTATCATGGCATGCAAATTTCCTTTTCGTATTGATGATTCCAATATTTAAGTCTTGTGAGTTGATAACGATTATATCTATATGCATACTAATTACATAACTAAATCAAGGGCCATAACTCTGTGTTGAAGAGTCTGAGCAGCACAAGTAACGTGCACATCTCTTGGTATTGATGGTTCTCATGGTTGTGTGCGTTATTTAAGAAATCCGCCTGAAAGAAATATAAAGTAATAAAGTATTAATTCCAGCAATCAAATTATCGGGATATGTATTTCCTTAGATATTAGGGCCGCAAAGAGACCGATTAGACGACAACAATAATTATTCTTTGTCAAATTTATTCGTTAAAATCTTAGAAACTGACGCAAACCGATGCAAACGGCTTGAAAGGTACAAATACTTTGTAAACAACTGATTTTAACTATTTATGACATGTGTCCCATTATAAATGTTGTGTTTTTTATTGCGTTGGATGCTTTATCACATCAATGATCTGAAAGTTCTTATTTTGAAATTGTTATTAAAATGTAATCAGTTTTCGCGATGCGAGAAATTGTTCAAATTCAAAATCGAAAATGAAATTTACATTGCACAGCGTATAGGCAAGTTTTCGGTATTTTTAGAAGCATGATCCATATCCTTTTCTCTTGATTCTGCATTTTTATCATGAGGTTGAATGATTGCTCAAAATCAAATTAGTTTCAAATTACTGAACATGAACAGATGAAAGGTTACAGTTTATAAGAAATTAGATATAAGAAGGGTTTACACATTTTAAAACAATGGTAGATTTATCACCTTTGTGTTTTTCCTACAGGTTAGTTTACATGAAAGATTTTGAGGAAACTGTATTAATTATCAATTGTACTACTTGTGTTGAAAATAATGCTTCTGTGGTGAAGAATTTCTCAGCGTTTTCTCAGTGATTTATATTTTAGGTAGGCAATCTAAGTCAAACTCAAAGGCAATCATGATCCTTGTACTATTAATGTAATTATAAAGTCTACATGGCATAAAGTAACGAAACTCTTGAGAAGTTTCCAGAACTTTGATTATTTGTATTGATTCTATGATGAAAATTTATAAAGAATGAATTAGAGCTTGTTTGTAATGTCTTGAAACTACATATAATTAGGTTGCTGTGGATTTATTAGCCTTTATTGAGAGATGATTAATTTAAGATGTCCTTAAGAATTTAGAAAATAAACTTTTGGATGAATAAAACCTTTATTGCAGTACATGTATGATGACATAAATCAGAAATAAACAATGTCAAGCCTCTCTCTCTCTCTCTTTCTGTTTTAAGGGAACAGAACATACATGTAATGATGTACATTGTACCTTTAGGATGTTGTTTTCTCTATAACAGGGAATCTCAGGCAATTTGTGCTGCACATGCATAAAATACACGGATTGACAGTTTCCGAACTAGCAGACAACAGGCTTTTCTTATCAGTAGAATTGCGAGTAAAGATAACCGATTGTGTACCTCACTGTATAAAACATATGTAGAATGGTCTGACTTGTGGTAGGTTAACTGTATATTTAAATACCTTTAGTGTCAAATGATGTGTAAAAATATATACTGAGACGAAGCTATAATCACAAGCTTTTCATTGGTGTAATAAATTTTAAAATCGAACATTAAATCGCCCCAAACTAGTGGTTTAAAAACGGCTAAATTTGCATTGTTTTGCATTAGAGATATCGATTTTACTTGAAGCTAAGGGAAACAACTCTTGTTTTTCACTCGATATACCTCAGTTATTTACGTAGTTCATATAGAGACTGTCAATAGGTGTATTTTATCAACTACTGTAGCAGCAAAATTCATAATTTTTGGCTCTCAACATGTAAAAATATTATTGTAAAATTGTCAAAAAAGCTACCATAAAAGATATTAAAAGCATTAGATCCCAAGGTTTTCTCATCACATTGCAAAGGATATCTATGCCAGTCCCAAGCTTTAAATCAGAAGTGCAAGTTGTGCACCAGTGTCCTGAACCATGTGATATGCAATAAAGTATTTTTAACATTTACAGGGTTCATACAGTCTTAAAAAGTGCTTAAATTTGAGTCCCTTTCTTAAAAAGTGCTTGAAAATGTAAAAAAGTGCTTAAAAGTCCTTGAATTTGCTTACTGTCTTGAAAAGTGCTTAAAAAGTGCTTAAATTTGCTGGAAATATGCTTGAAAATGATTGAATGACACAGTGTCAATAAAAATCAACAGTAAAAAAAATCGAAAGAATGATTTAATTAAGGATCAAAATCAATGAAATGTTTGCTCAACATAGCAGTAAGTCAGGACAAATTGTAGTTGTTTTGAACTAATCTGTATTTGATGCGCCCTTTGTTGTTGTTCTATAAAATCCTTAAAATTATTGCCAGAAAATGTGCATTCAACATAAAATGGCAAATAAACTATACTTCTTACATTGAAGATTGTATTGATATATGTGTAACAAATGTGCTTGAAAAATGGGACAACGTGCTTAAATAGTGCTTAAAAAGTCCTTGAATTTTGGGATTGGATGTCTGTATGAACCCTGAATTTTACTTTAAAGGCATTATGTTGACATACATTTTTACTACTTTTAATAATTTGTTTGAACTTGTCTGTAAGTTATCTTTACTAAAATAAAGCGTTTTACTTTGCAGATTATTGTTATTTTGTCTTCAGTAAGGTAGGATTGCTTATAAACTTGTGCTGTTCTTATGAGCTTAATTATTCAAATAATTATGTGGCTATCCTACTCACCCAGGTGTCAGTATTGGTGTGACAGTTTGGTTAAAGTTGTGTACAACTCCATATCTCATCAACCATGCAAGTCTTTGAGATCAAAGTTAAGAGGTTACTCTTAAAGGTCCATTACTCTATTATAGAATTTGACTATTATGGCCCTTTATGAACAAGTTTTGCATGTAACATTAATCTTGAAAATTACTGGAAGTATTCAAATGAATTTCAGTACATGTATGTCTGTGGATCATAATAAGAGGTCAACTTACAAGGTCCATAACTCTCACAAGGATTTTTCTGAAACATAGAACATAGAAAATTCTTGATAAACTTTCTGCATGCAACAACAATCTTCTGAATTTTTGAAAGTTTAATTTCACTTGAAACTTAATACATCACATTGTACATGTACATAATTATATCTTTGGGATTACAATTGGCAGTCTATGTCCCAGGCCCTTTATAACTCTTACAAGAATTTTGACTAAATTATGGTTCTTGGTTAAAGTTTTGTTTGTAACATCAGTCCCCAAAATTACTCATGGTATTCATTTGGATCTATTTGTATATCTTCTTGACTATAGTCACTATAATTAAAGACCCGTTATGACTTTGGTATGGTCATGGATTCTAAAATGAATGAAATATGGCCATATATTTGAACATAAAAAAAATCTGGGTATAAACCACCCAAGACTCATAAATTATGTGCTATATTTTAGATAAAATCTGCTTCACAAGCTATAAGAATAGCTCAGCACACTGATTAACTGAGGCTGTTCCTGTTATTGTTTTGTTAGTTTGCTTTTTTGTTTGTATGTTTTGTGTCGCCTTGAAAAAAGCGACATATAGGGGTTACTTTTGTCGGGGGCATCAGTGTCGGCGGCCCCTTAAGCTTGTCCCGAGCATAAGTCAGTCGGATTGACTTCAAACTTGGTATGCATGCTTCTTATGATGACCCCAAGTGTAGTGCACAAGAACCGGTACTTAATTTTTGAGTTATTGCCCTTTGTTAATTTTCATACTTTATTTTTGTCTGGGCCATTTCTCCTAATGTATAAAAGCTATGGACTTGAAACTTCATAGGATGATAGATCTCATTAAGAAGAAGTGCAGTGCATAAGAACCAGTACTCTGCACTTCTTATTTTTTGAGTTATTGCCCTTTGTTAATTTTTCATACTTTATTATTGTCTTGGCCATTTCTCCTAATGTATAAAAGGTATGGACTTGAAACTTCATAGGATGATAGATCTCATTAAGAAAATTGCAGTGTACAAGAACTGGTACTCTGCACTTCTTATTTTTGAGTTATTACCCTTTTATTAATTTTCATACTTTATTTTCTCATAAATTATAAAAGCTATGGACTTGAAACTTCATAGGATGATAGAGCTTATTGGTAAGAAGTGCAGTGCACAGAAACTGCTGCTCTGCACTTCTTATTTTTTGAGTTATTGCCCTTTGTTAATTTTCATATTTCATTTTTGTCCTGGCCATTTCTCCTAAACTATATTGTTCACAAGGCGACACATCCGATTCGCGGAGTTCTAGTTTTGTCTTAGTTCTTGCCTGGTTTTTGATTGCAGTTTGACAGGCTAACTGATCCAGCATTGAAATTTAAATAGTAATTATATTATATTTATTTGTTGCCCTTTCATAGCTTTGTAACTTTGTTGACATGAATGCTAACATTAAATTTAATAAGTTTCATTTCTTCTCTATGTTTTCTTTCTTAAATATAAGAATTAAACTTTTTTTTTTAAATCACTGATTGCATCATTGTATATAACAAAATGAATGAATGAACTAAAAGTGAACAGTTGTTGGTAGCTAGTTGTTGGAATATGTGAAGTTAATTTCCTTTTGGATCAGTTCTAGCTACTAACACATGGTGGTTTGCCATGTAACAGTGATTTTCCTGCTTGTATAACACTTCGATAAAAAGCCTCTTCCCAATTAAAATTTTCTTTAAAATCATGGAGTTTTCCCAAAAGTCTGAACTTAAACCTGCTTTTCTTACTTCCCAAATTAGCAATTTTAGTAATATTTTTTCCGAAAACAAGAGGCTTAGGCCTCTCCCTAAAGTGAGAAAAATCACTGATTTATAAACATTTTTTCAAATAATCACTTGTATTAATTTACTGTTTAGCTTTAGTATACATCTCAAGACCTTTTTTACGGTTGTGGAAGGGGTCCTTCCTTTAAATTTTGTGGAAAAAAATAACATTAGTATTTTTTTCAAATTTATTTTTAAGGGGAATGAAAAACTTTATTTAAAATGAATTTTTGTTGAAAATTGCATAATTTTAAGGAATTTTCCTGCTAGGAAGCCACTCTTGAAGAACCTAATAAAGAAGGTAAAAAGCTGTATTTAATGGATATCTCTGAAAACAATTGTTTTCTTTTAAAAGTTTGAAATAATACACAAAAGTCTTTACTGGTTTTTAAACAACATGGGATTTCTGTGAGCATGAATCTTGCTTAAAGACACCTGACCAGCATTTTTCCCTGCAAAAAAAATAAATAACTGAAATATATATATTTTATGTTTTTTTTTAGGTTGTATGAGAACAAATGTTTAGACCGTTGGCCCGAAGATTTTTACAGAAATCCATCTGGCCAGCATGCTGCTCATGTAACAGATTGAACAAGAATATTATCATCATCTTTGGCAGTCCGCCAAGTTTCACAAAAACATCACACAGATATATATCATTAAATTCGCAAAGAATAAGATTTCCTAAAATGACGGGAGGGAAACTAAACACTGTAAAAATGGACTCTCAAGATTTTAAAGCACTCTTCACCCCAGAATTAAACCAGCTCATTGCATTGTTTGAGAAGAATAATTATGAGCTGCGTATTGCTGGCGGCGCTGTACGGGACCTGTTGATGGAGAAGAAGTTGCATGATGTTGATTTTGCGACAACTGCCACACCAGTACAGATGAAAGAAATGTTTGAACTTGCTGGGATTAGAATGATCAATGCTAAAGGAGAAAGCCATGGTACAATCACTTGTAGAATTAATGACAAGGTGAGAGACAAAAATCTTCTAATCCTAATATCAGAAATTATTTATTTATATCAAAGAAAATGAATATTTTATTATTAAAGATAAGTCTTTAAAAATTATTTAAATATACTCAGTCTCTACTGATATTTATTGATATACTCAGTTTCTACTGATATTTATTTTAAGTACAAAATGGAAAAATTACCGGTAAGATAATAAGACTCAACTAAAGCTGATATGTTGTTAAAATACAAGTACAATATATTGTATATGACAATAACATGGGTATACTACAAGTACATTATATTATACATGTATATGACAATACCCTGGTCATATTAAAAAGGGGCGGGGAGAACTAGCAGAGATCTGATGGTGTGCATCAGACAGTGGCAGTGCATCGTCCCTCCTATCAACATCTAGGTCTCCTGAACCACACCCACACTTGAATCAACATAAAATCCTGTATTCTTTAGTCATTGTTTACAAATATTTGTAACCCACCCATTCATCCGGAATGGGATTCTCTTTCTCCAACCCCAATACATACATTGTACTGTTTCCATAAAACATGTTTGATTGTAATTACAGGAAAATTTTGAGGTAACCACACTAAGAATTGATGTACGAACTGATGGTCGACATGCAGAAGTTGAGTTTACAAAAGATTGGCAGCTGGATGCCAACAGACGAGATCTTACCATTAACGCAATGTTTCTAGGTACAGTACAATCTCTGAATAATAACAGAGACAAAGATTTTGGTTGTTGTTTGAGAGGTGTTGGTGTAAAGAGGTTAAATTTATTGTGAAGAATTATTAAGGGGAGAATTTACGTGCATACTGTTGCTGAAAAAAAGGTTAATTGCTTTAAAGTGGCACAAGAAAACATGCATTACCTTAAACTTGTAGATTACATGTATATTTTTAGCTCGACTATTCGATAAGAATAAGTAGAGCTATTGTAGTCACCCGAGCGTCGGCGTCGGCGTAACCACTTATGTTAAAGTTTTTGTAATAGTTCAAATATTTTCAAAGTCCATTGACATATGGCTTTGAAACTTGGCACACTTGTTCACCATCATGACCCCAACCTGTAGACAGGAGGAGGTAACTGTATCAAGCATTTTGACAGAATTATGCCCCTTTTTCGACTTAGAATTTACGTTAAAGTTTTTGTAATAGTTCAAATATTTTCAAAGTCCATTGACATATGGCTTTGAAACTTTGCACACTTGTTCACCATCATGACCCCAACCTGTAGACAGGAGGAGGTAACTGTATCAAGCATTTTGACAGAATTATGCCCCTTTTTCGACTTAGAATTTACGTTAAAGTTTTTGTAATAGTTCAAATATTTTCAAAGTCCATTGACATATGGCTTTGAAACTTGGCACACTTGTTCACCATCATGACCCCAACCTGTAGACAGGAGGAGGTAACTGTATCAAGCATTTTGACAGAATTATGCCCCTTTTTCGACTTAGAATTTACGTTAAAGTTTTTGTAATAGTTCAAATATTTTCAAAGTCCATTGACATATGGCTTTGAAACTTTGAACACTTGTTCACCATCATGACCCCAACCTGTAAACAGGAGGAGGTAACTGTATCAAGCATTTTGACAGAATTATGCTCCTTTTTCGACTTAGAATTTACGTTAAAGTTTTTGTAATAGTTCAAATATTTTCAAAGTCCATTGACATATGGCTTTGAAACTTTGCACACTTGTTCACCATCATTACCCCAACCTGTAGACAGGAGGAGGTAATTGTATCAAGCATTTTTTCTTACTATCAAGCACTAAGAATAGTCGAGCATTGCTGTCCTACCGACAGCTCTTGTTTATATATATTGAATCTGTCGCTGTGTTGTGTAGACATTGTATTTCTTCCAAAGATTTAAGCTTTAGCAATGCTTAGTTGCGAGTGCCTGAAACCATGTAAAAAAAAGGCACCAGAACTTCCCATAGGCCTGTAACAAGTTTTTATCCTCTACCAGGATATATAGTCAGTAAATCATTACACTCACATTGATACATGCTACCCTATATTCTTGTTCATATCAAAAAAAAATAGGTTCATGAAAGTCATGAAAGTGCCTCTTCCGTGTATATTAAGATTTGTTTTCAGACACATTTCATTCAATCATACACATATGTTTGCAAATCTTAATCTAGATAATCAAGTCATTGATGAGTAACCAGTATTCAAATAGTAACACATATGTTTCAGTGTCAAAAATATTCTAAAAATCATGTTTGAGTGTCAAAAATATCCCAGAAATCATGTTTTAATATCAAAAAAATTCTGGAAATCATGTATCAATGTCAAAAATATTCAGAAATCATGTTTTTTTTTCTCTTTAGGTTTTGATGGGACAGTTTATGACTATTTCAATGGTATAGAAGATGTTAAGAATCGTAGAGTGAGGTTTGTTGGTAATCCAGAGGATAGAATTCAGGAGGATTTTCTAAGGATCCTCAGATACTTCAGGTAACCATAGAGATCAAGATAATCTTAATTAGGTCAATGACAATATTAGGTTAATTTAAATGCGTCATATATTTGGGTCAAAGTAAGAAATTTTCAAGGGTAAAAAAAACTTGCTTGTTCTTTCAATCTATTTGAGACATCGTAGATTGTAATTTTAGGTCATTTCATAATTTCAACATGGACTTTTTACTGAATTATAGCCCTTTCTTAACTTCAAAGAAAAAGTTCAGTATCTTTATTGGTCAGTTTTCAAGTCCCATAACTGGCATGTATGTGAAAGAAAAATGTGTATAATAAATGTTTTCTAATTCCAAGCTTTGTTTAGTTGAGCATGTTGTCCTCTTTACATCCCTTGTTTTGATGTTATAAAAATCTGCTAATCTGTTAAATGTTTACAATTCATTGTTGGTAAGATTTGTATCAATAATTGCTTGTTAGTGATTGTTTACTCATTAATACTAATTGGGTCATTTTCAGGTTCTATGGGAGGATAGCAAAGTCTCCAAATGAACATGATGATGCAACACTGAAGGCAATAAAGGAAAATGCGGAGGGTTTATCAGGTATTTTATTTGTCAGAATTTTTTTATTTTATCCCCCCCCCCCGAGTTAAATTTTTACACTTTTGCTTATACAGCCTTTATTTTTATATTGATGTTTTTCATTTTTAAAATGGACATGTCTAGGAAGATCCTCTTCCTTGAGGTTTAGTAAGGAGTCATTTGGGTCATGGTCAACATCACCAATACAAAAAAAAATAGATTTTTACAGGTGACAGGTGTTACCTTTATCTATTTACAGAAGTATTATATTTGGTAGGAACATAACTTTTCACCTTTTTGAGTTAGGGGTCAGTTGGGTCAAGGTCACCAGTTCTAAAAATAGATTTTTACACTTTCGCTTATACAGCCTTTATCTATTGACTGATGTTTTTGCATGTATTCTTACTGTTGAGGTTCCTATCCAAAGTTTGATGGAAAAGTGTTGAGATGATGCGATTGATACATATAAAGAATACTGTTTAAATTTTTGGAAAATAAACTGTGTTCAGTAGCTACAAAGTGCCACTATTCTATGAAGTAAAGCCTTTACCTACTATTTTCAGGGATATCTGGAGAAAGGATTTGGATGGAGATGAAGAAAATTGTTGTGGGAAATTTTGCAGGCAGTATTGTTAAATGTATGGTGGAAACGGGTATTGTTAAATATTTAGGTAAGTAAGTTGTCATTAAAATCAAAGCTTGTAAGTTTTGGCCTCATGCTTTGAGGTCCCAAAATTTGTGTCATTTGCTGCTCACCTTGAACACCTCAATTTAACATCCCAAAAAATAAATAAAAAAATAAGCTTAGATATTTAGCATGAAACATCTTCTAAGGGGTGTCTACCAAGTCTGTTCAAATAAAATCTCTGGGGTCAAAAATGGTCCCCGCTCCAGGGGTCTTTGCTTTTTCTTATGTGTATAGTAAAAACAAAAAAAAAATTCAATTATACTATAATTATTTAGCTTAGATATTCGGTATGAAATATTGTCTGGTGGACCTCCTCAAAAATTGTTCAAATTATAGTCCTTGGGTTGAAATTGCCCCACCCAAGGGAGCATAGATTTTTCTTATATGTATAATTAAAAAAAAAATTCTCTAAATTTACAAGAGCTAAAGCTTAGTTTCCATAGCAACCAGTGATTTCAAGGCAGCCATAGACTTTTCATAGCAAACTGTTAATTTTCACAGGAACCAGTGGCTTCCATAGGAAACTTTCCATACCAACATTGAATTTCATGGTAGGCACTGACTTCCAAGGAAACCATTTATTTTGTATGGGAACCTGTGGCATCTCATTGAACTGTTGTTTTCCCTTAGCAATAGCAACCAGTAAACTGTAATGTTTTTACACATGCACTATTTCAGATACAAATATGAACTTTAAGATATCAGTTTAAGATTTTGATTTTATATTTGTTTTTGTTTATAGTTTATAGTTTTACATGTTCCTTGTCATCAAACGTTTCTATATTCAGGTGAGTGATATTAAGGTCATCATTGCCCTCTTGTTCATATCTTTTCCATTTTAATTGCCCCGGCATTGTGTACACCGGTCTTACTGACCTGTGTGAAACCACTCTAAGCATGATGGGAACGCACTACTTTTCACATGTCGGCTTGAACACAGAAGTGATAGAACAAAACGCAAATGGGGCCAGTTGAAAAATTAAACTTTTTCCATACCCTGTTGGCGAAATAGCCCTTACATCATTTTTACCCAAAACATGCATCAAATACACCTTCTGACAATCCTTTAGTGGTTTTTCTAACCCAGTTTCGTTCAACACACATGATGGTATTTCGTTGGTTGTTAGTTTAAAACTGAAAGTGAAAGTAGTTTGGAATATTTGAATGAATAGTAACACAGTCGAACTATCAATTGCACTTGCAATATCAAACTCCGGAAAACAACCTTGGAAGCAATAAACGATTTTAATCACTTGGAAAGATATATTGTGTTTTATAAAATAAAATTGTCATCCCTACGCGGACTTCTTTATGTCGGAGTCATTTTTACCCTCATTTGGGGTGAGTAATGCGCCGTAAGACACGGGTCGATATTTGAGAGACCGGTGTGTATACAATGATTGCCCCGGTTGATCTATGTAAGATTTTCAACATCAGTGGAGTTCCTTTAAAATATATATACATGTAACTTGCTTATTTTAGGACTCCCTGAAGATGCTAATTTTGAGGAGTTTGAGAAGATATGTGACCGGACAGAAGACTTGAACCCACAACCAATGACAAGAATAGCTGCACTTCTTGAAAACTCAGATCAGGTACTTTATTATCATTATTTACAGCCTTCTTTATTGTTCTCAGCCCTTGCATAAATTCTCTCAGATGTAGGAGAATATAAAATCTATGTCATACCTTATACCTAGCATACATGCCACTGTATGTCAACTAACAGACTGTCCCGGCATAATGTAGAGCCGCAGAATTTGGTTATGGAAGATGACATTATATTTTGATATTTTGATTAACGGTGGTACTACCTGCTAAGCATAAAATATACCTAATGCTTAGCATAAACAATGGCACTAAAGCTAAATGAAATTTGATAAAGTCACATAAAAAAATCGAGTAATGTTTTAAAGATAAATTTATAATTTACATATTCATGTGTAAGAAAATACATCTAGTCTTTTTGTGGAAAACTATAATATCCAGAGCTTAAAATTTTAACATGAAGCATTGCCTCGTAGACCTTTTCAAAATTTTTATGAATCATGCACACAGGGTCAATAAAGGTTCTACCATGAGTAATTTAGTATTGTAAGAATAGTTAAGATTAAACATTTTTCAGTGAAGTGTCATGAATGGGTCTTTTCCCTAATCAAAAGAATAATTTTGATTTTGAACAAATTTTCATACAGGGTATATTGCCCCATCCTCGCTGTGATTTCAGGTGAGATATCTAAGGCCACAATGACTCTCTTGTTTTCTTCTGTTTATTGGGTATACTAATATGTTATTCTTTGATTTTGTTAATAACACATTTTTATAACAATTCTCCAGGTGTACCAAGTGAACAAGAGGCTTAAAGTGTCTAATGAAGAACTTAAGACCTGTTTATTTATTGTAATGTATCGCGACCAAGAAGAAGGGGATGACCTTATTCAATACTATAAACATTTAATCACAAGGCTGTCTGGCAAGGAAAAATATGTTGTAAGGAGAGTCATAGAGTTGTTCAAATATAAAGGTCTTCATGAAATGATTACAGAAATATCAGAATGGACACCACCTAAATTTCCTCTCACAGGACAGGATCTTTTAGACAAGGAGATTAAACGCGGACCAGTATTTGCAAAGACCCTTGAGGCTTTAAGGACTGTTTGGATCGATAGTGACTTTAAGTTGACGAGAGAAGAACTGGTCGAGAAAATCGACGAGATGGTGGCTCATGTTCGGACTTGAATAAGTTGTCTGATTTGTTGTATTTTGAATGTTATCTAATCGTGTAAAAAAAGCAATTAAATGTTTCGTAATTATTATACTATTGTTTTGAATAAATTACCAAATTTAAACATGGATTTTAAAGTATATGTAGTTATATTTTATTTATCATGAAACTGATACAAGTTTAAGAATACAGTGTTTATGAACTCTCTTGAATGTCCAATTTTAAATCTGTTTTTCAAATAAGCTAAAATCAAAACTTGTTCAAATAAGGTAAAACCAAAGAAAAAATATACATTTTGAAGATACAGTATGATATCCCTGCATGGTGTGTCTAAAGTTTGTTTGCAGTGTAAGCTGTATTGAACCCACTGTCGTGATAAAATTTTAGAAAGATTGACAAGACCTTATACAAATTGGAATATGGCAGTCTTACATGGTTATTTGATTGGGTTCAATGGAGATATCTTGACTGAAATATGGATGGTTTGGTAGCATTTCTCCATTGCTTTACTTAAGGTATCTTGACTGAAATAAGGATCTGAAACATGTGCATTGGTTGTCAAACATTGATTAGGACATGCTGAATGATACATGCAGATATAATCCAGGTGTATTGTTCAGTTTTAGCCAATATAGACTACATGATAGACAGTTTGTAAAGTCAAAGGTCATATAGATCTAAGTATATGCAGTAAAAGTTGCCTGCCTTCCAATAAAATACACCATTTGTAATCCATTCAAATCGTCAGGTTATCGTTTTGTATATGGTCGGCGACTGGCTTAAAAAAGGTGCGGGAAAAACCTTAAGAGTAAATGGGACATCAGATAATTAGATGGAAATGTTTCTAAGTATGAAAGATATTTTTGAAACTAACACAACAGTGACAAAATGCTAAGAACAGTTAGTTGAATCACTTCATTTATTTTTCTTTAACAAATATATAACAATAACAAACAACAAACAAAATAAAAAAGGTAACAAAATCAAAAACATTAGCAATATCAAGCAGAAGATATCTGAGATTATGTCATGTTTTTATTCATTTGTTTTTCTCGTGCAGTCCATCCGTTTCCGGTACATAAAGGTCAAGGTCCGGTATATGAAACAACAAACAACCAGTAAACGTTATCACAGTCAATAATATCTCTAGCACTTTTGGAAATTTTTCGTTCTGTCGTTGCATTTAAAAGTTATCCCCCGGTCCCCGAAATGTCAAGAATACATCTACTTGGAATATTCAAAACTGCATGTAGTCCAGTACTGAAGAATCTTTTAAACGGCAACTTGTTAAAATTGGAGTCGAAGTCCCGGACCGGAAATCGCGGATCTGCGTGGATTGTCGCCTGCTGACCACGATTTTGATTTTACCCGGAAGTGACATAAGTCATTTCTGTGTTCTTTGTGGAGCATTGGTGTGTACGACTGGGGAAAACATTGTTCCTGGAAAAAGAAATGACAATGAAATTTCATTGTTACCAGTTTGTTCTTTTTTAAATATATAATTGTTTCAAATAATAAAATTATTATAAATACAACTAGATCTACACATATAAAATAAATATTAATTGTTTCAAATTCTTGAACTGGTATTAGCTGATTTAAATTGAATATCTTAAAGTTACGCTAATGAAGAAGCTCACAGTAGGTAGTTTAAAATTGTTGCATGAAAGATTTATGAAACAATCGTGTATTTCTGAAAAAAAAAAACCCACTTACATTGTTTGTGTTGAAGAAAGCTTTATAACCTCCTTCTAAGAGATAAATCTCGGGAAAGTTGAGTCGAGGGTAGTTGTCTTTGTTCAAATCTCGATCTAGAGCCCTTAAGTGGCGATACCTGAAACAAATATTTCATTTTTATTAAACTCCAATAAATAATTGAAAGAAATAAGAAATGAAAGAAAGATTAAAACTCTTTATCGGAGATTACATTGTTGTGATGAATTGAAATATGGAATATCTTTTACTTAAATATGGTTAATATAATTGGTAAACTTAATGAATGTATAATGCTGAAGTTCTCTTACATTTTTGGTCCTCTTTCAGAAGAAAATTCGCAGTGGAAAATGAGAACATGATTGTTTGTTGGTGACGTCACTGTTTCTTGGATGAATTGTTTTATCGATTCTTTAGTAAATAAATTGACAGCTCCCTGAAATATAGATAGAATAAATTTATAACAACGTAAAATATCAGTAAAGTTAAATAGAGGATATTGAATGAGTGTAGGTTTAATACTAAATTTATTGAACGAGTTGAATAAAATCATATTATGCGAGCCTCTGGCGAGCATAATATTGTTTTATTCAACGAGTTCAATAAATTTAGTATTGAATCTACACGAATATAATGTTCTATTTATCACATATATAAAATAAGAACGGTAAACTGTTAACAAAAGTCATTTTCTTTGACGCGCCGATAGTGTAACGCTAACATTAGCGCGCTTTAACGCTATGTTTATAGCGCAAATTACGTGACGTCAAAGTGTTATTACACTAGTGTAATATTGACTAGTGTAATATCGTTTTTATTAAATGGCTTTATTACACTCCTGCGCCGCGGTTTATGTGATAAAAATGTTTATGCTATAATAATTGACGTCGATAACTATATATTGCATATAAAATGAAAAATATCACTTAAAAGAGCACAACATTGGATCCGAAAATTCTATATTAGTACTAACATAATGAATCATTTGAATTTACCTTAATATGCCCGCCTTCGAATTCATACGGATATCTGCAATCTATGATCGTTACTTTGTTCACACTGCTGTCGTAGACGCCGTCCAGGACGTCAGACATCGTTTCCGGTGAGATGGCGCTAAGATCGCTATGCTTTCCTGGAATTGTGGGTAGAATATTGACACGTGATCCGTCTGCAATAAGGTCAGATTCTGTAGACAGCTTATCAACAGCTTGTATGATGCTGGATATTGGGCTAAGAGTTGTCACTTCTGGTTTGGGTGTTGATGTGAAGCATTGAAATCGTTTTCTTTTCATTGTAGGAGTTAAATCGAGACTTTCCGCTTGGCGTTTAACAGGTCCTTTCACATCATTTACAGTTATTCCAAAATCTAATCTCGTTCTGAAAATATTTAATTAAGATACACTTAGTTACAATGAATGCGAAACATTGTCTTACGTTGATCTCATAATAATTACTAAGAATTCATTTCATAAAAGAAATTTCTACTGCAATTTTAATATCACCATTTTACAATTATATTATCTGACCTTCATTGTAATATAATGGTAGTTTACCTTGTGTTTCTTGCCAAAGTTACGTCAGTGAAATCTGAAGGTAGCGGAGGCATTGTTGATATTATTTCTTTCTGTTTGTGAATGTAAATATATAAGATCAAAAAGTGAATGATGAAAAAATCCATTTTCTTCTTTTTATACCATTTGAAAAATCTTGCCTGAAACAATTTTGAAAACAGCTCAATGAATCAGCAAACTGTGACGAGATTGTTTGATTGATTTTGATAACATTGAGCTAGTAAAGTCGCCGCCGTCATTGCCCTGACCGGCGTTAAAAACATCACAGCGGCATAATTAACTCACCATCAAATTATTATTAGTATCTATTGTTATGATAATTAGCTATGATTACAAATCAATATTGTTTGTTGTTATCACAGATCGATAGTTCACGTCCATCTCGGTAGATCGTTAAAATATTTCTTAAACATCTTGTCTGATTTATCTCTTAAATAAAATGTTTTGAACAGGGTATATATTAAAAAAAAATTACGTTTACGTTTAGAAATTAAATATTGTGTTTATTTACGATAGAAATAGTTTTAGCGATTATTTAATTTCATCGTTAAAGTTTGCACAGTACCACTTTGGTAATTGTATTTCTATTGACATATCTCCAAAAATAAAATCGTGACAACATATTTTAGATCGACTTTTTTATTTGAAAAGAAAAATGAAAATAAATAAATAAAAATAAAAGATAAAAATAGAGATATTTTTCCAGTTTCCGTTGCCGTCCCTTGATCATAAATTTTTAGGTTCTCAGTGTATTGTCTTCGTACTTGGCAACAACATTTCTCGGGATAATACATACAAGTAAATCATACTAAACTTGACATTCATTAATGGATGACCTTGACCTTGATGGTTGAATGCCTAAATTTTGTTGTTGTTTTTTTGCCAATTATGCTATTAGTAGCTATAGCGTTGTAATGGTTTATTGGATTGTTTTCAAACTTGACCACAATAATTGTCTAGGATAGACATTTAAGCTTACCAGACAGACCTTGACCTTCTCTCATAAATGACCTTGACATTTAAGGCCAAATTATTGAAATTTTCATTTTTTCCCTGTAACTGGCTATACCTTTGAAACAATAGTGATTTATACATGGATTGATTTCATATAAAGACGCAACATTCTTTAAGATGAGACCTTCATATGTATGAAACACAAGTTGACTTTCACTCATTTATGACCTTGACCACTCATTTATGAACTTGACCTTGAAGGTTGAATTTTTGAACTTTCACTAGAATTAACTGAACAGAACAGAACAGAACATATCTTTTATTTTCACCCAAGCATTTTTCAATACAATATGGGGGCATAACACATTTTTTATATAACAGAGAATGCATAGTTCCGGTACGAACAAAAAAAGTATATAATCATTTAACACAGTACATTGCCAAAGAGAAAAAAAAACACACACACACAAAAAAAAAAACTTTACTAAATTACCAAAAAAAATACAAACTATGGAATGATATATTGAGCAGGGGTTTGTTAACATTAAATCGATATACACCATTAATTTATTATTCTACGTGTAACTACATTTGAAAAAAAAAAATATAAGGAGGTTGTCTATTGTAATAATTTAAACAGGTATACAACACAATACGCACCTGTATGTATGTATAGCACGATATTAGGTAAAAAAAACCCAAAAAAACATTAGCACAAACATGTAGTAAATCTGCACGTGAAAGTCGTGCATAACAGTTATCTACAACTGAAAGGAATGTCATTCATAGATTTATAATGTATTACTACGTGTATTGGGGAAATTCGAAATAGGAATCAATGGTACTATGTTGGATAAGATTTTGTCAGTAAAATGTGAGTAATGGCAATTTATAAATTTACATATAGATAATATGTACTTGTATTCCTAACAATAACAGACATCTGTTTTATGAAAAAATAACTTCATTTGTGAATAGAAAATTATACAGTATACAAAGAAAATGTTGAGAAAAAAATTAAACACGCAATTTAAAGGAAACAAACAGTTTAACAAGTGAGAAATATCAGATGAAATCTAGAATTACTGATGGAGGCATTAGGATTATTGGAAAGTTTTTGTAATAGAAACTAAAACTTGGTAATAATCAAATAAGTGGATTATCGTCATATTTAAATAAAACAAGCTTTTGGACAAGACCTTCTTAAAGGTTTGACTGACCTTGATCTAGAGCTTTTAATGACCTATCGTCAATGTCAAATTATTGAATTTTGGTTAAATAGTCAAAAGAAAAAAAAAAATTTTATATACAGATTTAATTTATACTTGGCCAAAAGAAGACATGGTTTCAAACAAACATATAGAATTATTTAGATGCGACCTTGACCTTTAATTGACATTGACCAGCAAGGTCAAATTAACGAAATTCTCTTTTTTTTATTTGTAATTTGTTTTATCTTTGTAATTAAGAAATTGATTAACTTCATAGATACAGCATCTTTTAGGTCATAACCTTCATGTGTATCAAAGTCAAATTGACCTTGATTCATGTATGACATTGACCCATAAGGTCAGATAATTGCATTTTCACAGATCATTGCTATAATTGGCTGAAACTTGGTTATTAAGCAACGGATAATCTTCATACTTGGACAAAACAACCTGTTACACAAAATACATTTCAAACGGTTGAACTGACCTTGACCTTGAGCTTAAAGTCACCTTTACCGTCAAGGTCAAATTATGAAGTCATAATTTTCTTATTTATGTACGGATTTTATATTAACGTGGACAAAACGACACTTGTCACTTGCCCCCTCGCAGCTGTGAGTTCGAATCCCTCCGGGGAATTTAGATACTTTCACGAGATTTGCTGTCAAGCTAGATTACTGGGGGTCGGTGGTTCTATTGAGATGGCCATTCATACCTGAAATAATGCACTAGTTTTTCTCCACTGGTAAAGCTGGGAAATCACCGTATGACCTTGACAGTGTCGGTGTGATTTCAAATAAAACAAAACAAACATGTATATGTATTTATAATTTTACAATCTGAAAAAAAGTGAAAAACAGTCAATTGAGTCCGACATGCTTGACCAATTATACGTGCAAAATTCATACGTGAACAATGATATCACATTAGAGGAATTGTCAGCTATTGTCATGAAGGCTAAATCAAAATCATCATCCGGATATGATAAAATACCATACGATGTTTCAAAATTTCCCAATGTCGTATCAGTATTTCGGGAACTTTTTCAACTGGTACTGGATACAAGTTTAATACCAAGACCGTGGATAAAATCTTTTATATGCCCTATTTTAAAAGACCCTACTACAGATGCAAGATTACCTATGAACTATCGAGGGGTTAGTTTACTTTCATGCATCAGTAAACTGTATAGTGCCTTTTTTTAACAAAAGGATAACTACGTATTTAAACCAGCAAGATATTCTCGCGGACGAGCAAAATGGATTCCGCAAAGATCGCTCGTGCGAGGATCACATTTTCACTTTAGACAGTATCACAAGAAACAATACATCCATTATGGCAGCATTCATTGATCTAAAAAAGTGTTTTGATTTCATTGACAGAGACATGATGCTCTACAAACTACTATCAAACAAGATTGACAGCAAAATATACAACTCGATAAAAAATATATACAGTAGTTCTACATCATGTGTAAGCATAAATAACAGGCTCACAGACTTGTTCATTTGCCCGAAAGGAGTGAAGCAGGGGTGTAATTTGTCGCCGACACTTTTTGCCATCTTCGTAAATGACCTTGTTCAGGAAATTAACGACCTTCACCTTGGAATTAAAATGAATGAGACATCATCAATCTCAATGCTACTTTATGCGAATGATGAATCATCAGTAACAACTCCGAAAATCTACAGATCATGCTTAATACCATGCATAACTGGTGCAAGCGGTGGAGGGTGTTGATTAACTGTGAAAAGTCAAAGGTTATGCATTTCCGGAAAGGACGAACAAAGCAATGTGATCACATATTTAAAATAGGTGATAATTCTTTAGAGACAGTAGACAGATATAAATACTTAGGTGTTATCCTCCACGATAAACATGACTTTACATATAACTGTGAAGCTTTATCAAAGAGTGCTGGTCGTGCTCTTGGTGGAATTATATCAAAGATATATTATTTCAAAAACTGTGGATTTAAAACATTTCAGAAACTATACAATTCCTGCGTGATACCAATTTTGGACTATTGTGCTTCTGTTCGGGGTTATAGAAACTTTCAATCGGCAGACAACACACAAAACAGGGCCATTCGCTATTTCTTGGGAGTTCATAGATTTACTCCAAAACTTGCGCTTTCAGGTGAAATAGGTTGGATACCGTGTAATTACAGACGTTGGTTGTGCATGATCCGTTATTGGAATAGACTTGTGAAATTACCTAATAATAGGATTACGAAACAGGCATTCAACTGTGACTATGAGAAAAGTGATACAATAAATAATTGGTGCAGTGAAGTGAAGAATATAATGACGAAATTAGACCTCAGTGATCATTTCGAAAATAAATTAGCCATCAATATGGACTGTGCCAATTCAAAAATGATTCAATATTACGCAGACATTGTGAAAACGTACCAAAACTGAGAACTTACACATTATTTAAGACATCCTTCACATGTGAAAATTATTTATTATTAAATCTAAAAAGAAATGAACGCTCATTATACGCGCAGTTTAGATGTGGTATCCTACCATTAAGAATAGAAACCGGTAGATATAGCGGAGAATTGCCTAATCAAAGACTATGTAATCTGTGCCAAACAAATCTAATCGAAGACGAAGCTCATTTCCTTGTTATGTGTCCTATTTACAATGATATTAGAACTGTTGTTTTTAGAAATGTTATTTCAAACAATTTATTTAATACAATGGCAGACAATGAAAAACTAGTTTACCTCGTAAACAACCATCAAAATAAAGTTATTAAATTTATTGTACAAGCATATCTGTTAAGGAGAGATTTATTGTTTAATAGATCATGATTAATTAATTATTTATAGTTGTGTGTCATATCGTAAAATTGAACTGTCTGCAAATGCATAACATGTATTTTATCACATAAACGGCGGCGCAGGAGTGTAATAAAGCCATTTATTACATGCTTTTCGGTGGTTTATAGAAATATATCAGTGATATAAAACTGGTAATTTCACTGTTTGAAACAGTGAAATTACCACTTTGATAATTTCACTGTTTTGAATTTAAACCCCTTATGTTGTTTTAGTGAAATACCAGCGTGCACAATACTGGGTACCAACTTAATGACGTGACGTCGTAAATGACGTCACGTTGTATTATTAGTTGGCGCGCTTTTCATTCAGTAGTAGGTTTAATGTATATTTAAAACGTTTCTTTGCATGTAATAAAAAGAAAATTTGTTTAGTTTAGTGTAAGATTGAAATATATTTCACCTTGTGAACACCAAAAGTTCATATTTCACTCGTGGCTGCGCCACTCGTGAAATATACCTTTTGGTGCTCACTCGGTGAAATATATTCCGATCTTACACTGAACTAAACAAATATCCTCTATTTATTACATGCTTTTCGGTGGTTTATAGAAATATATCAGTGATATAAAACTGGTAATTTCACTGTTTGAAACAGTGAAATTACCACTTTGATAATTTCACTGTTTTGAATTTAAGCCCCTTACGTTGTTTCAGTGAAATACCAGCGTGCACAGTACTGGGTACCAACTTAATGACGTGACGTCATGAATGACTTCACGTTGTATTATTATTTGGCGCGCTTTTCATTCAGTATTAGGTTAAATGTCTTTTTAAAACGTTTCTTTGCATATAATAAAAAGAAAATTTGTTTAGTTTAGTGTAAGATCGGAATATATTTCACCGAGTGAGCACCAAAAGGTATATTTCACGAGTGGCGCAGCCACGAGTGAAATATGAACTTTTGGTGTTCACAAGGTGAAATATATTCCGATCTTTTGGTGTTTATATTTCTATAAACCACCGAAAAGCATGTAATAAATTCCGATCTTACACTGAAATAAACAAATATCCTCTATTTAATAAAAACGATATCAAACTAGACGATATTACACTAGTGTAATAACACTTTGACGTCACGTCATTTGCACTATAAACATAGCGTAAAAGCGCGCTAATGTTAGCGTTACATTATAGGCGCGTCAAAGAAAAATGACTCTTGTTAACAGTTTACCGTTCTTATTTTATATATGTGATAAATAGAATATTATATTCGTGTAGATTCAATACTAAATTTATTGAACTCATTGAATAAAACAATATTATGCTCGCCAGAGGCTCGCATAATATGATTTTATTCAACTCGTTCAATAAATTTAGTATTAAACCTTCACTCATTCAATATCCTCTATGATATGAATTTACAATTATGTTAATAACATGTTAAAAACTATAACACATGCTCAGATTATGATCTTTTGTTAAGGTGACTTATAGGTCCTATGGGCCGGGTGTTCATCTTTGTGTATTTATGTGTATGTATATACGTATAACACATGTCACTATAATAAAGAATTTACTTACTTACTTACTTACTTATAATATGTGTATTGTATACAAATCTTAACAAAATATTTGTTCTTAGACAATACCATTTTTTAAAGTATTCTAACAAGTAGCCAAAGACATTATAGTTCTGACAAACTTGGCATATAAATTTGAAATGCTGCAACAATAAACATATCGAGCAGAGAAATGTTGCTGTAGTGGTGAGGCTGCCGTAATCATCATCATCATCATCATCATCATCATCATCACAATCATCGTCATTATCATAACGGTGCAAACATTTTCAGATTATATAACCTTTTATCAATAATATCAGAGCAAATTCTATCAAAACTTTTTAACATAAAGAACAAATCTACTTATATAATTTAATTTTTATTCAGATCTTAAACAAAGAGTATATATTTCAATTCCAACATAAGGTACCATGTCAATGATGTCATATGGAATTTTTCGCACAACATATAAAACATTGTTCAGAATTACTTGCTTATATTTGAAGGTCGTGAAACTTTTTTTAAACATTTTCACAAGACCATTAAAAATAAAAATGTTTATTGCTTTATACACTTTAAATTCTAAGTCGAAGTCCTGAACCGGAAGTCTCTGATTTACGGAATTTGTCTTTTGCTGCCCACCATTTTGACGTTATCCGGAAGTTACGTAAGGCATCGCTGTTATCCTTTTGCAGTATCGGCTTGAATGTTTGAGAAAAACGTTTTTCCTACAAAAAAGAAATTGAGAATATAATTGCAGGGTTTATAATAGCATTTTCATTATGTTAAAAGATGTTTAAGGAATTCTTGGAAATAAAATAATTATCTACACATTACATTGACAGCACAGGTAAACAAATATAGATACAACTTTTACTGTAATTTATTCATTTCGAAATTAAATTTACTTTAATTTGTCCGACTTTCAATCCACACTGATTTCCACAATCTTTAACCCTCACATTGTCGTACAAAACCTCAGACATCGTTTCCGGTGAGATGGCGCTAGGATCGCAGGGTTGTCCCGGAAGTGTATTTAGAATATTGACACGTGACCCGACACTATCAGATTCCGTAGACTGCTCAGATGGTTTGATGCTGGACATAGGACAAACATTTGTCGCTTCTGATTTCGGTGTTGATGTGAAGCACTGAAATCGTTTTCTTTTTGTCGTAGAAGTAAATTCGAGGGTATCCGAATGACGTTTAACTTTTCCTTTCACCTCATTTGTAAATATTTCAAAATCTAGTCTTGATCTGAAAGTCAAAATAAAAATCAAATGAAATTGAATAAGAATATATATATATATCTGTTGACATGTCATGTCATGACTCATCATTTGTTTTATTATGAAGGTTACACGTACTGTATAGAAAAAAGAATCAGTATTAAGAGTAAATTGTGTTTTACCTCGGTTTCAAATCCATCGTTACGTAAGTGAATGACTGTACTGTAGGCGTTTTTTCTTTCACAAATTGTATTATTCATAACAATATGTACAACTTTGCATGAACGGAAAAATTGAATGATGAAAGATTTGAAATTCGCTAAATATTTATATCAGCAGGATAATAAAACAGCAACAACAACAACATTTATTTGGCAATTATAATTATAGCAATTGTTGTTGTTGATAATAAAACACCAAGCTGTTTTGAAATCATCTCAACAAATCAATTGCCTTTGATTTGATTGTTTGATTGGTGATGATAATAATATGCCGCATATTAAAGTCGCCGCAATTATTACGGTGATCTGTTTTAAAAACATCAGAGAGGTATAATTATCGCTGCTTTGACTAAGATTTGACTATTAAATTAAACAATTATAAAACTTACGCACAATCTGGACACATTTATTTGATTTGTTTGTGCCATATGCTCTTTCTTCATTATAAGATATCCGAAATGTTGAATTTGATTCCATATGTCAGCTCTTTTATTCGCAAAATACTGATCTTTAAAGATAAATATATAGTATTTATAAAATTTGTCAAAGACATAATTATGAAAAGTCGATTTGCCAATAAATGAAATAAAAAAAGATACAGATAACTATTTAATATTATCATATGTTACCAGGTTTTTAAGGATGACATCTTTATTGGTGTCATTTTGATATTTTATCCGTATCTTGAACAATGAATTCGGATTTTATCTTCAATATAACCATTCACTATTTGTAATTTGAAATAGATAATGAATTATTATAGTATAAAATGCATACTACTCTAACGGCATAATAGATGATGAGATTATATCTTAATGTTAAAGTTTCATATATTGAAGGTTGTTAAAATAGTCAAAATATACTATTATATAAATAATTTATTTTATTATTTATATGTTTTTAGTCGGTCGGTCGGCCAGGACTCTTTGACAATTTGCACAGACTTAATGTCTTTAACGAGCAACTACGGGGTCGCTTTCCAACTGCAAAAGATGTAGCTTTTGCTACCCCCTTAACGCAGAACGACAGGTGTCCCCCATATATTCATACTTTATTTTTGTCTCATTCGTATACATACATTTTTATACATATTTACACATATTCACATAAAATCTGCATACGACCATTCTATTTAAGAATTTTAAGAGACATTATATCATTGATAAACATATCCAAGACCTATACAGTTAGTCTAAGACTAAAATCAAATAGTAAAATTACAATGTATTTAAACAAAATATTAAAAGTAAGGTAACCATCGCTAATCGAAAAATAAAAACTGCTAAGAAATTGAAAATTGTAAATCGGAGCCCTATCGCGCCTATAAAAACGTTTTAAAAGATCGATTATCATCCAAGATAAGATGTTGCATGACCTGATTAGCAAGGATTACCTTAACCTAGGTAAAATACATTATCATGTTTAAAGCAAATATAATGGCATTATTTACAAGAGAATAAAAGACGACGTTGTAGAATGTTAAAACAGTTTTTGGCACAATAACGTATCATTTCAGTTTTAGTGAACAGAAATATTAATTGTTCATTTTTAGACATTTGTACAAATGCATTATCTACTGTTTTAGCCTTATCAAATAATGATTGTCGCAAGTCATCGTACACAAAGCAATCAAGAATGACATGGCTTTCGTCTTCAATATTGTCACAGAACTGGCATTTTCGTTCCAATACATCTAAGCCTTCGTAACGCCCAGTTTCTATGCGTAAAGGCGCAACACCACAACGAAACTTGCTAAATGCAGTGCGATGACAAGGAGGCATAATGAGTTTACAATATAATTCTGTCTCATATTCTGTTTTAAACAGTCGATATGTACGCAACTTATTGCCACCACGACCAGAAGGACCTGTGACACTATTCAATGATTCGAGCCATTTTAAAACAAATTTTTCTTGCAATTTAGTTGTAACAATATTCACTATAGTATGTTTTGGAATGGAAATTCTTATAATACTATATTGGTGCGCATTACAATTTTTTAACATATCATTAACATAGAAAAACCAGTTCTTACATGATCTATTTGCTGCAGATGCAGTACAAAGTGCAACTCGTTTGTTTACTCTGCAATCAAGCATATAAGAGACTCTAGATAAATGAATAGCAATGGATTTCCACTGTCTGATTTCTGGGGATATCCATCCCATTTCACCGGAAACCGCGACGTTAGGCGTATATCTACCGACACCTAAAGCGCGAAACTGCACTGCGTTAACGCACGAGTAAGAGCGATAACCCCAGATAGCAGAACCATAACTGATTGTTGGCCAAACAGTAGAATCATATAGGTGGGTAATACATCGTACGGAAGACCACCAGACGATTTACATTTAGCAATAAGAAGGCCAAGAGCCCGACTTGCACTTTGAGCTACAACCTTTGCAGTAACATTGAAATCTAAGTGCTCTTGCAACATTAATCCTAGATACATATATCTATCAACGATATTAAGTGTGTGAACACCACATATAAAACTGAACGATGTTCTACATACAGATAAAGGTCTAAAATGGACAATTTGACTTTTACTACTATTTATAAACATATCGTTGGTGCTACACCAGTTGTTAAGTGCATTTAAAGGAATAGGAATGGATGGATTGATGTCTGTCTAATATAAATATTCATCATTTAAAAAGAGGAACCATGACAGTTTTCCTATTGACATCAACCCTATAAGAGAGAAATTCGTGTTTTAAGACACTATTTTTTACTTGAGAAATAAGTTCATGGGCGCCGCCATTTTGGCGTTCTGTCATTCTCGCGAGACAGACGAGACCGAGATTGTGACGTGTTATACCCACTTCCGGTATAGGTGTACACGCTGGTACAACTGAAATATATCTTGATGAAGAACTTATTAATTTTATTGCGTACATTATATATTATTTATGAAAAACATCATATGGAAACTGAATTGCTTTAATTAATTAATTGAAGACGCCGCGACATTAATTATCATTTGTCCGATATTCAAGCTTACTGATGATCCCACCACATGATTTAAGCAATGACTGCTTAATTTTCAAAGATAAACCATAAATTTAATTTGGGTACTATGAGAAACTTCTTCAAATTGACGATATATCCTTTTATTTTGTACTTAATTTTCGCTAGACAAGCTGTCCAAATAGGGTACATCGCCGGTCATGTATCTTTTTTTCAGGTAAAATATCAACTAAATCCAATATGCTGAGGACGCGATTTTCCGCCATTGACGCTAAAAATGAGAAAGGCGCAGGAAAATCGGCAGCCAGACTAATATCGTATGAAAACAAAACTGTCCGTTAGGTTATTTAGGCACCCAGTCAAAACTGGTACCAACAGCAACAGGTTGCCCATTCCCCTATAATTACGCATATTCTCGGGTTAACCCAGTTCCCTAAAGCTTTTTTCCACGTTATCTACTTGCCAAATTCCTTTCCCTGACAGATACGCATTTCTACTACCGTAAATTTAATCCAATAAAACAAAAAATCATAAATCTACTTAATATTTAAAATGATTATTGGTAACTGAAAAAAAAGTGTTGCTATTTTATGACGTGCTGTAATTTACTACAGTATAATTTGACAGGTGTGGAACCTAATTCCCCCTAACGTCATTCAGTTCACTGATGAAGCGTAAAAAAATAGATGTCTATTTCGTCATTAGAATATTTGACAAGGGTGATTAACCAATCAGGGCAACATTGTGCATGATCAAAAGGTCTGTCGGCACAGAGGCATACAAGGAGCAATAAAAATCGTCAGTACACAGTGTGACAGGAGCATTTGGTGCAAATTAGGAACAATTAAAATGGACAATGCGCAGTATTAGACATAAGTAGTAAGAACCAGCAATTGTGTGAATAAATTATGCAAATTAGATTTTTGAGCAGCCAATAAAAATGATTTGCCTGCAGTTAATATTAGGCTACGATTACGATGCGCAGCATCATACGTTGACAGACATGTTAACAATTTACTTTTCAAAAGAGTTGCTTATATTTTTGAAATGTGTACATCGATTATAACATATGTTCACACCTTTAAATTTGAAAGTCAGAATCAAACTGCAAAAATTTAATTATATGTACTATTAAGAACACGTTTTAGTAGGGTTTTTATAATGGAAGTGGCTAGCGTACGGGCCCGTTCGGCTAGCCAAAAGTTTTAGCCGTACGTGAGTCACGTACGACTAGCGAGGACACGCTGTATTGGCCAGCCGTACGGCACTTTTAAAAATTTTATGGAAGTCGAAAATGCATATGTTATTTTATGACTTTAAGCGAGGATTTTAACCAAGAAACAGCATTAATTGTCTTTGGATGTTAACTTTTTAGAGATTAATCGCCTTGATCGCTATATATATCGATCTTTGTCATCGCAAGATGTCGAGAAAAAATAGCCTTTGCTTGCATTTACACCAATTGAAATAGTTTACAAAATTTTGATAATAATCCTTTTTTGTTTCATTAAGTTTAATTTTCGACACCTTTTATATGAAAAAAAAAACAACAAACACTGAAAATGATTGTTGTTAGGCTCTTGATAATTGCGACAATTACCGACGGTACTGTATAGAAGTTTGTCCATCAAGGAAAGTTTGCATGTTCCGTGAAAGGCATACTAAAATTCTATTGTCAGTCCCTGGATAGGTTTTAATTAATGCTAATTAATTGATTGACTGTGCTTTTATGTTCGATATTTATCTACTATTTTGAAAATTATATAATTATTTTTGCATTTCACCGTTTTTTTTCATTCAATGTTCTTTTTATTTATTTATTCCACTCCGATCATTTTTATTCGATCCATGTGCTTAAAATTAACAAAAATGATTTAATAATTCATACAAATAAAACAACAAATGATAAGCATGAAAATCCACAATTTTTATAACGTTCGACTTCCATATAATTTTTGAAAAGTGTCGTACGGCTAGGCAATACGTACAGTGCGTCCTGGCTAGTCGTTCGTGACTCACATACGGCTAGAACTTTTGGCTAGCCGTACGTTTCTTTATTTATTTTTTTTTTTTTGGATATTGTTACGTATTTTGAACCATAAAAAATCTCCTCTACACCTCCTGTGAAAATTAAATTGTCTGGTCAATACTTTATTATATTAATATTTCCTTACGATTCAACTAGATTTATCATGAATCTAAAGATGTGGGGAAATGACATCACACGCACCTGTTTTTATACGGCCAATACACAAACATGGCCGCGCTTACTGATTTGTAGAAATCGGTGATTTAGCGATTTAAATTTTGTTATCATTCGTTTAATATTATTATTTGGCGGCAGAAAATTTGCAGACTTATTATTTATAGTATTCTTTTTCTGAAATCAAGTTTTTATTCTAACCTTGTCTTTCCCTTTAATAAAATATGACTAAGACCACACGGTCTATTTCTTATAAAAATATTGACCCGCCGGTCATAATATTATGAACGCCTGTTCAAAGTATTATGACCTCCGACAAGAATTAAAATGACCTTCGTGAAGTATGGTCACCCCCGCCTTTAAATAATGACCCCTTGTTTTTTTGTTGTAATTTTTTAAAAAAATGTTAAAACCCTTTCAAAATATCCGAGAAGTTAATAGCGAGTTGCTAAACAGAAAGGAACAAATATAAAACTATTATTTTCAAGTTAAATCATGACAAAAATTCTTTTTATCTAAAACGCAGCAAATGTTAGTGGAATGATCTTTACAGGCGAACATTGTTTTTCATTTGGTTAAGACTGTGTTTGTTGAACATACCAAAGACTATCGCAACTACTCGGCCCTTTCCGTTAGTCTTCGGATAAGGTTATTATAGATAATAGCCGAGGCAGTTCCGAATGTACCAAAGAATCACGACTTCGTATGTCTCAATGTTTTATGCAACAACACAAATAAAAGTTATACATTTTGCAAAATAAATTAATAAAATTAGGATTTAATATTACACATAATAGATGGACTTATATCTTACTTCAATTGTAAATATTTCAAGTTGAGCGGTGGGAGAGTTGTGTAGGCGTCTGTTTTACAACCAATGGGCCATGGGTTCGAGCCTTACTGGGCCAGGACTATATTTTTTCACGTGAGAACAGCTCGAGGGCTTAGCCTTAAGTTCTAATCAGCCTCAAGATGTTTTTAGAATAAAGCTTCAGCTACGTCAGCATTTTTACATTTTTATGGTAAAGTGCATGGTCAGTTTTTGTTTTGAAGCATGGCCGGAGTCAAAAGGCGGGAAAATACAGTATGAATTCTTAGTGTCATTTAAAAAATGACAGGCATTTTTCTTTAAAATAAAAGACATATTTAACATGACAATACGGAATACAGCTTCCCCCACACAAGGTTAGCATTCTATTAGCCAAACATATTCAGAAAGCATTTCCTACATTTCAATTATTTTTGCAAAAAATATTTTTTCAAAAAAGAACATGGTTCATCTATCATATAAATTTTAAAATGCTTTCATCTTCCATATGATCGTGTTTCTGTTATTTTGGTTTAATAGTTTATAGTGCTTAACACAGCACATTCTACATTCGTTTTCTTAAAGGTACATTATGCCTCAGAAATCCATTTTTAAATATTTTTTTTTACAAATATCAAACATGTGTTTAATAATGTTTAAATTTCTAGATAATGGATTAAGTGCATGTTAGACAAAAGTAACGCTTAACATGCAGTGATGTGTCGTAAAGGTAGCAAAATATGAATATAGTACTATTTTTACTTCTATACACAAACACTGTAATTTTACCGATTGCCAAAAAACTAAAGATGCAAAAGATATTTCTTGTGTACAGGAAATGAGTATGGTTAACAAAATACAAAAAATAAACAGTTTTCAAGAAATAAAAATGATGGCATTTCAGAGGCCAAATGGGCATTTAACACGCGTGGTTATCTCCTTTCACGAAAGCACTATGTTTATAGGCATTGTTTGCTATATATAGCCAATAAAAGCACTTAGTTTATACAGAATTTATTTTAGTTTGATTGTGAAGGAAATTAGACACACTCCCGAATACGTTCCTAATCAATGAGTGTAAAATTTCTTGCTCATTGAAACCACGGCTCGCCTCTGAGAGGGTTTGAACCAACGCGGACAGCGATCCTTAGATAACCAGTCCGACGCGTTAACCACTCAGCCATGCCGCCACAATGTATAACGTACTTACAGTTATTTTTGTTGAAGTTACATTATTAGTTAAATCATTTTTATTTCAGCTGGATTGTTACGAACGCTTGCAGTTTTTTAACCTCTCTCGGGTCGATACTACTCAGTACTGGCGTCATATGAGGACATTTGAGCCGCGTCATGAAAAAACCAACATAGTGCGTTTGCGACCAGCATGGATCCAGACCAGCCTGCGCATCCGCGCAGTCTGTTCAGGATCCATGCTGTTCGCTAACAAACCCTATAACAAGACTTGTAGAGAAACTGATAGCGAACAGCATGGATCCTGATCGGACTGTGCGAATGCGCAGGCTGGTCTGGATCCATGCTGCTCGCAAACCCATTACGTTGGTTTTGTCGTGACGCGGCTCATTTTATTGTAATTGCAGTAAGACCAGAAACCAAGATGCCGGTGAAAGAGGCAAACACCTCAGTCACTAGACCTTCTCTCCATGAAAGTCACCTCTCTAATAAGGCCAAAAAATAGTAATAACAATGTTCAGGTACATGTATAAGTAATTTGTAGATGGATATGGACAAAGTATTACAAAAATTACACCATAATGCATTTTTGTATAATTACAATATATGTAATTTACTCTGTAAGAATCTAGTTTTTTTTTGTATTTAAGGACGGTCAATGTACAGAAAATATTTGTAAAGTACATGTATAGTCAAATGTTTTGTTAAATGTCTATGGTTGAATCATATACATGTAGTCTCCTTTAAAAGGGGCGGAATATCAAACTAAAGTACAATTTTGAATATTTATAAAATTCGTTTTATTGTTTATCTTCATAATATAAATACATAACAGTAACACAATATAAATAACACAAAATTAACAAAGCACAATTAAAACATATGACATAGAAAAGGCACCGTGTCATGCACGTGCATTACACTTCCGTTTCCGATGTTTCAAAACAAAGGCAAAATACAATAGCATTAACAAAAAGAATGTCTCTAACAATATTATCACAGTCAAAATTTGTAAAGCACTATTTGTGTAGTTTTTTCAGTCATTGCTGTGTCACAGCAAATATATCTTCTAAAACTGTTTTTGTGAACTTAACTTCATCGCAACAATAATCCGATTTTTAAGCAAGTTGTCCTGTTAAAATCGCAGTCGAAGTCCTGATCCGGAAATTTCTAGCTTGCGCGATCTGTCGTCTGCTGACCATGACTTTGATTTTACCCGGAAGTGACGTAAGTCCTCTCTGTGTTCCTTGTGCATCATTGGTTTGTACGTCTGCGGGAAACATTGTTCCTATGAAAAGAAATTAATATCTTAATTTCATTCTTTCAAATAATTTTACGATAAAAATAAGCTTGAATATAAGTTATTTTAAAGAAAATTAGAAATTGTTATAGATCTAAGGTCCCAATCTTATCATTTGTTATGGCATTTTATTTATCTGGTGATATCTTTTGTACATAAATCTACAAGAAGAAAATTAAGATGTTAGTCAAACTTACTTTGTGTGCGTTGAAGAAAGCTTTATAACCTCCTTCTAAGAGATAAATCTCGGGAAAGTCGAGTCGAGGGTAGTTGTCTTTGTTCAAATCTCGATCTAGAGACCTTAAGTGGCGATACCTGAAATGTACAAGAAACATAATGTTAAATATAAGTAATTCGTAGAGATTAAGATACTATTTATTGTAACATAGCTTTATAAATAAACAAGAAATTTAGCTTTAAAATATAACAACAGAAGTTGCTGACATCGTAAATGCAAAATAATCTTACATTTTTGGACCTCTCTCTGAAGAAAATTCGCAATGGAAGACGAGGACATGATTGATTGTTGGTGCCGTCACTGTTATTTGGAGGAATTGTTTAATTGACTCTTTTGTGTATAGATTAACAGCTCCCTGTAATATAGAATAAAAAATGCATTATGATAATGAAGTTAGTTAGTTCAGCATAAAAAAGCGTTTTCTACATTATCTTCAGTTATGACTTCAGAGTCTCAGAGGATTAAGTTTTTGACAATACTGCGCTAAAAGAAAACCAAAATATACATAAATTAATTTTAAAATATTTAATTTGAATATTGTAATAATACAAAACGTTTAATTTGAATTTACCTTGATATGACCACCTTCAAATTCATACGGATATCTACAATCTATAATCGTTACTTTGTCCACACTTCTGCCGTAGACGCCGTCCAGAACGTCAGACATCGTTTCCGGTGAGATGGCGCTAAGATCGCTATGCTTTCCTGGAATTGTGGGTAGAATATTGACACGTGATCCGTCTGCAATAAGGTCAGATTCTGTAGACAGCTTATCAACAGCTTGTATGATGCTGGATATTGGGCTAAGAGTTGTCACTTCTGGTTTGGGTGTTGATGTGAAGCATTGAAATCGTCTTCTCTTCAGTGTAGGAGTGAAGTCGTGGGTATCCGAATGACGTTTTACACATTCTTTAACTTCATTTCCTATAGTATTTACTCTGTTTTGAAATACGTTGAATGAAAGTGTTTGTGGCACATTAACTCGCATATTCTCATTATTTGTTGATGTCCCGAAATCCAATCTCATTCTGAAAATAAAATAATTATATTATATAACAATCTATATGTTTTTTAGAGTTATATCGGATTAATGTACATTTGTATATTTTCGAAACGTCACTACTCATTTTTGTAAAGAAAAGGTTTGATATTTATAAATGATTAACATAAACCGCACAAGACTCAATGAATAAAAATGCACAACTATTTTACCTTGGATTCCTCGCCATTGTGACGTCGGTGAAATCTGAAGGTATTGGAGGCATTGTAAGAAAAAGATATTTCTGTGTGAAATGTAGGTAACTAAAATCAATGAAAAATGTGAATGAGAAAAGTAACGAAAAATTGTTATTTATACCCAAAGAATAATATTGCCTGAAACAATTTTGAAAAGAGCTCAGCGAATCAGCAAACTGTGACGAGATTGTTTGATTGATGTTGATAACATTGAGCTAGTAAAGTCGCCGCCGTCATCGCGCCGACCAGCGTTAAAAACATCACAGCGGCATAATTAACTCGCCATCATATTATTATTAGTATCTATTGTTATGATAATTAGCGATGATTACAGATCAATATTGTTTGTTTTTATCACAGATCGATTGTTCACGTACATCCTATGAGATCGAACATCGATTGCTCATTAAAGTATTGATTAAAAATCTTGTCTGATTTATGTCTCAAAATAAAATATATTTCAGTTTCAGATTTAACCGTCAGGGAAAATGTAAATTATGCATATTGAATAGTATATAACTTGTGTATGGCTCTAATCAACAACTACCTTCATCATCATCATCATCATCATCATCATCGATTTCAAAAAGAGGAGACGACAACAATAACAATATTTAAATATACATTTAACTAAAGGCAATATACGATATTGCTATAATTTATTGCAAGAGTGGGTTTGAATTTCTCTACAAACGTTTGCTTCTTAGTGTAGTAATAGTAATAGCCGTCGTCCTAATGTTTTTGAAGTAACCAGTCATGCTCCAAACCATGGCAAATTTCGCTTTCTTTGCCAAGCGGCTTTTTTACAGCCACTTATTCATTTTATCATTACCCTATACAGCATTTTATAACACCCGTACTGACTTGACCATTTCTTGTTCTGAACTGAGTTTGTCTTTTGTAGACAAAAACAGCAGAAGACATAAGTTTTGTTTAAATAACAAAGGTAATCCCCCGTTTATGTTCCATTGATGTCTTTTAGTATTATCTCAAAAGTATCTGACTATCTAAACTTAATTCATGTGATCATGTAATGGTGCCTGGGCAGTTATGTGATTTTTTTTATAGGTTTTTTTTTTTATTATTCAGACTAGATTAATAAAAACGATAGCCCTCGTATGTACTTATAACTATTTATAAAGATGTTATAGATACAGTACGTAACTGTTTCCATAAGAATTTCACTGTATATCCAGTAACGCCGGAATGTGAAAATAACGCACGATTCGTGCAATAAGTAATGCAGAATTGTGCAATAATTAAATGGCTATGCAGCTATTCATTTTTTACAGTTCGGTTAAATAAAAATATATTGGTCAGTTTACTTATCGCGTTGGAAATCCTGTCAGGTATCCGCCATTCATTCTATTAAGATATCTTAAGTATTTAATATTTTCTTGATTATTGTATTTAAACTTTATTACTTTGTTTTGTTTCTTGATAATCAGATATTATTTGATGATAAATTACAGTGTAACTCATAATTCATTTGTTGCTCCATAAAAACGAGACTTTCTGATATTCTTACAAAATACAGGTAGAATGTGATAAAAGACAACTCAATACTTGAAAACAAATGATGCTTATTAATGATGAAATTTATTGCATGATAAACAAATCCGTATACCATGATATCATTTTGGCTATATCTTAATGACTAAATCCAAAATAAAGATGAATATTTTAAAATTTAAGTATGGTGGGTTTTGAACGTTGTAATGACTTGTAGTTGAAAATTTAACGTTGTGTTAACGTTGAAGCTGCAACGTTGTAACACCGTTAAACATTGTTTTTTAAACTTTCAAAAATAAATAAATAGTAGTTATCATTTATAATGTTGATGTAGATGATTATTTCAATGATTATGATGATGACAATGATGATGATGTCAATAATGTGGTAAAAAGTAGTGGTGATATTATAAGTAGTGGCGGTGATGATGGTCTTGATGATGGTGAGGGTAGTGATGATGATGACGATGCTGATAATAATGATGATTGTGATAGAAGTGGTGATAGCGATGATGATGGTGTGGATGCTGATGATAGTACTTGTGACAATGATGGTGATGATAGTGTTGATGGCCACGATGATGGCGTTGATGATTGTGATGGTAGTAAAGATTGCAACTATGATGATGACGATGGTAGTAATGGCGACGGTGATGGTGTTGATAATAGTAATGGTGGTAGTGATGGAAGTGTAGATGGTCACAATGATGGTGTTGGTAATGGTAGTAGTGATGGCTACGATGATGGCGGAGGTGATGATAGTGTTGATAATGACGATAATAGTGGTTTTGATGGTAGTAGTGATGGCGACGATGATTGTGATGGTCATGGTAGAAGTGATGAAGAGAGCCATTATCACGATGATGATGTGATGCTGGTGATGATTGTAGTTATGGCGTTACTGATGGCGGGGGTGATGATAGTGGTGATTGCGACGATGGTGTTGGTAGTAATGGTAGAAGTGATAGTGATGATGATGGCGGATGTGATGGTTGTGGTGATGGTCAGGATAATGGTGTTGGAGGTGATGATAGTGGCAATTATAGTGGTAATGGTAGTAGTGATGGCGACAATTATGGTGGTGGCAGTGGGGATGGTCCCGATGATGGGGAAGGTGATAGTAATTATGATAGCGACGATGGTGGTGTTGATGATGGTGATAATAGTGCTAGATGACAGTGGTGTTATCACTCGTGCTGGTTTTATATAGAAAAGATCTTACACAAGTTTCCTGGTTTATTGAGAAAATGACAATCGAACTACTGGGCGGCCACATAAATAAGCTTCACAGAAAACTAAGATAAATTGGTGATATTTTTTTATCATTTTTGTTTTACTCTTTGGACGTCTTGCAAATTTCCTTCAAAATGAGCCTTATTTATATCTGCCACATATAATTTGAATGTTTTCAATTCTTAAACATATAGTATAATTTACTTTCTGAATTTAACGTTTTTTTCCAATAATTTTCCCTTTGTTTTGTATGATATTCATGTATATTCATCGACATCACCATGTCAACAGGTTGTGAGATAATTAGAAATGAATAATTGACTGACGAATGAAATCTGCTTCTGAAATCAATACACTTCAATTTGAGAAAATGATGAATATCATATAAATTAAAGACACGTTTGCCATGTTTTTCATACGTGGAGATTCGTACATCAGCAGTTAGTTGTGTATTGTTGGATACCTCACCTTATAGAAAGGTACGTAAAGCTAATAACTTCATTTCTTTTCCGTTATATGTGTTATTAGTTTTTTTAATATATTAAGGAATTGGTTATTTATTTCAGATGCGAAAAATATATTTCTTTTTTGGCGTCAGCACATTTTTTACAAAAAAGAAAGGAATTTCCACGGTTTCAGCTTATTTCCTCATAATTTAATTTTCATTTGTTTAAGCATCATGCCTCCAGATTCATGCTAATTTTAATGGAAATTTTGAAAATATATTCTAAAACAATATTAAAATTGGGTGGTGATGGTAACAGTGGTGGCGACGATGAAGGTTATTTAAGTGTTTTGATAAACGGTGTTGGTTTGTGACTTTTTATCATAAAGTTAAATATTGTGATTTGTTAAACACATTAAAAGCGGTACTTATAATCCAAGTAAATTACCATGCAAAAATAGCTCTAATTGCGTTAGTTATGTAGTAGAAATACTGCAAAGTTGATCATTAATTGCACATAACATCAAAGAACATTATGCCTCAGAAATAAATAAATGTTTTCTTGTGAAGAAAGTGCTAACATGACTTTTATAATGTTTAAATGATAGTTTTAGAGAATATTAGATGATTTTTACCTGAGGAAAGTAGCGATGAATGTCAAGTAGTTATTGTTTGAAAACTTGGTATTAAAGAAATTTGTCAGAATATTTTATTGAAAGCGAGTGGGGCATGAGTAAAATTATCGTTAGGCCTACTAAAATAACAGTGGAATATTTTGTTCACTTTATTCTGTTTACGTTTACAATTCAAACATACCAATTTAATATTCTATGCTACAAATATTTCAAGGAACGACAAAAAGATTATGAAAACAACATAATTTAACATTTTATATGTTGTTAGTGAAAAATAAATTGTTACCAAAAATCAATCATAAATATATAAATAATTGTATATATAAATATATAGATATTTAATAGCTTATTTTTCCCCAGTACCCAATTACCTATCCCAAATCTGAATAAACTCGTTTTAGCCTAAATTTTGGTACAGTCCAGAGACCCTTGTGTTTTTATCTTTGGTCACAGTAATACACCAACCAAGCGTACTTATATATAACTGTGCTTTATTTGAAATAACGCACAGTTTTTCTTCAGATTAAGATATCGCACTGTGCTTTATTGTCAATAAAGCATGTTTCGTCAATAAAGCATGTTACTTGCATATAACAGTTGAGGAACATCAAAGAAAAATCACCGCACCATACGATAATGATCAAAGCATAAAATCCCGGAAATTGTCGCTAGGATACACCAAATGGCAAACAATCTGTAAAAAAATGAAAGACGGTAAAAATGTTTATACGTACCGCTGTTTACCCATCAATCAGAACCGAGGTTTTCCATCGCGACATCTATTTATTAAAATAAATATTGATGTTTAAACATTGAATTAATTATATGCTCCATTGCCTCCTTTACTGAAGTTATACATTGTTGTAGAGTCAAACCTGTATATGACACTTCTGAATAAAGATCATCATGTATATTAAGCTCTGAGAAAACCCTTCAATAATTATAAAAAACATAGTAACCCCTAACAAAACACTTGTCTATAAAGGACATGTTCGGCATCTCACTTGGATTGTCTTTGTTAACAGGTTTGACTATACTAAATTAACTCTATTTTAAAATATCTTCGCAACAAAATTAGAAGATTCTATCTTCATAATATGCATACTACTGTTTTTTGTCAGAGAAATGCATCTCAATTTAAAAACATATAGATTCGAGTCGACCGTGCCAAGAAAAGTATGTATGTAGTATAATATGTGTTAAATGAGGGTCTATCCGCACACAAGGGCACAAAAAGCAGCTTTTGCTGTCAAGTACGGACCCTGCACATTTGACTTAAGAGAAAATTTCGGCTCACAAAGTGGTGGTACCTTTCCTCTATGCAATTTCCACGGAGTATTAGCTAAAATATGAATTTTGAGCCAAAAGTCTGCCTCTGTATGACGGTCAATGGGAATCAAAATGTACAGTAACTTTAGACAAAATAAGAAAAGGAAGAAGCCTTAAAAGGGCTGTTGATGCCAATGAAAGGTCCTGCCTTTCAAGTCATCATTCGTACTAGGGGCTTACGTACTCTAGTACATCATCCTCGTCCCCTCTGCCTACTTTGTAGGGCCACAACCACCAGCATTAGTCACGGCACCGGCAGCTTGGCTGCAGTTCAAGTTCCGGTCTTTTTTCGTCACACGTTCAAGTGTTGTTGGTTGATCTTTCGATCATAAAATTTTCCACTAAAATAATACAAAGTGGTTTCGTCCTTTCTATAATCTTATAACAGTTTTCTTTATTCTCATTTCAGAAAATGTCAATATGCCTAAGCCCAACTCACAATGTTGTTGTTTTTTTCAAGTGTGGGGGTAGTAGAGAGGGGCAACAATAATATGAAAATTGTAGACTAGTTTTAAGATTTTGTTTATAAAAGTTTGTGCAAACACAATTTTTATAGTACATTAAAATCGGCTAAATCAATATTTACTCTTAACAGTATGGAAGCGTCCTAGTGCCAAACCTGAAATGTTTTTATGTCATAATTAGTAGATAGTAAGTGCTAATTAGTAGAAAGTAAGTGCTAATTAGTAGAAAGTAAGTGCTAATTAGTAGATAGTAAGTGCTAATTAGTAGATGCTAAGTCATAATTAGTAGACAGTAAATACTAATTAGGAGATAGTAAGTGCTAATTAGTATATACTAAGTCATAATTAGTATATAGTAAGTACTAATTAGTAGATACTAAGTCATAATTAGTAGATAGTAAGTGCTAATTATTAGATAGTAAGTGCTAATTAGTAGATACTAAGTCATAATTAGTAGATAGTAAGTACTAATTAATAGATACTATGTCATAATTAGTATATAGTAAGTACTAATTAGTAGATAATAAGTCATAATTAGTAGATAGTAAGTACTAATTAGAACATAATAAGTCATAATTAGTAGATAGTAAGTACTAATTAATAGATACTATGTCATAATTAGTATATAGTAAGTACTAATTAGTAGATAATAAGTCATAATTAGTAGATAGTAAGTACTAAATAGAACATAATAAGTCATAATTAGTAGATAGTAAGTACTAATTAGTACATACTAAGTTATAATATTGTAATCGCTGCTTGCATTCTGTTAACATGGCTGATGCAAGCAGCGATTACAATATTATAACTTAGTATGTACTAATTAGTACTTACTATCTACTAATTATGACTTATTATGTTCTAATTAGTACTTACTATCTACTAATTATGACTTATTATCTACTAATTAGTACTTACTATATACTAATTATGACATAGTATCTATTAATTAGTGCTTACTATCTACTAATTATGACTTATTATGTTCTAATTAGTACTTACTATCTACTAATTATGACTTATTATCTACTAATTAGTACTTACTTTATACTAATTATGACATAGTATCTATTAATTAGTACTTACTATCTACTAATTATGACTTAGTATCTACTAATTAGCACTTACTATCTAATAATTAGCACTTACTATCTACTAATTATGACTTAGTATCTACTAATTAGTACTTACTATATACTAATTATGACTTAGTATATACTAATTAGCACTTACTATCTCCTAATTAGTATTTACTGTCTACTAATTATGACTTAGCATCTACTAATTAGCACTTACTATCTACTAATTAGCACTTACTTTCTACTAATTAGCACTTACTTTCTACTAATTAGCACTTACTATCTACTAATTATGACATAAAAACATTTCAGGTTTGGCACTAGGACGCTTCCATATAACAGTGATCACAAAGGATCAGAAACATATGTTACAGTCATTAAAAACAACCCTTCGTTAAAGTACGAGATATCTGCCGCTCAGCACGTGACATATACTGTTAATTAAGAGTACAGTGTACTATAGTTATTGAAGGAGTTCCTCATAAAAAATGAAATAAAAATTAAATATTACATTGATCAATAACAATATTGCCCATTATCTTTCCTGGTCTATATTAATATGTTACCAGAATTTTCCATCGGAACACCAATGTAATAAAATAAATACTGATGTATGAACATTGAATTATTTTATTCTCCTTTGCCTCTTTATTGAAGCTATACAGTCAACTTGTATAAAAACACTTCTGAATAAAGATCACCATGTATATATAGCCCACTCTGAGAAAACCCTTCATTAATTATAATGACTATAGTAACCCATAAAAAGACCACTTGTCTATAAAGGACATGTTCGGCCTCTCCATTGGATTGTCTTTGTTAACATGTTTGACTATACAAAATCTTCATAATATACATACTACTGTTTATGCCAGAGACAATGCATCTCAATTAAAAAAAATTATAAAGATTTGAGTCGACCGTGCCTAAAAAAGAAAAGAAAAAAGGATTCAGCAATGTAACATATGTTTAAGGAGGGTCTATCTACCCA